CCTCTCAAAATGCGGTAAATTGCGTTTTTAAGGCTTAAAAATCCTAAATTTCCCGGGGGAGCATTCCCCCGGACCCCCTACGATTACGAGCGCCCTCTCAAAATCATAAACTGAAAACATGCAAGCTGGCCGACGTCGACTCGGACTCACCTTTATTTGTGGACGCACTCGGGGACCAGGGCAGGTGGGAAACACAGGGAACACATACCTTAGATGCATGCTTCATTACATGTAAGGTATACGTAATTTTGTCAGTGATCACCCTTCTCACAAAGCAAGATACTAAATCCAGTGCAGCTCGAAAAAAAGGCCTGTCAATTTACCGTTAAGCGTTGCCGACCGTCCTGAATTTACCGTTAAGCGTTATCGGCCCTGCTGAATTTTCCGTTAACCGTTGCCAGGACCCCCCCATGCAGACCCTCATTAAAGCTTAGTACTTTCTATCATTATAATCAGTTTTAAATAATGGATGTGTTTCAGGTGGATGTGTATGCTCCTCCGATGAACAAGTTCAGCCAGCTGGCGCCCATGAACCACCTCCATCATGAGGGGAGTATCGTGGTGTGGCAGGACCGTCTCCACGCCATCGGTGGCACGGATGGCTCCGACACCTTCACAGAGGAAGTGGAAGCCTACGACGTCAACACAGATGCTTGGAACATTGTTGCCAAATTGTCTGACCCAAAACGTGTCCCCTGGTGTGCCAGTATCTTCCTTCGGCTCAGCGGCAACTGAGATGTCCTGTTCCAGGCCACAATAAGTGAAGTTTAGGGATGACATCCATGCAGACCCCAAATCTAATGTGAGGGTGTGAAAAAAAAGATGGAAAAGGAGCTGCCTAATATTTTGTCATCCATAAAATTTCCTTGTTGTAGCCCAAGATTGTTGTGCTTAAAATCATCTTCCCTACCCACATACCACATAGCTCCTTGACTTATGTTGGCCAATGTCCACAGACAGACCAAAAAACCACACTGTCAAAGCTACTTGATGGAGGTAACTCAACTAACTGGACATGTTGTACTTTATAGCATGAAGTATTATGTACTATCTTCAAGTTGGTATGAGACATAGCAACTGTTGTACATGTGTATATGGAGAAAACACTGTATATTTGAGTGATAATTTACAATCAAACTACATGCACCAAGATGATAAAAGTAAAGGAATCATTTAGAAAAGTGGACATCTTGATTGTTGAGTGAAGTTTTAGCTGTGAGAAGTATTTGCTTCTTGATTGAAATTGTAACAGCACAGAACAAACTCCAGCAGCAAGAATGAATGAATAAATGGTTTATTGTGATCATTATGATCAGTTATTAAAAGTATATCACAGCCAAAGGCTAAATTGCATACTTTTTACAGATATGGCAATACCTGTGAATTCTTAGACGATTTACAAATTACTGTTTATAAAGATTAGCCATTTTAATCACTTAAGTTGCTGTAACACATGTTAAGTCATATAAAACCACCCAGAAACAATACAATTATGGAACACCAGTTAGAAAATAAAAATCATTCAAGCTTTTTATATTAATATGTATGAATTCTTATAGAAATAATTCACATAATCATATGTCACCATTGAAAAATTGTCAAATATATTTCTGTACATTGCTAATGTCATTTCTTTACCTCTGTGCTTACATGTGTGATAGAACTAATGAATAAATGATTCAAATACAAATTCTGTATTCAAATAGATACACAGGCACATTAGAACTGTACAATTTTCATTACTCACATATTAAACGTTTCAGTCTTGAAAAGGAAACCTTTGCCAATATATGTATGTGGTCTAGGCTCACCCATACCCAGATTTTTGAAATTCTTGACATTACTGATTTTTTCTTCCAATCCTTCATTCACACTTTTCTGCAAATGGCAGCAGCAAAGTTTCATGTATCGGTATCTACCACTGTACTGTGTGTCTTTAAATTAAATCCTGTTGTACACGATAAAGTCCATGATGCTGTGCCAGACATTGCTGTCGTGATACAGGTAAGTCATTGAGTTCTGTAGGGAGGGCTGGAGAACATCCTTATGATATTCAAACAACCACAGCACCACCCCCCACACCATTGCACCAAACCATGGGAAGGTGTCATATTTGGGAGTGGGGACTATCCCACGCTGGACAGCCAGTCTGGACAGGCCCAGCAGGATCCTGGATAACAGGTACAGGTTGATCTGTGGCACAACAAGGAGACCAGTTTCAGTTTACAGTATTTATTTAGCCAGGTTATATATGACAATGACACAGAATATTCATAACATAACATTACAAAAAAGGTCAACTAAAGTAAATAAAACTTTCAGAAATAAGTAGAAATTGTTAATGTAGGTACTACTATCTAATAATGCAAGAAAATCCAGATAGCTTATCAGTAATGTGTATTTATACAGACATCAAATCATAATAGGAGGTCAAAACAATGGATCAAGTTCTAGACATGAAATAACAAAAAAAGGAGGGTTAGAATATATGTCATATGTCTGGCAGTATTAATAGTATAGTTTTTAAATAATGCAGTAGACATCTTATATTGTAGTAGAATGCAGCAGCTACACACCTGTTCATTTATACGATTGTTCTTGCCGAAGACATAGTACCCTCCAATGAAGGCAGCTATGAAGGAGTGATACTGCTGAGGTTTCTGCTCTGCCTTCCGTAGAAGTGTTGTTAAGGTTTTATACAGGACCACAAACATGGACAGGTTACGGGCATGGAGGTGTGTCGCCTCTGCTATGACTTTCAACTTCTCCAATAAGCTGTGTACAAAAATGGAAAGAAAAAAAAGTATGCCTAGGGCCACACCAATTTAATTTGTTGGTTCTCGGATTTTTTCAGGAAAAATATGAAGCGACAGGGCGAAAAAAAATAAAAATAAAAACAGATCTAGGCATCCTAATATAGCCCCAAATGCTACGATAGGAGGTATGAAGTCAACACAAAAGGCTGGTTCAAAATTTAAACAATGAATTTTGAACTTCTAATGATACCACTGCATTGAAAGATGGAATAATTGTAACGACTAGGAAGAAAAGGACTGTTTTCAACTGTTCAGGCAAAATATGAGCATTTTTCATTTGATTCAGGACCAGAATCAAATTTTTTTTTTTTTGCGAATCAGAAAAAAACGAAGAGGCGAATCCGAGAACCAACAAATTAAATTGGTGTGGCCTAGAATCTACAATATGGAAACTAAGCATGTTGGAGTTGCATTTTCTCTCTAGCTCTAAAACATCACAAACCTAAACATTCATCAGAAAATAGTTTATCCAAGGAGAATCGATTTTTAAACATACCCCTTTGGTTTATCTTCAGTTACATATTCCAAGCTGTACACGTTGAGTAAAATGTTATTTGTACCCTATTGCATAAACATGTAGAAGGCATAGGATTAATAACATCTCAACGCACTACAGGTTAGCCTCGGTACCATCCGGATTTTCCGGAAAATCCGGATGGTACCCAGGCTACTACAGGTAACATGCGCTCGAGAAAATTATCGACTTGTGTCTCACCTTCCCTCCTTGAAGAGAAATGTCATAACCAGTGCATGTGGAGCGCGGATTTTAACCCCGTATCTGGAACATACAAAAAATGTTTCTCTTAGCATGTTAAGTTCATTTGTGTTGATTTTTTGACAAGCCTCTTTAATCCTGACAGGCCCGTAGCCTGGTAACCATGCCATCGGGAACTGCCCGGTATCTCTGCGGTGCTGGGGGACTGTCCGTCCGACCGCTCGCCGAGGTCTATTCGGTGTAGGTTTCAATTTGCTAGTACTTCGTTCTACGGGATCGGACGGCAGTCTGGAAAGATGGTTTGTCAAAAAAAAAAAAAAAAACATTTTCTTATGACTTGTGCCGGTAAAACACCATTTATCTATCTGCCCGTGGATAATTTATGACCTCCTTGGGTTACCAGGCTAACACACTGGACTTCGGACTGACCCCGTGGTTATTTACGCCAGTAGCCTAGGTCAACTTGTAACAAATTTACTGAAGAGTGAAGACCTATCTTCCTTCTTGTCCCATAGTCTACCTACTTTTTCCTATAGTAGAAAGCAGGATATGGTGCGAATGGCATAAAATACATGGGGTAAACTCATAAGTAAAGTTCAAAGCCTTCTGGGGTTTTCAGCTCGGATTTCGAGCTGCTAGTAGATCTGGGTCACCTCCTAATTTTATAGACTGTAGACAAAACGGCATGAATATTTACTCACACGATACCATTTCTGAACCCTTTGATTATTGAGAGAAGTTCTGTCCAGCGGCCAGACGCTAGGAGAGTGTTTACAACTTGAACTGCCGGTAGAATCAGCTGGTACCCCGGCGCCGCCATGATGACCTGAGATTTATTTACCTGGATACTGTCTCGAACCGGAGTTTGGGGATAGCCCCGAATCTCCAAGCAGATGTTGGGGGAGGCTAAATCGTTACCTTTTCTTTGCCATGTTGCTGCGTCGAACCAAGGAGCTTGATCAAACTGCCCCATGAAGAGTTTGACACAGAAAAGTTATCTTCAAGCAGATGTTTTGGACTAAAGGCATTAGGCGTTACGGATTTTAACCTCAGGCTTGACCAAGTCAGGAAAGACCAAGGATGATAACGCCTAGTGCTTTTTCTACCTCCATGGTCTTGCCAATGACATTATACAGAGATGTTCTTGGTCTCTTTCTGAGTCATGAGAGAGAGAGGCGATTTCTCAAACAGAAAATGGCTGACGGGATCGAAAACATAACGATTTATATATATATATCATGCCCGTAGCCAGGATTTTGAATGGGGGGGTTCTTCCCACTGCTTGAGGGGACCTCGAGCGCCGTAGGCGCTAGGCGAGCGCCGAAGGCGCGAGGTTCCTAGGGGGTCCGGGGGCATGCTCCCCCGGAAAATTTTGAAAAATGAACCTTCTAAAATGGCATTTCGTGCGTTTTTGAGAGGATTTTCAAGAGAAATCAGACATAAATTTTTATTCAATGACAAAGGGAGCAGTTTTTCTACGATTCCAGTCCATCTTTTCAAGAAAAATCTTGGACCTTTACATAAAAAGTGGACCAAAAACTGGACCTTTACATAAAAAGTGGACCAAAAAGTGGACCTTTTCATAAAAAGTGGACCAAAAAGTGGACCTTTTAGCCTTGTGGGGGGTTCTTCCGAACCCCCGAACCCCCCCTGGCTACGGGCATGTATATATATAGCCTCTCCAATATCTGCTTGGAGATTAGTCTGAACAAACTCTATATCTTCTGTAAATTTCACGTTCGTCGGGATTCCCGTTTTATTATAGTTATCATTGCAAACTCATCCCGAGGGGACTAGCTGTAATGACACACACAGCCAGATATGATAAAAAATAGTCTAGTCTATATATCTCCTAGTCGATATAGTCCAAGGATGTTCAATAAAATCAAGGACACTACTAGTATATAACAGTGTGTGCGTATAACTTTATATATAGAAATCCTTGATCAGATTACACCTCCTTGTATCTGATGTTTCTTCATGCTGTTAAAGTTACGTGGTGGCTTCTTCTTATGGTATGAGACAGTGGCTAATAGTCTCACGTTTTAATGCTAAGTGATTTAAGTGAGTTTTGTGATCTTAGTACATAATACTGTAGTCTCTGTGTTAGTCACCTAGGCTAGGATTAACACATCGAGCGCCGTCTCTTTGTCTTGTTAATTCTTCTCACTTGTTTTCTGTCGTGAGTTGTTTTCCATATTGCCCCCACGCATGGGTTGTTTTGTTCTTCTGCTTTGTTGCGCTCTTCGCGACGTTTTGCACTTGTGTTTGAAATGCCGTCATTGTCCAACACCGTCTGGAAACAAATGTTTCACACGGGAGCCGGCGAGCTAGGTGTGAACGCAACTGATTAATCGACTGATCTCGCCGACTGAGTGCGAACAGGGCTCATGGTGTCCTGCTGATTTACTCCTGAACAATGGGCAAGTCAGACTGACTGAGTGACACGGGTGTGATGGTTCTGACTAGAGCGTTATAAGGTCACGATCCTAGCTGCCGAGCCTCTTTCGTTCTCTATGCAGATATTTGGAATAAACTCGCCAGGGATCTGAATCAGTACTGGTAGGACCAAGGAACAACGTCAGCAAGTTTTACCCATAATACACGTGGCACAGGTGTTCAATGACGTCGCATGGCGGGGTCTTCAAACGTACAGGTGGGCACCAGGTGTGGCAGAGTTGTGCAAAATGTCCAAGAAAAATTAGTTAAGCTTAATCGTTTTACCTTTTTTGATAAAACGTACCACATACAATGTCCTTGAACGCACTGCTGCAACTGTCAACCTCCTTGAACTGAGGTACTGAGCCAGATTTGAGAAATGTTCATCAAGCCACGCCTCCAACTATGGTTTCCCGCCAAAAGACGGATAGCCTACCTAGACTATATTATTCCGCTCACAAGAAACGAATCGCAACACAAATCCACAACCAATGATAACCTCTTTGGTACAACTAACACCATAGTTTGAACATTGAATAAACAACAATACATCTAAAACTTCTTTTTTTTCCCACCAAGTTGCATTTTTACTAGTGTTAAATCCTGCACTATTTTTTCACACGTTGGGGAGGCGGAAGATTGTGATTAAGTCGGTTCTCTGTGATACGGCTACACGTGTAGACTGTGGAGCTGCATTTGTCAACTGGTGTCTTCTTGACTCTTGTCTTTCTATCGTCTGTTTTCAGGTAACGTAACTTTTGCACTAACACTAGTTATATTTTGTAACCTCTAGTCTAAAGTAGAGGTATGCTCATCGCTTGTGTTATGGCAAACTCGGTGTATTTACACGAGCTGACATGCATTATTCTATTCGCGGGAAAAGAGATTTGCATAATGCTGCCATTTCTCACCAACTGTAATCTTTTCGTATTCATGTGCCATCTTTTGATTTGCAAATTTTTGTTGGCTATAAGAAACCACATGCGTCGGCATTCTTTCACTTTCAGGAAGACTTGTTGACCCGTGTGTGACAGGCAGTCGGGACCCCGCTAACTCCAGCTGGAAGTTCGTGTGTTGAAGTTGACAGATCCAGGTTTCTAATCTAAGATGGAGGATTGGGACGAAGGAGAATCTTCCACCCCAAGTTTCGCCTCTTCTGCACCGTCGTCTGGCTTCGGCCGTGGGGTAGGATTTCTTGTTCCTAAAATTCCATGCCCGCGTGATTCTACCGTGTTCCCAACCAGTCGCAACGTTAGACTTGCCATCTGTTTGAATTCAAGTTGTGTTCCTTCCAAGATTTTGGCGATAAACTTTTATCATGCTTTACGCAGAACGACGCACGCTTCAACTTTTTGTCCGGACTAGTTTTGGTAGTAAAAAATGGCCGTTCCTGTTATCCGCATTCCACCGTGGCTTGAGGTGGGGGAAAGGAAGGGAATTGTTGTTTTCTCAGTGAGAACCCCAGCGGGAGGGAAGGGGCCCTGTCCCGCTGGAGGGGAAGAGTCGTTGCTGCTACAGTCAGGATAGAACCGATGGCTCAGTAATAATTTTGCAAGGTTCAAAGAGGAATTGTGAGAAAAACTCAGTACTTTCTGCCAAAAGTATGCTTTTGCACGTCTCTATTAGCCAAATTCTACAAAACCTACATTTCATTTTAGCCTGGGGGCCATAAATTATTCGTAGTGACCACCGGCTCCATACTGACCGTAGCGAGCATGGGCGAGACGGCGGTAACTACTGAGGATAGTTCCCCTGCAATCTTCCAAAGTATTCAGAAACTGAAACCTAGTTTTATTTCACTGGTCGGAAGTCCTGTCTAGACCAAGCTATATGTTTTCTAACATGTACTACCAAGCTTCAGTGCTCAGTAATATTTTTAAAGCACTTCATGAATCATATTTTCAGAGGCACTTCTTCAATTTGAAACAATCAGGGCTCAAATTACCATGTGCCTCTGTAGCAATCTGATCATATGTTTCAGAGGATTTATGTGGTCACATCCAGATGTGGTCATATGTAAATGACACATCCCATCTGTGAATCATTATCTCTAGATAAGTTTTGAGCAGGCAACAAAACAGTGCATCTTGCCTTTTTACGAAATTCGTACAAAAGTTACCCAGAGTAAATTGCTTTACACCTGTCCTCCCTGGATGGAAGTATAATCCTACATAATCACTAACGTTACATGTTTTGTTTCAGGGTGGTTTTGGAAGTGGAGGGGGTGGTGGTTTTGGCTCTGGTGGAGGGGGTGGTGGATTCGGCTCTGGTGGTGGAGGGGGTGGATTTGGCTCCAAAGGAGGGTTTGGGGGTGGAGACAGTGGCAGTGGCTTTGGATCAAGGGGTGGCAGCAGTGGAGGCTCGGGTAAGTGAAGTTTTTTGCCATGCAAACAGGTCAAGTTTCTAGGAAAAGGTTTTTCAGGGGCATATGTTAGTTTTTTTGTCTCCTCTGAATGAATGATGATGATGATGATGATGATGATTGTCTCCTCTAGCCTGAAAATAGAAATAAGAGAAGCCATAGTTGATATTGAATCATTGATGAAGTTTGAAAATCAAGTAGAACATTTTGTTGTAGAAAATTAATCAAGCCAACTGGTCAACATTTCAGATAGCATCTGCCTACTATCTTCACAACTGGTGAAATTCTCTCAGGTCTTTGATGATTCAGATAGCATCCACTATCTTTCATAAGTAATTAAGGACCACCATTATATCATTCAGTCACTGATAAAAGATGCTGTCTGACATGACTCCTCAGAGAACTTATCTAGTTGCTTGATTTATCAATTTTGTATTTCATGATATTGATTCATTGTTGACTGTTAACAGTGGCCACAATAAACCACCATCAATGATTCAAGGACAAGAGGCATTGGTTTTAACTTCGAATTTGTTGTTTTTGTTAGGGTGCTTCAAATGTGGAGAAGATGGCCACTTTTCCAGAGAGTGTCCCAATGCTGGTGGGGGCAGGGGAGGAGGAGGAGGTAAGATTTTCCACTGGAAAGTTGACATGGTCTTTGGTTTTGATAGTAGGTTAGCAGATAGCCAGTTTATCAGGAACCTGTGGTTTTCACCAGAATATGGTTTCAAAAGGATACAGTAATTCCTTGAAAAACCTTGATTGAAATTTAGCAGCTTTTGTGCAAAAACTAATTCAGAAAATGTCAGTAAAACACCCTGACCTCACAAACAGCATAGCAACCTAAGAACTGTGCCGGGTCATCTCTTTATCCTAGCCATGCATAATCTTGTGACCACCATGGTATTACAACCACTGAAAGATGGCCACTGTATGTAAAATACAGTCCAATTTCTGTCATTACTGCAGTAAGTTGTTTGGTAGTTATTGGTTGTTGATGTGTGTTCACAGGAAGTCGTGCCTGCTTCAAGTGTGGAGAGGAAGGACACATGTCCAGGGAGTGCCCCAGTGCAGGCTCTGGGGGAGGTAGGCCAAATCTACCCTTTCCTTGTAGCTGTCGCATGATGTGGGCAACAGTAGTACAATAGTAACACATATTTGCATTTTTGGTCTCAAAATAGCAAAAAAGGTCAACAAACCTTTCAAAACTGCTGTATGGCCATTCATTTGATTGAGAATGCTAGCCCTGTGTACATATGCCCACAGATTTGGTAAGTGTTTGCAAAAATGGGCCATATTGAATCTCCCTTGATTGATAATGGTTAATCCCTGGGAATCACTGGATATCCCACCGTCTTGTTTGGATTAGTCAGGGTGATGAATGGTTGGAGTGAATGACAGGGTTTTCCCCAAGGGTTGGTAGAATTACAAATGACACATTGTTCCTGGAGTTCCATCACTGCCACTAAGGTCTCTGGGGTTTCCACACTTGGGGACCAATTTCAGCTGAGCAAACAACCAACCTTGAGTACAACTGAATGAGGGCCTGCAAGCCCTTTTTCGTAAGGCGTAATCAGGCCGTTTTAGACTTTGTAATTCGTAGGCAGCCTCCACAAAAATCAGCGTAATTCGTAACTGGACATTAGCCGCAAATCGTTAAGTCGTAATCAGCTCTGAGACTTTAACGTAATTCGTAATAGGCGGCGAAAACTTTGCGTAATTCGTAATCACTACCCCCCCCCCTTGCAGGCCCTCCTGAATTTGTATGACCCTTGATTTTATTGGAACATGATGCATAATGCAAAAGCATGATTATAACACATAAAAAAAACACAAAAAGTTCAAAAGGAATTTATTCTTTGAATATAAATTTGTTATGAGATGTCCAAGTGATTAGTGAGAGCCTCTTTGTAATAGCGGGGTTGTCTGTTAATTATAACTAGGAAGCCGTGCTTGCTTCAAGTGTGGAGAAGAGGGCCACATGTCCAGGGAGTGCCCCAGTGCAGGGTCAGGAGGAGGTAGGTTTTCTTTTTCTAACAACAAAGCAAGCTTTATAGCCTTGCTAAGTTAAAGATCTGTTTTATGTGGATGTTAGTAATGAACCTACTAGTAACTTGGAAAACTTGTTTATTGCCTGCTACGATGATATTCTGTTGGCAAGCACTGCCAGCTATAGAAGAAGCGTCACTCTTAACATCAGTTGAGCTATTATCCTACAAAACTTCACATGCTGCCTAAGTAGGACTATCACTTACAGGTGTGTACAGTTTGACATTTGAAAACTTGACTCTCTTGTAGGAAGCCGTGCTTGCTACAAGTGTGGAGAAGAGGGCCACATGGCCAGAGACTGTCCAAGTGCAGGTTCAGGAGGGGGTAAGCTCTTCACATTGGTAGTGAAAGGTAGTCCCGTAGCCTTTTTGAAGATTCAAGTGTGTCATTGTTTGCCTGGACAGAGCAAGGAATGCAGTGTAAATGTCTTCCCAAGGCTTGTACAAAATGTATATTTTTTACAAGGTCTAGTCAGGAATGCCAGGAATCAAAAATGTGATCTTTGTCTTGTACCTGCTAGCCTAGTCACATTTGCACATTTGCAGTGTTTGAACTTGCTAAATAAAATCTAAGTTCAAATTGAGGTCTAGAACAAGTATTTCTTGATGGATTTCCAAAACGGGTGTAATTTTCAGTACCACTTAATTGATCTCTGCCAACTCTTTGGCATCTTTGCTTCCTTGTAGGCCCTCATGAACCATATCACTGTGATGTTGTATAATTATAATGCCAAGGATGGAATCTTGGCTGGACTTAATTTTTCCTTGACACTTTGTGACCTAGTGGCAAAGATGCAGTCCCAAACATGACTGAATTTGTACTTCCCCTTCAAATTGAGAAGCATGTCTTAATTGAGAAAAGACAGTAACTGCAAGGTAGATGGGCGGATTTTGCATAGATTTTGTAGTTTACTAAATTGTGATGTAACATTTAGTATAAACTTGTCATTACAGGTGGATTTGGTGCCAAAAGTGGAGGTTTCGGGTCCTCGGTAAGTAATATGATACCATGAATTTTAAATGTGACCAAGCCATGATGTTCTTCCAGCTTTCCCCTTTTTGCTACAATAGTAGCAATGTTGCAATAGTATATTCTTCTGTGTGAGGAAAATAGATTAACCTCGAGAAAGGTTGAAAATTTAGATATGTTTCTGCTTCAGAATGGAGATGCCAAGCCTCGTAGTGGTGGATTTGGCCGTGGGGGCGGATTCGGTGGATCAAACGACGACGACGACAGCGCTCCTAGAGGCGGCTTTGGTCGTGGGAAGACCGGTGGATTTGGGAGCAGCGGTGGCGGTGGAGGGTTTGGAGGCGGTGGGGGAGGATTTGGAGGTGGCAGTGGTGGAGACGACGAAGGAAAGAAAGGTTGAGAATTATAAGTCATCCATGGTTGTCAGTCCCAGGGTTAGAAAGTCACTCACAGGGACTTGTGAACTGTTAGATTACTTTTTGAGCCATATTTGATAAAACCTGTCCAAAATGATACATTGCAGCTGTGCAAACTAGGGACTTCATTTATAAAAGAACAGGGTTGGTTTTCCTTACCTTTATTAATCTTATTGTCAGACAAATAATTTGGGGGTCAGCTAGTTGTTTCACAATTTGTCCAAAATGTACATATGTTAAGTTTGCAGTGTACATAGAATAGATTCATTGGAAAAAAAAACTTCCAGGAAGCTAACCTCTTTTTTTTACTTTTGTGTAATCAGGAGGTGGTGGTTGTTTCAAGTGCGGTGAAGATGGCCACTTTGCAAGGGAGTGCCCCAACTCAGAAGGTAAACATTGTACTAACTTGTATTGCTAAATCAATCACCAGTGAAACTGTCTAAGTCAGTACACAGTAGGCCATGACTTTCTGAAACTTGGAGGTAGACTATAAAATAGCATTCTGTTCTTTTGTTGGTGATTTTTTTAATGAACTCTGATTATTGTTTATACAGGAGGTGGTGGTGGAGGAGGTAAAAAGGGATGTTTCAAATGTGGAGAGGAGGGCCACATCTCAAGAGAGTGCCCCAACGCTGAGGCCCAGCCCCTGGACCCTGACCGACCTGCCCCAGTCACCTACGTCCCACCCCCACCCCCTGAAGGGGAGGAGGAGATCTTCCAGACTATCGCTAAGGGAATCAACTTTGACAAGTATGATGAGATTCCCGTGGAGGTCACAGGTACGACAATCATTAGTTTACCCATACAGAGTGATGTTTTGAGCTTGTAAGTTGTACAGTTGTGTGTCAGGGCTGTCCCAAACATTTTGGGGTAGGGGCACTTTGGGTTACTGTGACATGTTTCCCCAGAAAATTTTGGAAGCTGAATTGCTATTTCAATCTTTTTCAGAAGCAGATTTTCATTCAGTTAAGTTTTAATGGTTATGTTTTTCACGTTGTGTCAGATTGTAAGATATTGTTGGTCTCAACAAGCAAATTTTCATCCAGGAAAATAATTTTTTACCTCCCGTACCTGTTTGGAGTGAAATGTAAAAACATGCCTTACACTTACAGGGAGAGAGTGCCCACGCCACATCGGCTCCTTTGATGAAGCCCAGCTGTACGAGACGTTCCGAGCCAACGTTGCGAAGGCAAAGTACGACCGCCCCACGCCGGTGCAGAAGTATAGCATTCCCATCATCCTCAACGGGAGGGACCTCATGGCCTGCGCACAGACTGGTTCAGGAAAAACTGTAAGTTAGCTTCTATTGTGGGGAAGCCATAATCATACGTACACAACCAGTAGACCAAGTATACAATCAGTACACCATGTTACAGTCAAACTGCCCAAGAAGACCACCCAGGGGACTGAAATAGGGGACAACTCTTGTCTCACTTGAAACCACAGTAAACTGGTCACATTGGTTAGGTACCACTTGAACAGGTTTGACTCGTATAGAAGCTCTCTTATCTATAAAAGTCTAGTTGAAGTCTAATTTCCTTGCCTTCTTGCTTTGCATTTCTATATATTGGCCATTACCCTGTACATTCTGTAAAAAATTATATTCTTCTGATGATGTTGAGGTGAGGTTAAGATTGTTGTGGTAGTAAGTTGCATTTTAACCCTCTTCTTTTCCAAGGCTGCCTTCCTGCTGCCAGTGCTGACAGGTATGATGCAGGAGGGACTCACCGGCAGCCAGTTCTCTGGCGTACAGGAGCCCCAGGCCATCTGTGTGGCACCCACCCGCGAGTTAGCCATCCAGATCCACTGCGAGGCCCGTAAGTTCTCCTACGGGACCATGCTGAGGCCCTGTATCGCGTACGGAGGGGTGAGCGTCATGCACCACAAGTCTCAGATCCAGAGGGGATGTCACTTCCTGGTCGCCACACCAGGCAGGCTGCTGGACTTCATTGACAAAGGAGTGGTGAGTGGAAGACTATTTATTTACATGTAACAGGAAACTTAATTCAAGGCTGTAGTTAGCACTGTATATCTCTAAGTGTTTGTGGTGGTTTTATTTGTGTGTTTCATAGTGACATCTTTGAAAGATCATGACACTGGAAATATGTGCTTCCATTGTATGACAACTAGAGAATTGTTACACATGTCCTCACACTCATTCTCAAGCACCAAGAAAAAATAATGAGTGCTATCTAAAATGCATGAGTTTCATAGAGCCTATCCAGTTATTTGATTTATTTTGTATTACATATTCTACTAGGATATCTCACATTCATTGAAGTGACATACTGCTTGATTGTTCCTGTACAGATCAGCATCAAGAAGCTGAAGTACCTGATCCTGGACGAGGCTGACCGGATGTTGGACATGGGGTTTGAGCCGGAGATCCGCAGGCTGGTGGAGACAGCCTCCTGGGGCATGCCGGCCAAGGTCAGACACTTGTTTCACTGAAGTCATCTCAAACCAGTTCAAGTTTGATGTCTCATTCTACTGGTCATTACAGAGAAGTCGATGCTATGTAAGATGTAAAAACAAACACTACTTTCTTAAAATTCTTTTAGACCTTGCAGGTGTGAACTTGGTGATGGTACTGTCAAATGAGTGGGCTTTTTTGTGCTAAACATGAATGTCAAATGCAGGATACTATTAATGGCACAAATATGGTAGTAAATGTCAACCACACAATTTTTCTCAAGACAATTTCCAATATTGGCTGAAATTTTACACCATTAAGGTACATGTCAGCTAACTGGCTTCCTTTATTCCACTGTTCAGGGTGAGAGACAGACCCTGATGTTCAGCGCCACCTTCCCGGAGGAGATCCAGAAGCTAGCTCAGGATTTCCTGGAGGATTACATCTTCCTGACGATCGGCCGTGTGGGAGGAGCCAACACTGATGTGGAGCAGTCAGTCATGGAGTCCTCCCAGTACGACAAGAGGGAAAAACTCACCGACATCCTTGGAAACTTAGGTGAGCTCTTCTGACTGATGTAGAGCTTGAGATGTTCAGCGGGTTTCATATTTGTGATTTTGTTCTAGCTAGCATAGTTTGGCATAGCATCCCTTTATCCTGTGATTTTGACCCCTATGCTGAGGGGTCTTTCTTTCTGGGGAAAATTCTACACAGTTGATCCTCTGTACCTGGCCCCTATGCTGTGTATTACCACTGGTACAGAATTATTTCACCCGCTAACTTAAAACGTGATGTGTTTTGTCTGTCTCGGGAACCTTGAATATTGACATATATTGTATTACCCACTGTGCATGTGCAGTTCAAACCATGAATCAGATTATAGTCCTAATAACAACCCTACTCGTGTACTTCCAGGTCAGGAACGTGTGCTGGTGTTTGTGGAGACCAAGAGGAACGCAGACTTCCTGGCCAGTTACCTGTCCCAGTCTGGCTTCCCCACCACCAGTATCCATGGGTAGGTAACCACCTCTTTGTTTGGAGGTTTTGCTTGTGTTTGCTGGTCCTGTACCTGATCATTGTTATTGGCCCCTTGGACATTTTTTGGGTATTTGGGCACACAGCTCTGGTTCCTACCTATGTTTGTTTAGTACTATTTTGTAAAAACATTTAGGCATTGGAGAGAGTGTTACATGTAACGTTTTTCTGTTTTTGTTAACAGAGACCGACTGCAGAAGGAGCGTGAGGAGGCCCTGTCAGACTTCCGTCAGGGTCGTGCCCCGGTGTTGGTGGCCACCTCCGTCGCTGCTCGCGGTCTGGACATCCCCAAGGTCAGCCCATTTGGCCTTGCAGAACTCTTCTACAAGAGTCTTCGCTATGTTTTTTTTTGTGTGAAGCCACCTTACTATGTAGGGGTGGGACATTATTTTTAGTTCCCAGTGCATACGTATGTGCAAGGTTTGATCACAATTATTCTTACAAAGAAATTTCAAGGGGGTAAAGCCTGTCTCTGTGTCTCCAGGTGATGGTGGTGATCAACTACGACCTCCCCAGCAGCATTGATGAGTACGTCCATCGCATCGGCAGGACTGGTCGGGTCGGCAACACCGGAAAAGCCATCAGCTTCTACGACTCCGACAAGGACGCCTCATTGGCCCGATCTCTGGTCAAAGTCCTTGCAGATGTAAGTCGTGTTAATGTTCAGATACTCGTTTATGCACAGGTTATATCTTCTGACTAATTCTCAGTTACTGATGAAAGGTCACTACGAGAAGTATCTGTAAGTGACTCATTTTTACCTGAGGTGAGGAAATAGACCTAAAATGCCTTTCCTACGGGCACAACTTTTGGCGCTGCTTGGGATTGGAACCCAGAACCTGTAGACTTAAAAAGTCCCCTTAAAAACACCCCTAACCACAAGACCCCCTATGTGTTCCCTCAGGCCCAGCAGGAGGTTCCTGAGTGGCTGGAGGAGGCAGCAGAGGGAGCCATCGGCACCAACTACGGACCTGCTGGTGGATCCTTCGGGTCCAGGGACACCAGGAAACAGGTAAGGCACTACCTCAGCTTACAGTTTGTGCTAGCATTTCAGGCTAAGTGGACAGGTGGTAAATAGGCAGGGTTCGTAATGCTTGTTAGTGCAAAAAATTATCCCAACAAGAACTGCCAAAAAGTTGTCGCATAAGCCAGGTCCTTGCTTTAGAGGTGGTCACTTGCACAGATTGGCCTGTAACACTCTGCTGTGTTTCTTACAATGCATCAGTTTGAATATATCAGAGTGTCAAAATAGTTGTTTGACATAATTAAAATTACATATTCACGCAAACTTCAGTATGGTAGAAATAGGCTAGGAACCTAATAAGCCAGTTTGTGGTTTTACTGCAGTGTGATGCATAGTGGGTAATATGTCAAGTTCAAAGCCCCCAGAGACATTAAAATATGCATCTGGTCATGTATCAGTCGTGTTAACAACTTGAAGACTGTTTGATGCATATTTTATGTAGAAGGAAATACATGTGTGTTGAAGGTGAAATGCTTGGATTCCAACATTGAAGTAATGTTGTTTTTCCAGTTCAACGGAGGTGGTGCCAGCTGCGGGATGTCTAACGGTGGCGGTGGTGGCGGCTTCAGTTCCTCTGCTCAGGATGACGAGGAAGACTGGGGCTAGAAACTCCACATCCCTCCCTCCCAGCCTAGCCTGGATGCCAGGCTGTTTCCAGGGCCTACACAGGTCAGGTGTTCTGCTCTAGAGCCTGGGTTTTCTGGCAAGTTGGGCATAGAGCAGAAGAGCTAGCCTGTGTGAGCCCTGGAAACAGTCCATCCAGGCTTCAGGCTTCTCCCAGCCTGGATCACAGTATTTAACCATTCTATGTGGGCTAGGGAGTGAAGCGGATGCCAAAGCTTGTTCTGTTCCAGTTCGTATTGTTGTAGTAGTAGTTGTTAGTATGTCAGGTAGCACAACTGTGCAAGTGACTTAGGACTTAACATTCCTTCAGTTCTGAACTGGTTACCAATTGTGACTACATTGCTGTAAGCCATGACCAGACCAGGTCAATAGTATATCTACAGTGCCTTACCTCATGGAAAGTTACCTTGTCCTACGTAAGTATTTTGGGGCACATCAGGACAAGGCAGTTTTGTTTCAGGCACTCTAACAAAAGTAACCATAACTCCTTTTGAAGACTTGTGGTACATAGAGCAGTTAGGTTACTAATGTTGTTTATTAACTTCATCACAATCTGTTGATAAGAATTTTGAAAGGGAGCAGAGGTATTGGCCCATCTGAAGCATTTTAAAAGGAAGGTGGAAAAATGTCTCTTTCATTGTGGAAAATTCTTGATCAGTTGTGACATATATCATACCTCACCATCTTGTGTTTTTGATAACAGCCAGTTCCATGTAGTAAGAAGTAGGCACTAGGTAGATTAGTTTATTATTTGATGTTACGACATGTAGCAAGGTGCGTCTGTAAGAGCGGTAGGCTGCCACATTTTAGGTTTGTAGCAGATTTTTGTGGAAAATTGCTCAGGGACCTAGCAGAAATAACTGACTAAATGGGCATCCCAAGTGTGAAAGGTTGATGCTCAAAAAAAAGAGTATGTCTATGAGTGGAAGGACATCATAAAAACACCAAAACTGTACACAAGAGTCAATAGATTACAAACAAGCCTCTGACCAGTTCACTGATGCCTCTCAAGTTGAAATGACCCAAAGCCTAAGTCACTTGGAAGTGTGATGTCAGCAACAGGTCAAAAGGTGACCGATTGGCAAAGGTTGCTGTTGATTGGTTGGGAACACCCCTATGGGGAGATTTTAACCCAGGCCTAGGTGAAGGCACTTGGATGGCTTCTTCACGGGCCACTTAAGACAAGAAAAAAAAACTGTTAAGATTTTGACAATCTGTACAGTATTTTAGCGAGACCAAATCGCTCCTAGCCACCTGCCAGACTAATTGGCCTTCTCGGGGAGGGGCCAACTAGCCCAGGCAGTGTGAGATTGTGTAACTCAGGCCAGGCAGTATTTTAGAGAAAGCTGCGTCCTGTTGGCCCATCTGACCAAAGAAGTACTTGTGCAATACTCCTAGTGGTGGGGAGTTCAATCAAGAGTCCTAAAAGGCATTCCATGAAGTTTGCTGGCAAACCTATGGTGGCATGTCATGTTGATATAATATGTGCAATATACATTTGTAAAGGGGTACAGAAAGTGTATATTTGTACATAGTATATTCAACTGTATGTTGGATGGCCTTAGCTGGATGTAGTTTCATAAATATATACATATATTTTTTTCACCTTGTTTACTGTTCATGATGTTTTCGTAATAAACAAGAACTTGTTTCAGATCTGTTTCTTCCTTGAAGAGCTTATATCTGGGATACTGTACAAAATACTAGTAATATGGGGAATATACTAGCAAGGTGAAGATAGGGACTGAAGCGGTGGATATATTATGATGGATTGAGACATTAGATTTTGGTCTGCCTGGTGGTTTTCTTGAGTACTCTTGGTTCCCCATGCACTGATGCACACTCATTCAACACACTGATCAAATAAAGACTCTAGTGGGATTGGCTGCAAACTATTTTATATAAATAAAAACAAAAGTATGTTTACATTTACTATATGTTCATGAAAAAATATATGGGTTTGTATATAGCTCTTGCTCGTTTTTAAACGTCATTAAGAAAGTGGTAAGCCTTGAAGAAGCAGCAGAAATCATATTTGGGGGCATAACTAAAAAATCCCCAACGATTTAACACATCATGGTCTTCATTACCTTGTTAGTAAAGCAACTTAAGGTCTGTAAGGAATGTGGGCAATGAAGCTGTAATGGAAAAATATGGGGGCCAAAAAAAAAAGATTGTAGTGTTTTCAGCTCTGGTAAGAGATGAGCGGACCATTCTTTCTGGCTGATATAGAAGGGTAACATTAGATGTCAAAAATTGACAATGTCCTTCCAGACTGCATAATGGTAGTTGAAAAGGGCTGGCAAAAAAGAAAACGGTATGATGACTTTCTTGAATTTCGGTTTTATAGTATATAGTAAATATAGTGTTATGTATTGCCCTGAAATGTTGGTTTTCTGAATGACTTTCACTGTATCTGGTATGACAAAACTGGCAAGAGTTCAGTTTGATTGCTGGTCTTCCCTCTTGGCTAAATTGGATTTCCTGTAGCATGACAATTGAACTATAATGTGTACAGTGTAGAATTGTTAAGATCTGCTAGTCTATGGTTCACATTTGTCTGGGCTTTATAATATCATAGCCCTGTAAAGATACAAACATTACTGCACTTCATTGATGAAAGTTGGACATGGAGAGATACACAAGGAAATTGTTACTCAAGCAACTGGATAGGTTTTGGAAATTATTAGGCGTTTCAAGTAGCATCCACCTCTTTTTGTTAGTGGATACTATTTGACAGTTTCCAAAAGCTATCCAGTTGCTTGAGTAACAATTTCCACGTGTATTACTGCACTTTCTCCTCTTGCCTTCTTATTTTCGCTACAACTCGATAAAGTGCTAAACCTTCTGCATTATTGACTTGGTCCTCTGCATTTCCTCCTGTTTTTCCATGGTCTTGAAGTGGGTGTACGCCATGATTCCTGCCAGAGTCAACGCAATTCCCACACACTGGTTAGTGGTAACAGGGTCCCTGAATATCACAAATCCACCAATGATGGTGATGCAGAACTTCAGGTGGCCAATAACATTGTAGCTGTGAACTGGTGTTAAGGACACAAAGCAAGGGCTTTTACCTTGGGCAGGAGACTGGATGCGGCTTAATTATATTACAGCTTCCTATAAAGGCTTTCATATGACGTCACTTCTGCCAAATTGGATTACAGTTTGTTGATCTGTTAAACATGCCACTTACCCTTCAACATGGTCGCTCAGTGTTTCAATTACTAGTATAAATATTATGACATCAAAAAAGGGTCTTTAGTCGCCTTGTCTTTAACCATGAATGGGTGTGTATGTTCCTTGTCAACAAGTGTCAGTAGAATTTTCCCAACGCAGTACTAGTATGCTGAATACAGAATTGTTTCAACCGCAAACATAAAACACTTCCTTCCGACACAAAACAAAACTGCTGAGAAAGTAGAGATGTAAATGCATTAGCAGTAATTATTTCATGTCCCCACATGATTCAAAGGTTTGCTTTACCCTAGAACTATCATGATATTCATATTGAACTCACTGTGCAGTGCAGTTAGGTGTGCAAAGGCTTGGTGCAACAGGTCGTTCAGGGTAATATAACCAGCTACTGCCATGCAACGTGCCTGCAGAACTGGTGGTTATACAAGCTATATGTTGATACAGACACAGATAGCAGCACCCAGCAGGAAGGATACGTGACAGGTGAAGTGTTGCCGATGATCCAGAAGATGGACAGGTTGACGGAGAAGGCCATGATCCCAGACAGCACCACCATCCCCTGTAAACACAGCAGGCAGGCATCACCATTGCACAAATCTACTCATGACTCCTTAGGATAGGCCTCAAAAACAAAGGAATGGGAAATCTAAGATCTGCAAAGGAACTCTGAGAACTAAGGCTGCTTGCAGGGAAGAAGATACAGTGGAATAAAATGATGACTGATTGCAGCCAAAGGTTGTCTCAACGACTACACTGAGCTGCAGAACAAATACATCATCATCATGCATCACCTTTGGCAAGTCACACTTTAACCTCCTGCATGCCAAGGTAGCCTTTTGGAACTAGTTTTGTGTTGGTTGCTGGCTCAGACAGCAAACTGCCTTCCCCCTTACACTATGAAATAAAGTTGTGGTAAATGTGAAAATGTACATACCAATGCTTGATATGACCAAGCCTGAAGGAGACCGTGCTCTCCTGTGATTGGCTCGAAGATTGGCACGACAAAAAGGAGCATTCCAGCGGAGAGAGGAGCCTGGTAGTACAGCAGCTGCATGGAGTTTACCTGGAACTCTTGCTGCTTGGCACCAACTAACTGAGGAACAAACACAATGTGAAATTGAAGGTCTCCTCATACCCCGTGAAATATTTTGAGCTTTTGTGAATTCTAGATCTATCCATTATTCTGAATTTCTCACTGATTCTCTCGAATGCATTTCTGCAGGTTTGCAATAGTGTTTTTGGGAAAGATCTTTGAAGATTTGGACCCTAGCACAAATTCCTCCTGATAATGATATATAATAACGTTATATTCTCTATATATGTATTCCATATGTATAAATGCTGGAAGATTGGCAGTTACTCACGATTTGGTACATAGATGTGACCAGCACCCCCAGACCTGCATACAGACTTCCCAGCAGGTTGAACTTCATGTCATAGTACGAGTTCAGGAACACACCCAGGGTAATCGGAACCTATCAGAAGAAAAACAGGGTTACATTGTAATGCAACAAAATGTAGTGATTTTAAACAAGACCTTGCACCTTACTCATTCTATCATCTATTTTCTGATAAATAGTATACTATCTCTGAAATATTCAAATAAGGTAAATTAGATTTAGATTATTTTAAATGAAAAATATGTTTATTGTACATAAATTAAACGTTTTTTTTCAAGAACTGTTTAAGCTATACAATGCAGTCTTTAGCCTCCCGGCAAGCATTTTATTCCAAGTGTGGAAATAAACCAGTCTACTTGCTACGAGTCCACATCAAGACGTTCATACCGACTAGATAACGGTCTACTATAAAGTAAGTTCCCATATGGTAATCTGGGGTTGAACTTACCGCCGTCAGCTTCACTTGCATTGAGAAAGTTTTCTGGTAAAACTTTGTCTGTATAAACATGATGACTGGCATAGTCATACACTTGACCACCTGATAGGTCCCAACCGTGTTATTCTGCAAGGACAGGTTCGTTAAAACCACGAAGCCACAAAACGTCAGGGACAGGGGCACGACCTTCCACAACAATAGCGACTTGGGGTTGAAGACATTCGCCAGCTGGCTCGCGTACAGTCCCAGGAAAGTTATAACAAAGTGTACAAGTGTCAGGCTTATGTTCGGAAAGCCCACGTTGACGTAGATCCATTTGTTGAGGAATATGATGCTGATGGAGGAAACTAAGTTCCCCAACACGCCGAAAGTTATAGCACCTGAGGACGCCATCTTCCTGGACACTGCAGTTTGCAAATCAGCCACTTGGCGGCGCTAGGGGACTTCTCAGGTGGTAGTCCATCATCATCATCGATCTGTACACAAGATTCATCATGGCGGACTATCTCGGTCGTGATGTAAGATGAAAACAAGATGAGGAACTGTCTGCTTTTTGGGCACTCTGTGAGGTCTAAACACGTCATTCATGTGTACTGTTTGTTGCTCATCCTGGGAGTGCATCTCCTGACCGGTGGACACTGTGCGCAGCGGCGCTGCGGCCCGGATAACTGCGTCAACGGGCGATGTTTGGAAGGGGAGTGCGTCTGCGAGAGAGGTTGGAAGGGCGACCGATGCCAGTACTGCGGAGGTCGATTCAGGTACACCAGTTATAACAGTGACTATTTCTATGCGTAAATTACAGCTAGTGATGTTGATTTTCCTTGTGTCAAATATTTGTGTTGTCCAACCCGGCTGTAAACAAGAAGGGTTTACGGAAAAGGCTGGGCTGTCTATAGCCAGGGGTGTTGCCCTTTGATGGAATCTCCAGGAAATGGTATTATAATCATATACTTGAGGCTACTTAAGTGAAATTTGGGTTGATTGCAATCTGTCCTTGCAGTCTATACTGTACTGCCACAGTTTTCCTTTACAACAATGCTATGACCTGCCTTGATAAGGGTGTTGTTTGTTTATCATTTCACATGATAAAGAACCTTTATGGAATAATACACCAGTCTTGTACAGAAGGTACACAAAAGGCACAAGCCTTGTAACTAATGTAACTTACTAAGAGTTTGATCCACTCATACCGAGATGGACCCCTACTCTTTTTTAGAAGTGTGGTGGGGATCTTTAACAAGCTTGAGTTTCTCCTCGAACTCCAGGGACTTACATCCAAAAATACATTTTACCTGTGTAGTGCCAGATAGCTTGGCCTGTAAAGGCAGTACAAATTTTCTGTAACCCTGCAAACAAGATCAGGTTCCCCATTATTGTGTGCCCTTTCTCCAGTTGTTTGTCTTGACAAGGAAATGACACTGCAAAGTGCTCTAGTACTAGCAAGGCAAACAAAACACAACAATTACCAGGGCCTGGCTCAAACAGGAATTACTAAGAATCACCACTACAAACTACCACTTTAGACTATTGTAATCCAATCAGCAGGTCTATAATGCTCAACGGTGTCAAAATACTGTTACCTCTCTGACACAACCTCATAGTAAACTCAACACATACATTTGTACACTTACTTAGTCTTATGACATGATTTTATCTGGTACAAAGACATGCATGTCTGGTGTGGACATGCATGTGTGTGGCTTATCTTGTTGTGGTCATGAAGGTTGAACAAATGACATACATGTAACTTTTTGTTATATTAATTTTGCTCATTTTGCAGCTGCTTTGTACGATTTACTGTACAAATTTTTTTGGAAACTGTCTGCAGATGTCATCCATACAATCAAATCAACATGGCCTAATCTTGACTTTATTTCTTGCCATTTGTGTGTGTGTTTGTGTGTCTGTCTCTGTGTGTGTGTGTTTGTGTGTCTGTTTCTGTGTGTGTATCTGTGTGTGTGTGTGTTTGTGCTGTCACGATTCCAAATATGCACAGCACAGCATTGCCATCATTGCATATATGAAAGTGGGAGTGGAAGGGTTCCAAAGCATCATGAAGTAAGGGGATGAAGTCTGCCATCTCTGATTGCCTTCTTGTTGTTGTTGTTGAACTCCCCAGACTGACTAGCAGCTCAGGTGTGATCAGCGATGGTCCACACAACTACACCACCGTCACCAAGTGTACCTGGCTGGTCGACAGCGGCAGGTAGGACTGGACTTTGACTTTATTTAAATCCACAATTAGGCCACACCAATTTAATTTCTTGGTTAACGGATTCGCCGCTTCATATTTTTCTGATTTGCAAATAAAAATAAAAATCCAGAATCAACTGCAAAATGCTCATATTTTGTCCCTGAACAGTTGTAAACAGACCTTTTCATCCTAGTTGTTACAGTTATTCCATCTTTCAATGCAATGGTATCATTAAAAGTTCAAAATTCATTGTGTGCATTTTGAACCAGCCTGGTGTGTTGACTTTATGGCTCCTATCGTACCATTTTCGGCCATAATAGGATGCCTAGGCCTGTTTTTATTTTTATTTTTTTCGCCCGCCCGCTCCATTATTCTTCTGTAAAAAATCCGTTAACCAAGAAATTAAATTGGTGTGGCCTTAGCTAGACACTCGACTGTGACTGTGGTCCTCACATTTAGACAGGATGACTACAAAATAACAATCATGCATATGGTACATAACCTAGTACTTATGAATGGACAGTTCCCATAGCCCTGCCATCTAAACTATATATATATATACAAAATAAAAACATGGAAATATACATATTTAAAGGTCTACATTCTCTCATTGGTATGATTGGTTGGATCACTATTAAAGTGCCATGCTATCCTTGGTTGAATTGCTAAAATTTGGATGCAAATTAGGTTGTACATTTGTACTAATTTTAGGTTGTACATGTACTTTTCATTATTGATGAATGCTGTGTAATGTGTCTTAATTCCAGACTACTAGTAACTGGTACAGGCTTGCATCCAAATTTTGTAGTTTAGTGGTAGTGTACATCAAAGGATATTTGCACTTCAAGTTAGAGCTGACGCAAACTAGGATTTGACTATGGTCAATATTGACCAAAAAGGCCATATATGCACTTCAAGTTATGTCAAGATGTGTATCCAAGCAATACATGAATGGCACTATAGTATTGAAATAGAAATCTATATAGCATTTTTGTTTATGTTAAAAATTTTACATTTTTTTACAGATGTGTGATCACACAAATATCTGTTGTTTATGTACATGTGTGTGTGTGTGTGTGTGTTTTTCCAGGGTTGGCTCGACCATTAGACTCAGGTTTAATGAGTTTGCCACAGAGTGTAGCTGGGACCATGTGTATGTCTATGATGGTGATTCTGTCTTCGCACCCCTCGTAGCAACCTTTAGGTAAGTTGTGCCTGTCACACACAGCCAACCATGGCCTCCCAATCTTCTCCAGACCATGGTTGGGAGTTACTCATGAGCAAGGCCGTCTGTGGTTAGGATTTGGTCAGTATTTTTGCATTCTAGACATCAATAGACACATCTGATGTTGATCAAACCTTTACTTGCATGATTAACGAACAATGCCGGTGAGTGAAAAAGTTATACAAGAAACTTTGAGTATTTCACATAGGTATGAGGTCTTCAGTCTCACTCTTATTGATCATTGTAACATTAGATCACAGCAATTTGTTGACTCTTTGATTTGTAAATTACTTCAACATGAAAACTGAGTGTGAAGGTAAAGTCTGTACCTTCTGCATTGCAGTTTTTCATGTGTGCTTCTGAGGGGGTGAAGTCTGCCCTCTCTGATTGCCTTGTTTATCCCGCAGTGGTCTGCTGACACATTTACAGCCCAACAGGACCAGTTATGAGCTCACCACTACATCAGGCTATGCCTACCTGCACTTCTTCAGCGATGCTGCTTACAACATGAGCGGCTTTAACATATCTTACAGGTAAGTGAAGCAAAAATTATTTAGGTACAGGCCAGAAATACCAGAACATCAAGAACATCAATATACCAGTACTGTACCTGAGAATATATTCTGGTCTAATAAACATTCTGTTAACTTTTTATTTATGTTTGGTCATTGTTAAAGACCACAGGTTACGTCGTCGAATTGTTCAGGTACAGTAAGTTCTAGATTAACAAACAGATAACTCAGAGTCTGTTGTTGTTTTGTTGTATCCAGCCTGAACTCCTGTCCGTTGGACTGCTCCGGCCACGGCAGCTGTGACTCCTCCTCCGTCTGCACGTGTCAGCAGGGCTGGAAGGGCGACGCCTGCAACGAGCCAGCCTGTCCCAACCTCTGCTCCAACCACGGACACTGTGACTACTCAGGCACCCTGGACTGTATATGTGACCCAGGATACAGGGGTGGGTACTTAGTAACCCAGGGTACAGGGGTGGGTACTTAGTAACCCAGATGGGTAATGACTTAATATGCAGAAGTGATAAAAATACCATCTTTATTTATCAAATCTGTTATCCTTAGCCAGGCTAGCCCAGCTAAGTGGTGTCATATAAACAAATGCATTCATACAATGAATCAACATTTAATGTTTCCTTAATGTTTCCTGACAGGAGCGGACTGTAACCTGACGGATGCCCAGGTGGTGTGGGAGCGTGAGCGGCCGGGTCTGCCAGGCCGAGCCTCCCATGTCAGTGTGCAGCAGGACGTGCACATGTGGATAGTCGGGGGGTACACCTTCAGCAGTGCAAGCTTCCACAATCTTATCAGGTACAGGCTTACCATTTTAACTTCTCAGTAGCAAAGATAGCAGATATACCTGAAGCTTCAGAATCTTCAGAGAATTTCTCCAGTTGCTTGATTTATCTTGTATTATGTAATGTTCTACGTGAAGGCCTTCATTGCCCTCCCTACAACTGTTACAGTATCAGTATTGACCTTGACCTTTTAGGTACCATTTGATAGAGAACACCTGGAGCCCCATCACACCTACATCAGCTGCCAACCCAGCCTCACGTTACGGCCACACTGCAGTTCTGTATCGGGTATGTAGAACTCACAGTCTGCTTTAGCCTGACTACATCATGCCTCTACCAGCCCTTCCACTGGTCAGGCCTCTAGCAACTTGATGGCCAACACTTCTGTGTCAGGAGAATTTGGAAACAATTTAATCATGTTGACTTATGCAATTATTGGCATACACTGGTTTCCATAGTGACAGAATCCTGAGCCCTTACTGGACTGATTTTTGAATGTCCCTTCATAGCTTATAATTTGATTTTCTCTGCTACGTTTTACCCATCAGGACAAGATCATCATGTTTGGAGGTCTTGTAGAGGGCAGGGTGGTGACCAATGAGACGTGGGCTTTCGACACAGTCCTCCACCAATGGGAGCGCCTGTCTCAGGCTGGTCTGGCCCTGGAAGGTCATTCTGCAAATATGGTTGACTCCAAGATCATTGTCATCTTTGGGCACAACCCTGATTATGGCTACTCCAACAAAGTACTGGAATATAACCCAGGTGAACAACTCTCTTGCCATTGTTAGCTCTTGTGGCTCTCACAACTAGTGAGCTTTAAAGCTTTACTGTTAAATATAAGTCTGAGACAACCTAAAACATCCTGATAGCACAATTACTAAATTGTATTTACATGATGCAGGCTGGTTCTAGAAATTTTCTTGGATTTAGGAAAGACTTCAAACTTTGAGATCTTGTTTGCCCTTGCAGCTACTGACAAGTGGAGGTCTGTGGCCATGTCTGGAGCGGCCGTGTCAGGTTCATACGGACACACCAGCGTGTATGACCCTGTGTCGGGGAAGATTTACATCCATGGAGGATACACTGTGCTCAAGAAGAACCGCTACACTGTGTCAGACTTCACTTTTGCTTTTGACCCTGAAACAGCTCAATGGTGAGATCACTAGTAACAATACAAGAATTGTTGGCAACATGTAACATAAGCTGTAAATTTCAGTTACAACAAAAATTGATGCACCTATCATAAAGATTTTGGTAGACAGAAAGATATGTGGGTGCATAACATAAGGTACATGAACCCAAGTTTTAGCTAACTTCAAAATTCAAGTAATTCACTCGGTACCTTATGTAAGCCTACACAAATGTTTAAATACAGTGCATCCACAGTCCAAAATAAGGTGTATAGTTCCAATTTTGGGAGTGCAAAATTGCCCCAGTATTTTGAGCACTGACACAGATGTAACATTTGGATTCCTGTATGTGTCCAGGTCCGTGCTACCAGGCAGTGGTGTGCCACGCTATCTCCACTCTGCCGTTACCATTGGGGGGTTCATGTTGGTGTTTGGTGGGAACACCCACAACGACACGTCCACCAGCAGCGGGGCCAAGTGCTTCTCCGCAGACTACCTGGCCTATGACTTAGGTATGTAGTTTTCATGTCATTGTAGGAAGGATAAAGATGTTTTTGCGTTGTTTGAGGTTTGTGGTTAAAACAATTCTTTACAATCATAGGTGTTCAAAGGTTTTCTATTACCACAATGCCTTCTTCTTGTTTTCTACACATAGTTATCCCATTGTTGTAAAGTGGTCCATATTTGCATGACTGTATGACTGCCATGTGTTACTTCAGAATGTCATCGCTGGCAGCACCTGACTGGCCCTGGCCCTGACTACCAACCTCACAGGTTCGGCCACTCTGCAGTAGTACTCAACAGGACTATGGTGGTGTTTGGAGGATTCAACAGTGTTTTGTTGGGAGACATTCTAAAGTACTCTTCAGGTAAGTAGAAAAAATTCCCAGGGTCACAACACCTTGGCCTGCCAGGGATTTGAACACAGAACCTTTAGATTCTAAGTCAACAACCTTAACCGCATGACCACCTTGTCAGCGTGTTGTAACCCAATCCCAAGGGTTTAGAAGTATTGTTTTGCATGTGTCTGTGCATTTCTGCCAGCAGTTGCAGTTTCTCTCTGTTCTGCCAGATGGAGCTCCTTACCTCTGATTGGCTAATGTTTTGTCAGGTGACTGTGCCCTGATAGAGGAGGAGGATGTGTGTATCAGTGCCCCGCCCGTGCACCAGTGTGTGTGGACAGAGGTCGGCTGTATGGACAGACAGGCAGCAGCACAGGTGGGGGAGACCAGGCAGTGTCCACCAATCACAGGTCAGTAACACCACCCTTCTTTTTTTTTAATTTTGGAAGGCAGTAACTCAAAAAGTAATATTGTCAAATTCAAGAAGTAAGATAACTCATAACTGCTTCAAATGTTACCCAAAACTTTCTTGCCAAAGGTACTTATAACAAGTAATTATAAATGCCTGTATGTTTCCTGATGCAGGTTCCTGTGAGCACTATGGTGACTGTGGCTCGTGTCTAACAAGCATACATGGCTGTCACTGGTGTACTGAAGACAACAAAGGATGTAAAACAAAGGATGCATGTACACAGGTGAAGCATATATACATGATGTTAAAGTATGATCTAAAAGTCTTAGAGAAGAAAAAGAAAAAGATATTTCTTTGTATGCAATTCATTGTCAGCGATCTGTCAAATCTTTGGTCACTCAGTGGTCAGAGCCTCTAATAGAAAGGAAGTGGAACCACAAAGCCACTGATGCCACCTTGAGTTGTGAGTCTGACCCAGTTTGCCTTGGTTTTTCCATAGGCCGTGTCTGATGTCCAGAGTTGCCCGGCAGGTCCAGTGTGCAACACATTCAACTGTTACGACTGTCAGGACAGGCAGGGATGTATCTGGCAGTCAGATGAGTGTAAAGAAGGTACAGCTAGAAAACCTTTCCTTTCATTTAGGGGCACTTTACATCAGCATCTGAAAAACAGACTGAGGCTATTATATGTAGGGCTTATCTCAATAAATTTTACCAATTGATTAAAGCAATATTGAAACCTGGCTACATCTTCAAGATTGCTTTTTTGTACAGGTGTCAATTTGTTTTTGCTCGTGTAAAGGAGGGCTACATTACACAGATTTCATTGTAAAATGGCCTTCTCTCATTTAAAGGAACCAGCTCAAGTGTTTTCACATGTAAGCTGCCCTGTAGCCATCGGATGGACATCGTGAACTGTACAATGTCGGACTGCATGTGGTGCAGTAACCAGAAGCGATGTGTGGACTCCAATGCCTACGTGCCATCCTTCCCGTATGGACAGTGTCTGGAGTGGTGCACCAAGGCTGACACTTGTCCAAGTATGTACAACATTAGCCAGTCGATACACACACTCACCAAGTATGATTTGATGTGCCTTGTGTTAAGTGCCTCTAGAGCCACACTGGTAGCCCCAAAGCTCCTTTTTTTTACAGTGCAGTGCCCTGTGTATGTGAGAGGCATGTCAGGAACAGGGTTAGGGTTACAGTTTTTACATTGTGCTTGTGTCCTGTGTGTGTAGGAGAGTGCAGTGCCCTGCATACCTGTCAGAAGCAGCGTTAGGGTTACAGTTTTTACATTGTGCTTGTGTCCTGTGTGTGTAGGAGAGTGCAGTGCCCTGCGTACCTGTGAAGCCTGTCAGGAGCAGCCCCAGTGTGGCTGGTGTGATGACGGCAGTCAGACCGGCCTGGGGGTGTGTATGGAGGGCAGCAGTGCAGGACCGATGGTGGGGGGGTCTGGGGGAGACGTCCACCTCAACACGACTGTCTGTCCTGTCAACAGATGGTACTTCACCTCATGTCCAGGTGGGTGGACACTGTAATCTCCAAGCAGATGTAAGGATCTGGCTCATTCTCGGTGGTTTACCTCTTTTGTTGTGTTTTCAAACAGTTCACATCCTTTTTAATGGTTCGCCTAGGAGACAAACTATTAAAAAATAATATACAACTAGAAAGGCCAATATTTGCTTTGGAGCAAATACAGCGATGGGTTCACCACATTTTACGACATGGCAGGGAAAGAATGAGAAACACAAGGGAAAACAATGATTTACATTGATATAACTATAATATGAAGTAAAATACAACTAAAACAACAGTTGGATAGCTATTCCCTACTTTATTGGTTAGGATTTTTAATTGCATAATGCAAACTGTTGATTTAAAAAAAAAAAAAAACGTCCATGCCCCGCATTCCAATGCTGGAGCAGGAAAGCTTGAAATACCTACCAAAACACTTGAATACAGACATACTGTCAGTATGGAAATGCTCTGTGCAGGTGTTAATCAAGTTAAATCCCAACAGCCAATCAGCAAGAAGTATAGAGGAAAGCTGCATGCCTATTGGTTGATGCCCTGCATTCCATTGTGATGACTCATGCCCAAACGTGGTAAACAAGGCACACTAACACAGTAATACATTTGCTATAACACAGCCAAAAAACTCAAATAAAACCATTGTAAAAGCCTGTATCACAATAATTTAAAAAACGCCTAGGGGTATTTGCCCACTGTACCTCCATACCAAATTTCAGGACCTTGGGCCCTAAAATGAAGAAGCTGAATCCATTTAAAAAATGGCAGGAGAAGGAGGAGGAGAAGAAGAAACATCAGAAAAAGCAATATGGGTTCACCACCACTTCGTGGTGTGGTGAACCCATAATAAAGAACAGTAATATATAGTAAAGAAGAGTACCAGATTTCTACCAATGTTGCAAAAACAGTCGTAGAACACTGATGACCTTTACTGATGAGCTGTTGTATTTACCTTCAGACTGCCAGTGTAACGGACACAGTACCTGTGGTAACTCCAGTGTGTGTCAGCAGTGCCAGGACCTCACACAAGGTAACAGAACAGATTAAACAAAAGGTGTTTGTGTGTCTGTATGTCTTTAAACTTTAAAATTCATATCAATGTTTTCCAGCGATAAAAGTGACATCAGTTATTATATGTAGCAAGACATTCCTGGTTATAATGAATGAAGACCTTTATTGTACATTTTGCCCCACTGGGCTAAAGACAGGTCACATATAGACAAAGTACATCATCAATGTTGATAATAAAACGGCTATAGTACACAAGTACGTTCAACTTCCTCTCGCTTTCTGGTAATCTTATAAATGTAGTTGGCTGTATGAGTAGTTAGAGCTGGTTTGTTAAAGACTACAAGGAATATAAATTTCTCTATACTATTCAAATACTTAAATTGGGAGTATTTGCTTGACACAAAATCGAAAAGAACGTTTCTTTCGCTGTCATACATGGAACAATCCACAATAAAATGTACCTCATCTTCTACTTTACCTAAACTACAATATTGGCAGATTCTTTGCTCTAGAGGAGTGCGGTTATGTCTTCCTGATTCAATTCGCAAATTGTGACAACTGATTCTTAGTTTAGTAATGGCAGATCTGTGACGTACATTTGCGATCTTAAGATAATCTTCTTCGTTATATGAGTGTTTTAATAATCTGTATGTTCGAAGTTTATTTTTGAATTAGCAACTCTATTATCGTTGTGGATTTCGGAAAGGAATGTTTGGAATTGAATATCTTTTAAACGCTGACAAATTGCTGAGATAATGTTATACAAGTGCTTATATATAGAGAGATACGTGTTAATTACCATTCCTGCTACCTCTTGTTCTGACAGGCACTCACTGTGAACAATGTGTGCCTGGATACTATGGTGATGCTACTAATGGAGGGAATTGCACAGGTAAAACACAACCTTTTTTTGTGTTTTTTCGTGTTTTTTCATCCTTATGATCTTTACAATGGGATAGTTGACTATGTTAGTATGTATGTATTGCACATTGACTGAAGAGTAATGATGGCACAACACTGGGGCCTGCCAGGGATTGAAACCCAAAACCCTAACCACAAGACTGCCTTATGTTTCTAGCCTGTCAGTGTCATGGCCATGCTGACCACTGTAATGCACAGAATGGTGACTGTTACTGCAACACCAAAGGCATTATTGGCAAAGGCTGTGACAGGTACGTAGGAGGAACAGTGCAACAGTAATGTTATAAACAGGCACATACCCAGTTGTACTGTTGTGGGCACATTGGAAGCCTAAAGAATGCAATCTCACCTAAGACAATGGCATTATGATCCACTCATCTTCCTACATTGTAACTTCTGGCCCCATTGTATTAGCCTGGTTTGCAAATATCATAACCTAGACATAAACCATAATGTATTTTATGTTATATGTATTTGTAGTTAGTTTTGTTTGTTGTTTTCATGGTTTGTCTGTATTGGCCATATATACAAAGCAAACAATATTAAATAAACAAATTTAGATGAATTTCCTAGAAATTGTTTTATTAATGATAAAGATAATTATTTCTTTACAGGTGTGATGTCAGTCATCGCTACTTTGGTGACCCGGTGACAGGAACATGTTATTGTGAGTAGATGAGTGTTCACCTTGCATTTGGAAGATTGTATGTTCAAACCCCAACTAGGTCACACCAAAGACTTTAAAATGGTACAGACTGCTTTCTCTGCTCAGCATTAATGAGAAGGAGTTTGGAAGTTGAACATCCTACTACTGTTACAGTAGTGGCCTGTGTGGCCCAAGGGCTATAGAAACAGAAATGGGGACCACTTGATACAGTGAAAGGTTTGGGAAGGATTTTGAGTCAACAAATGTTTGGACTAAGAAATGAAGTAATCAAAGATTCTCTCTTATTTTCAGATGACTGCCTGATTGACTACCAGTTTACGTTTAACCTGTCCAAGAATGATGACCAGTACTACACTGGGATTAACTTCATGAATGTCCCCAACCATGTGAGTAGTTACTTCACCCCAAATGTTTCTGTGTTTCCACAGACTTCTGATATTCATAGACTGTAGCATGTCTCAACTCAAAATGTGTACCATTATGAGTTTACTTGTATTTCTTACAGGCATCGCGAGATGTAACGTTCACCATCAACACCTCAGCAATGGCCACCATGAACATCACAGTAGCAAGTGGTAAGTCTGCTTGGAATGATCTGTAAACCATTAAGATAATCAACTGACAACCTTCTGTTCTCCACTTGTATTGTACTGTGGCAATCCAAATAAAATATAGTAAAATAGAAATCATAACTGGTTCAAGATCAATGCAGCATAGTTTTCGTAGGTACACAGTCTACAAGGTGTACCTAAGAAAAGTACTGTCTCTTGAATTGATGTACTATCCTCATGAAACTATTTATGACTTTGACTTTGTGCTGATTCAGCTTCAGAAGTTGGCAGAAGAGTCCTGGTGACTGCGAGAGACTTCACCTTCTACAAGAGTGTGTACTCCCACGTAGACTACTCCTTCGGCAGCACACAGAACACAACCTTCTACGTCATCGTCTACAATTTCACCACGCCGCTCCTGGTGCAGGTCTGTACTGATCATTTATTTTAGCAGGGACTGTATTTTAGGGAAGAAAGGGGAAAGGGAAGTTTTTACAGTGTTTTAAGTTTGGAGTTAAAATCATTCCTTACTCTTCCAGGTAACATTCTCCCAGCATGGTGGTCTTCTGGACCTGGTGCAGTTCTTTGTCACTTTCTTCAGGTACAAAATTGTTCACCTATATATAAATGTACTTGTAGTAGAAGCTGTAAGCAGTGTGCTGAGCAGAATAACATTGTGTTGTGTTTCAAAGTTATGTTACATTGAAGGAGCACTAAACTGGGAAGGTGGGTGTTCAGCTGCAGGTTTGTTTTTCTTGCAGCTGTTTCCTGTCTCTTCTGCTGGTGGCAGGAATCTTCTGGAAGGTCAAACAGCGGGTTGATACATTCCGCAGGCGACGGGTAAGTCTGTAGTACCATATGTCCATATGGCCATATGTCCAAAGATGTATTGTCATGTATTGTTGTTCTGAAGCCACTTATCTCAATTGTCTGTAGAATTTTTTTTAAATCTCAGCAGCAAGTACATGTATTAGAAGTCTCATTAAGTTCCTGTCACAGAAATTGTAATTGACAGCATACAGGATTTCTGTTAACTTCTCAGTTAGCCTGTATCTGTCTTCTCTGTCATGACCAGAGTAGCTCAACTGTTCAATGAGTTCGTGTGCACTAAACACTTTCACTGTCGGTATTGGTCACTTTCACTTTCTTTATTGAACAGGAGATGATTATTGAGATGGCCCAGATGGCCAGCCGACCGTTCTCCAAGGTCATGTTAGAAATGGAAATCAACACAGAGCCGCGGGATGGTGTACATAAAGCAAAACGGGTAAGTCACCGTCATTACCTCATTTAGTCTGATTTTGGCTCACAAAGCTGCAAGATAACTGAGAGTAGTTATGCCCTTTATTGCACTTTAGTTGTACCAATAAATTTTTTTAGTGAAGAATTATGGAAAACTGAAGTCTTTAATTTGTTGTTGCCATCAGAGATGTCCTGGAGCCATTTCCCTGGAGCCTCTCGCAGGCAATAAAGCAGCTGTGCTGTCAGTGTTCATGCATATGTCAACCGGGGACAGCTCACAACCTGCTGTAGGGCACACAGGTACTCTCAGCTTTTTTTTAGTGCAATAGGATTCATCACTGTGCATTGTGGAAAGGCACTAAGAGTAGACCTCTGGCTGGTTGTTTAAATTAAACATTAGTTCTTAGGGTGCAGTCACATTTGTTTCAGGTCGTACAAATTTCTTTGCGTAGAATTTTGGGTGTGACAGAGCCAACAGTTGACAAAGATCTAAAACAACTATTCTAAGAACTACATTGATGATATGAAAAATGTGCCCAGGTCCTAAAATGTTGGATTTCTCTCTCTTTTTCTCCCAGGGCTAGCAGTAGGAAGCACACTGGTAGCGGTAGAACATTCCAGCAAACCAGCCGAGGGAAAAGACAAACAACATATGTCACTCTGGCATCGTAAACACCACAGTCCCACACATATAGGCACCTGCATATGACAAAAAAGCTCAGACCATGTACAAAAGTGCTGTCAGCTGTCTGTACCCAGCCTCCAACAATTAAGTCCAGATTTCCACAGTATTAGTGTTGCAGAATCTCTCGCTGTCAGGGGCTGAATGGGTGTCATCCCTGACTTGTGGAAGGGCTGCTAGAAGCATGATGTAGTCAGGTTAGGTATGCCCAGCCTTCAACAACTTAGTCCGGACTCCTAATTCACAGTATGATCCTAAGACAGCTGTTGTTATACAATATACATGACCTTTTTGTATATCCTGGTAGTTAACACTTCTTCATTCCTGTTGCAATGAAGTTTATGGAGGACCTGTCCTGGTTCTCCATAGCATGGAAGCCAGGCTATTTAGCTTTTATACACTTTCTCAGTTGTTTCCCTGCCAAAAAGACTTGACCTGCACATATTCTATCCCTCTGGTGATGACGTCACGTTAAGAGCTGTTGCACACTGGGCTGGTCCTCTGCTGATTGGATGACTACATACTAGTACCCCTGCTCATGTTTGGCCAATCAAAGCACCACTTCAAATGACAGGTTTGATTTGATTTGATTAGATTTGATTTATTGGAATTATAACATACATGTGGGGCACAGGTATATTGAATAGAATTAGTCGCTACTAATCACAAACAAGACAATAAATTTCATCTAAAAACAGCATAATCATATACAGATGGATATAGAATATGTGCGGGTCCAGTCTTTGTAGTAGGAGACCAAGAGACCATAACAAAGCTAAAATGGTTGGCATCAAGGCTAGGTCTGTAGTACCAAACTACAAGTTCTCGCCCTCAAAGTTTTAGTGTCTGTCAAGCTCTGTAGAAATGTAGGTTTTAGAATTTTAGATTAAGAAAGATAACAACAAAGGATGAAATATCTTAAAAATTAAAATATATCCAACAATGAGATGATATACCTCGTACATGTAATGTACACACAAATTAATGATACCACCATAATACAACTGCAATGATATGAATAGATAATACAAAGATTGTTACTGTACTTGTAACAGTAACAGTTACACTCTTTTCTATATATTAGAAGAGTTGCACATCGCTGTCTAGATTTCTTGACTGACAACCATTTCCTTTTTGTTTGTTGGCCCAGAAATAGTTACCAAAATAACCAAGACAATTCCCTCCTATGATTTTGTGTACAAAAATAATTAAAAACAAACTCTGAACCACACACCCAGATGATTTGTATTATAAAGTTTACAAATTTAGTTGCAATTTATGGTTCTTACAATGTACACATCTTACCTTGTAATTTAACCTTTATTTTGAAACCTACAAACATGTTGGAAGCAGAGGTGTCCTAGACTATAGTACAGCTGAAAACTAACATACTATAAAAAGAGCACCCAAAATGTGGAAAAGTCAGCACCTTGTTATCATTATAATATAACGTGTTGGAACATTCCACACCAAAAGCTGGGGAGGGTGAGTTATGATAAGTGGAAATGATCATAATCAACTTATGGTTCTTCTTTAATTTGTGTACATGTATTACATGATTGATATCTATTGTACTTTTTTATTGTGTGCAAATAATTTGTTGCATATCAAGCAAGTTATTGGTAGTAGCTTCAAACATAGGATACCAAAGTGATTGCAAAACTTTGCAAAATGTAGGAACTTTTTTTGAATAATTTTATGTGTTCATATGTGAACCTCACATTTTGTTCAAGAAAAGTAGATAATACCCATATGTAAGGCATTTCAGGACACAAATGGACAGAGTGTCAAGTACAAACGTATACCGATGTTACATGGCTTTATATTGGATGTGTCATAGCAATGTAAGACCTCCAAAAATCATCATAAATGAGACTTTCTAATCTGCCATATCCGTAACAATGTGTCCTACTGTAAAACATATTGGATAACAGCTTGATTTCTGCATAAATCTCTTCCTTGTGAATCGGAGGGTCTGTGTACCCACTGGGTTACATATTTGTCACATTGAAAGACAGTCTGTTTCAGAGATCTCTAGTGCACAGTTTAGGAATGCAGGAGAATGTTCTAGTACTGGGGAACATTGGAGATCTGTCAACATGCATTTTTCAGGGTGGTGGATATATGTGACCTGGAAGAATTAAACAAGTATATATATATATAGTTATATGTGTAAGTAGACAGTACATTTTGTATTACAATGATTGTCCAGGAGGTTTTTGTACTCAGACTTTCACTGATTTCATCATCCGTTCATGTAGTTCTAACAGCTGGCATGTCAGTTTTATTGAGAATCCCCTTCAATTGGGCTTCCTGGGAGGTTAGATAAGGATACATGTTCTTTCACTTCTATTATTTTTCCCAATTGTATATATGTCAAGGATGCAATGTACTAGTATTAATCTAATAAGAATGAGAAAAATTATCAGAAAATTCTTATGTGTTGGATTATTGCACAATGTTTTAAGTGTTGGCCTTCTGTGCTTTAGTGCCAGGCAAAGTTGCATTTGTATTGGAAGGCCAGTTTGTCTTGGACACTTTTATTTGTTAAGTAGATATGGGATTAGAAAATGTCATGTTGCAGAGATTGCTGGAAACAACACAATGTTTCAAACAGAGAATCCAGCCATGTATATCAACCCTGCAGTTAAGCATGGAGCAGAATTAACTTTCCAGCTACAGTTGGTTGAATAAGCGAGTTTTCTATGTGATATGTTGTGATAATATGTCAAACTTGATGTCATTCATTATCTTTTACCATGGGCCTTCAACTCTGACATATTACGCACAGTGTATCATACTGCATTTCGAACCATGAACTGCTTGTACTGCACTGTAACCATGAACTACCGGTAGCTTATTCTCTAGATGTGCAACTGATGCCAGAAAACTTTTTGCAGCACCTCTGGGATGGAGGTATTTTTACTGACAACACGTTATCAGTAAAATAATTCCTTATAGTAAGGAGACAATGGGGCTGAATCTGGTGTGTAAAATGTATTCTCAGGATAATCATTAAACTAAAGTAGAGCAAGAGAAATAATGGTAATGACAACGAAATTGCGCACCAAATGATGTATAGATTTTTTTTGCACATCCTACCTAAATGTCAAAAATAGTCTGCAAACTGTGCTTAAAAAGATTCCATGTAGGCTATTAACATGAGGGAGTGGGAAATAAATTATTATCAGCTGCATGTATTCTGTCTTTTTGTTTTTTCTCTCACCTGATTGTATACTGTCTGTAAAGTCATGCCAATTTGAAAGTTGTGTCCTGGATTTGCTGTTCCATTTTCATTTTGAACAATGAATACTGGACATCCTTTGTAATGTATGAGGTGACAACACAGTGTATTTTGCAACTGTATGTTACATTTAATATGCATTTTTTAATCAAACATTGCAAAGAAACCTCAACAAGCAATAAGTGCTGCTAGGCAGGTCTGAACACAACTTCACAAAAGGTCTAAAGTCACATACTAAATACAGCTAAAACACATACTGGAACAAAATACAAACACTGAGAAGTCAGGGCAATCTATGATAATATTTGACAGGAATAGTATTTCTGACACCATAAACATAAAGATATGCTATCAAATATACACAAGCATGTTAAAGAACTGTACAAAAAGTTTTTGCTGACACTTATGTAAATAATTATGAACTGACACAAAAACACTATTCCTATTATACTCTTTTTACCAACATCCCAGTTACCAATATGTAATGTTACCAATATAGGATATCAATACTATGACTAAAGACACAACATTCTCTGACAAAGTCTACAATTTTACCAAGGAGATGATCCAAATTTATCTTAAATAACTTTTGTTTATACACATTCAAGAGAAACATTTTTCATCAGATTGAAAACGTAGAGAGAGTGTCACAGTAATGTTCACAATAATCTGTAGTGCAAAGTTTCTATGAACTCTAACTTCAAAAACTACCACAAAAGTCCTGCCATCTAGCTAAAATACAAGTCACATTCACAGAACAAATTGGGGGAAATAACATAATTTCTGGTACTTTTAATTTGGGTAATCTAAAGTCATCTACCATCTCCTGGACAAGCTGAAAGAGTAGAATAGGGTACATACTAGTACAGTAACTGAAAAAGGGGGCTTAACTTGTCTACTAGCTAAAAATACCTCCAGGTAAACTACATTTCATGGATGATAATCAGAAACATTAAGGTAAATCTGGCCCCTGAATTATTTTCTTCTTACATTTCTGAACCAATGAAATACATGTACAGACATGATTAATCTTTTTAAAAATTCTTTCACGTCCATATCTGTAACAATAAACTGTCATCAATGCCATGAATTAGACCATGAATCAAACATTTGTCTGTGTGATGTGGATTAAAAAAAAGTCCTTGATACTTCTGTAACACTTTCAAAAATTGTTTAAGAGCAAATCTATACATTTGAATATTTAAAACTTAATTGCAACCAGCACATTAAGTCATGTTATGAACATGATATTCAAACTTAAGTTACACACAGTGGACAGCCACAAAAGTTAGCAATCACAACAAGCCTTAACTGGCCCAATGCTAGTCATCACGCGTGGCAATCTTAGGTACCATCTTTAAGGACCCCCCAAGTCTCAGTACTCAAAAGTATTCATATAAAACTACATGAACCAGCATCTGACAAAAGAGTAAAACAGACATGGTCCCCATATTCTATTAATTATTGCCTTGCCCTATAGAATTATTGCCACAATCATAACACCCGTGTATAGTTGCATCAGGTTGGTAAATGATGGGAAAACAATCACAGAGAGTTGACTGTCTGTCACCTTTCACAGGACAATACTGCAGCTAGGTGTTGTTCCTGCAATGTGAAGAATGTGGTCCCAAATAATCACAGCGGCTGAGTTTCTATGAGCAGTGATAGCAGGCTCGTGACAGACCATGATATCAACTTGTTGGATTATAGAGACAGAAAATCTGCTCCAGTCATGAACCATGATGAGGGGGACATAAACTCAGTCAAGTTTGGGACTGCATTTTTCAAACTGCAGTAGCAGAGTAGAACCAGTCAGTATTGCCCTGAGGAAGGTGACAGACAGTCACCCAAACATCAGTTTGGAATAAAATCTTTGGTTGTGTACAACAAACTTTGTTATACACAATCAAAACATTTACGATTTGACTAAAAGTATATGATTTTACAGATACCTACCATCCTTGTAAACTGCTATAGTGATCACAAGTAAAGGTGAAGTTTAACATGTATACAGTACAGAGTGTACAATACATTCAACCCTTGGGCAAACAACTATTCTTAGATGGCACCTTGACGTTGAAATCAAATGTTCACCTAACAATTGTTGTCTTCACATTCATCCCCATGAGAAACACTGTTCAATGAAAAGAACTAGTGGAGACAAGGCTTATCATAACTAGGGCAGAGGGTTACTATCACCCACTCCTGTCAGTACTCAGAGTATACACATTATCAACAATCCTGTACAGAACAATAAAATACATTCCTGGGGACTCAGTAACATAGATAATTTTCTCCTCAGGATATTGTCTCTTTTGTAACCATGTGTGAAAATAAGTCAGGGGGTTGAAGTAGTCCCTACTGTACAGAACACAGCGAGCTGCGGTTGTTCTGCTGCGGCGTTGCACGTGGCACAGACTCAGCGTTACTGTACTGGACGATGTCTGCCTTGACGACTCTCGTCTGCTGCTCAACTTCAGGTTTGGTCAATTTGATCCCCAGGATCTCAGCAGAAATCTTCTGGAAACACAAGTTCACCTGCAGCGAGAACCAAAAACAATACCATGTCTGTGAAGTTTGGCCAAAAACTTAACATGGTGTTTCTCATACTTTTTGAATACATAGCATAGTTATTAAACCATATGTACATGTATTTATAAATGTTACTCACAGAATCCCCAGTTTTGGCAGAGACAAAATGGGAGGTGAAGCCGTTTTCTGTGGCAAACCTCTGATGCTTCTCCTGCTTCACAGTTCTCATGTGCTCCAGGTCACCTGGGTCAAAACAATCATTCAAATATATGCTCTGAGCCACCTAGGTTAATACAGGATCATAGAAACATATGCTAAAAAAATCACCTGGATAAAGACAATCACACAATGGCTACAACAGGTAGTCATGTGTGATCATTTCTTTTGTTCATCTCAATACAAGCTTAATAATGCAAATGTTTAAGTCATTATCAACATTTCCATGGCAGTTATGAGAGATGACAGTGCTTACTTTTGTTGGCCACCAGTGCGATGTGTGGTAGTTTGGGCTGGTCCTTGCATACTTCTCGAATCTTCTCATACCAGTCCTCCAAGTTATCAAAACTCTGGTAGTTGGTGATGTCGTAAACAAGCAGGATACCCTGAAAAGCAAAATAGCCATTTAAAACAGAGACAACTGCGATCAAGCCAGAATAACCATATCTTGACATACAATACAGATACACCAAAGAAATGGTTGGCTGTCAGACTGAGATGCTACTCACATGTGCCCCAAATATGTACTTATCCAGCATGCCTCCTCCCAGGGTTTGTCCACCGATGTCCCACAGCTGCAGTGCCACATGGATGTTCCCTGTAACATTACAGATACAGATGGTTAACAAGTCAGATTTACAGGAACATTGCAGTATAGGAACAAGTCCTTACAGAAAAAGCTGGCAGTAGCCATGATTTTTGTGGAACAGACAAAGATGACATCTTACTTTGATATGTTCATGGGGTAAATTTATTTCCAGTTGTATATATGTACATGTATTATTGAAATTGCTGGAAATAAAAACAGTATTGCATACAATCTACTACCTGGTAGAACTATTCTCCGTAGGAAGAAGTCCAGTCCTACTGTCTGTTTGTACTGTTTCCCAAAGTTCTCCTGGGAATATCTCACAGCAAGCGATGTCTGTAATAACAAACATAAGTCTAACATCAGCATGTATGATTCCTTGGTACTACTAATATGGACAACTGCGATATGTCATATGTAACGTTACTGGTAGGTAGGACCAAAGAATGTTTGGGGATACTAGTGGGACTATACTTGTCAACAACTCAAGCATGGGAATTATGAAAATGATGACAACAACATGCCATAAATAAGAGAGCATAAATCATAACGTTAGATGTTGACAAACAAAAACTGTTATGAGTGTAACTAAGTGAGTGTTTGAAAAGCTAACAAAATTATACACAACAGTAATATTTACCCTAATAGCAGCTCAATGATAGTCTATGGAGTTAGAATTATATATAATTTTTCAACTTCCGTCTGTGTTCTTGCTGGTTTTTCCAGGGAATCCCAATAAATACTAGTTAGAATTATATATTAATTTTTCAACTTCCGTCTGTGTTCTTGCTGGTTTTTCCAGGGAAATCCCAATAAAATACTAGTAAGTCGACCTCATATAGCACCGACCTTTCCTGATGCTCCATCGCCCATAATCACAATCTTCAGTTGTTTATCTGGATTTTCGTCCTCCGAATCCGACATGATTCAGTCCCTGAGAACAACAGAAGACTTCAGGCAAGAATTCACGTTCCTGGATGGACGTTACAGCGCCATATTGAAGGAAAACATCGGTGTTTCTTCAGCTGTTTCCTGCAGGTGAAACTATGTACAGGTGTTTGGTGTAGTGATGCACATGTAGTGATGACGTCTGAGATCACGTGTGTTCTCGCTGTTCTCGCGTGGTTTGGTCGGTTCCCGCGGTGCATGCCGGGTGATTTGGTGCCCTGTCCCGCCATATTGTGGAGAGTGGTGCAATCTTCCTCAGCACATGCTGTCGGAGATTTCGTAGCTTTTCCACGGTTTTCGGACGAATGCAGAGGACAGGAAAATGCCTACCTATTTCCAGAGGCCGGAGAATGCCCTGAAAAGGGCGAACGGTAAGGAGGGAGACGGTGCTAATGGTTTTAAATGGAAGCATATTGTGTGTCGGCCCGGCGCGAGCTCTATGAGGTCACGGAAAGAAGGCAGCATGGCGCACGGTGTGATCACAAAAATTTTCTGCCCTGTCTGGAGATTAAAAGAAAAAAAAGTTGATTTTAATATACATCAATATAGACGCAGGTGTCCTCACGGTATCAACAAAAATATGAGTGTAGATGTCCCAGTGGACGATGTGGAAGCCGAGACATTCCACGGCCTCGGTCCTGTGATAAGATTTTCCTATGACGTGTTGGGATGTGGGGATGTAGCACCTAACCTTAAATATGTAAAACACATCCAGTACGGGGTAGATTTTCACCTTTCTGTAGATTCGTTTATCTCTGTGGGGATTTCATCGCGTGGTGGGAGTTGAAACGAGGCTATTGCGATGTTTTAGATCGAGGTACGGACAAATACAGTCCATACTGTAGCATATGTTCGCGGTGTCATGATTTTCGCGGTGGTGGTGAGGCACCGGGAAGACCTGCAAACCAACCCACTATGAACATTTTCAGATTCACGGTGATATTAAAGTAACCATGCCACGGATAGCCTCAGTCTTCAACTGTTACCTCACTGTTCTATGTCCTTGGCCGTAATTTCACCACACAGGAAGTTGTCAAATAATATATTTAGTCTTAATTTTTCACATCCAACTTTCTAAAATACTGCACAGGCAGAAATGAGAAGTTTTCTTGTATGTGCCATTGGGTGGTCTTTTGGTTAGGGTGGCAGCCCCAAAGTTGAGAGGTTCAGTTTCAGATCCCTGATTGGCGGCTTGCCTTGGATAGGATGTTGAATGGAGGCCTCGTGTTTTGGATAGCCACACCTTGGTTACTAGTACATCAAAGAACCAAACCACACTACACGGTATAGCATCAATTAAAACTGGGGGTCCTTCCTGGTGCGTGTGCTCGCAAAATCTTCAGCACTATGGCCAACCCTTGGCAATTGTCATAATTAAGTCACCTGAGCTAGCACTGAATGGCAGACGCTCCAGACCCTTGCAACTCAGCTACACAAATTGTCTGCGCTGCACATTTCAAGTGTGATGAGAGGGTAGTCAGCTCACTCAATGACAAATTTGCCAAAAAGATTGCAGTTGTAAGGAGAGCCAGCACTTGTAAAACAGTTGTCATTTTTGTCTTCCAGAATTCATTGATGTTGGTAAGAAGCAGCCAGCTCTTGATGCTCTCTATGATGTCATCAAGAGCAAAAAGCATCGGACATGGCAGAAGATCCACGAACCCATCATGAAGAAGTACCTGGAACTGTGCGTGGACCTACGCAAAAGTCACGTGGCCAAGGAGGGTCTGTACCAGTACAAGAACATCTGCCAACAGGTAAGCCTAAGGTGCAATATGCTGTTGCTACTCCATCCTTATATTAGGTAAGACCACAGGAAGTTAATTTTATGGGTAACATCCTCTGCAGACTCCAAATCTACAGCAAGTGTGCAAAAAGATGGGAAAAATAGATGCCTAATTGGTAAATTTCCAAGGTAGCAACCATAACCATAACATGAATTGAAGGGACAGAACAGAGTATCACAGCCAACAATTTTTTTTAATTTCCGTATGCAAGAAGTGCAGAAAGTAGAACTAGCATTGTATTAGTAGTAGCTAGTATTGTTACAGCTGCACTTAAGGCTGCCACCAATGTGATGGCAAATTTTAATGGTTACACAGTTTCTATGCGCAGAACTAAAGGCAGATACATATCTATGATGATTATAAAATCATGAGTCCCTCCTGCTATCATACAGGTGAACATCAAGTCCCTGGAGGATGTTGTTCGTCAGTACTTGAGTCTGGCGGAGGAGAGGACAGAGCAAGCTCGCTCCTCTTCCCAGCAGGCTGTGCTGGACATCGATGATCTGGAGTCCGAAATCTACACCCCGGAACTGTACGTATCACCTATACCTAACCACCATGTTATGTATGCCTTTATTTACGAAGTATGCTCTGCTCACTGAAATGTTTTCTTCATGTATTTACTTATAAAGATGTCAGTGAGGATAGAGAGTAAGATCCAGTGTCAATGACCGTAGTCCTTCACTGAGCAGTCATTACATAGTTGCAATACCAGTAGAATGCATGTGTAGTTCTAGTTTTCATTTCATTTAGAAGATAAAGCCATGTATTTTTGTTGCCCCCTCCCTCTCCAGTCTCCTGTTGAGTGCAGTGAGCGGTGAGGATATCCAGGCACGACATGACCGCCTGATGCTGACCCCGTGGGTCAAGTTTCTCTGGGAGTCGTATCGCCAGTGTCTGGACCTGCTGAGGAACAACTCTCGTGTGGAGCGGCTCTACCAGGACATCGCCCAGCAAGCCTTCCAGTTCTGCCTCAAGTACAGCCGCAAGACGGAGTTCCGCAAGCTCTGTGACAATGTGAGCATGCACTTTGAAGTTCTATAGTTAAAACCCGTCACACCTTTGGGGCTTTCTCAAGGTCGGCGATGGGTTGGGAGTAGCCAGGAATTAATCCTATTAGAGTAAATAGCTCATGCAAACAGAATGAGTTACCTGGTAGATTTTTTTCAGTCGTCAGCTGTTGCAGACGGCTTATAAAGATCAGATGTTGACATCTACTGTTCGTCGTATTTCAGCTGCGTAGCCACCTGCAGCAGGTGCTGAACCGCCACCAGACCCAGTCCACTGCCATCAACCTGAACAATGCAGACAGCCAGCAGCTATTCCTGGAGACACGCCTGGTACAGCTGGACTCGGCTATCACCATGGAGCTGTGGCAGGTCAGTAGCCTCACAACACGCTCTCAAACAACAGTTCCACAACCTCATACATTTACCAAGTGATGTAAACCTTTAGGACTGACATTATTGCCTGCTATGCAAATTAGGTTCTGACTTGCATGAATTATGTCTAATGATGTTTATTAATGTTCCTCTCATGTGGTTGGTGAAGAAACTTGTAGACTCGAAGTTGTAAAGTTAAATTGTCGATATGTTAACAGGAGGCGTACAAGGCTGTGGAGGATGTGTGGCAGCTGATGAACCTGTCCAAGAAGCCTCCCAAGCCACAGCTGATGGCTAACTACTACACTAAGCTGGGGATGGTGTTCTGGAAGTCCGGGAACCAGCTGTTCCACGCCTCGGCTCTGCACCGACTCTTCCACCTGTCCAAGGAGCAGAGGAAAAACCTCAGCCAAGACGAGCTGCAGAAGTCAGTACATGGTTCAGCAGTATGACAGCATTAGGGTTCAACAATTTGATGCTGCTTAATGTTTAGAAAACAAGAGTTCATTAGATAGATCACAATGTCACAGTTTGCCATTCAGGATATAAATGAACCCCAAATTGCTGAGATATTGGCACTAACAGTAACACAGTTGTCTTGAAGAAAATCCTTCCTAGTTGTTAAGGACAGTACAATACATTATTTAGGTTTTACATACATTATTATGGTCCCTCCCCTAGGTAAAAAAAAAGAAAGAATTATGTCACCTTTTATGGCATTTAAGTTTTTGTGATTTTATGTAAAACTGTACAGTGTTACTTACGCATGCCTAACATAATGATGAGCATGTACCAGCAATGTGTGTGTACATGTATGTAGAGTGTCCTGTTATATTTCCCACAGAATGGCGTCCCAGGTGGTCCTGGCTACTCTGTCCATCCCCATCTCCACCCCTGCTACAGAGTTTGATAAGCTGCTGGATATGGAGGGAGTCAGTATGGAGAAGGCTCGCCGACTGGCCACACTGCTGGGTCTACAGGGTCTGCCCACCAGGGCCTCCCTCATCAAGGACATGGTAACTAAACTCAACTCTGTAGTCAGTTGTTTGTTCTTGACCTAAACTACATAACCTTTTGTCTTGTGTCTAGCTGAGGTCCGGACTAAAGCAGCCCAGCGGTGCATCTGGGGAGCCATCCATTTAAGTTTGAACTGATCAAAACAGTCACCGATACATACAAGTATTCATTTTTCCCTGGACGATATCTGATTGGATCTCACTGCCTGGCCCAGTTGTGTTGTCTCCTACTCTTGAGACATTCCAGACCATACTGTGGGCCTGCTCACACTAGCCCAGGGCCTCCTCTCCCCCCTACTTTGCCCCCAGCTGGGGTTATTTGGGGATATCCACATTGAGATTGACCTAACTGTTATGATATGTCTAGGTGAGGTCCTGACCTAATTGTTGTTGTGTTTAGGTGAGATCAGGTGTCCTGCAGCACGTTCACCCCCAGCTGCAGGGCCTGTACGAGTGGCTGGAGGTGGAGTTCCACCCCCTGAAGCTCAGCAGCAGGGTCGCAAACGTCTTCAACTTCATCCTGTCTGCCAAGGAGCTGGAACTGTCTCAGTACGTCCCTGCCCTGCAGAACGTCACCCTCATGAGGCTGGTGCAACAGGTCAGGACTGCAAGTTCACTTATTTTTGCTGGAAGTTAATATAAAGAAGAAAGTATTTTATGCTGTATTTTAAAAAGTGGATCAGTGCACCTAATAGCTGTAGCTGTACCTGTACCTGTACCTATAAAATTACATCCCTGTAATAAATCCGTATGTCCCTTAATTGCAGGTGTCACAAGTTTACCAGACAATCCAAATGTCTCGCCTGGTGGCCCTGGCTCCATTTGCCACGTCCTTCCAGCTGGAGAGAGTTGTAGTAGAAGCCGCCAGGAATGGAGACCTCAAGGTTCGTCTCTTATTGGTCACTCTTTCCTTTAGTGACGCTGAAGAAGAGTCATAATGATCACCAGGATGATTTTGTCATTCTCTGAAATTTCTCCTGAATTGTAAAACAAATTGTAGGAAAAATTTTATGTAACCTGTCTACATATTTGGCAAGCTCATTAGCATAAAACGTTGTGTGTTTTGAATATTCTTATTTTGTGAAAAGTATGTTCTTGATTCTTGCACATTTTAGCAAAAATTCTGAGATAGAGACCTTCCCGTAATGTCATTTTTTAGTACAAGATCCAACAAGCTAATTGGCATGGCTAAATAATTATGCCATCATTTGAAGCTAATTGTCTAATCTTGGCTATCCCTTTAGGTTCGCCTGGACCACTGTACCAAGTCACTGCGGTTTGGTGAGGAGGTGGGTCTGTTCTCCAGTGAGGAGATAACCGAGTCAGAGGGCCCAACCCTCCAGCCTCTCCAGTCTGAACAGTTCAACCGTCAGCTGGTGCAGATGTCTGTGGCCCTGAACATGGCTGTCTCTGTCATCCAGCCTCCACATCTCATGGTAAATACCCTGCTAATTTAACACAGCAGTAATCAGATACTATCATGGCAAGAAAATTAGAGAAACATCATGGGAATGAAGTATGTACATGTATTGTAATACAACCTGACTTCTGTATGGTACTATATGCTGATTTTCTGGATGGTTTACTATGTTCATTCATTATTTCTAACATTTGTTTCTATTGACTGTACCTGCCCACCCACAGAAGGAGCATGAGGACCTGAAGACAGGCTGTGTGGCAGCCTACCGCAAGTCTGCACGACAGGAACATCTGCACATCCTGGCACGACAGAGAACTATCGAGGAGCGCAAGGAGAAACTAGAGAACCTCAACATGCAGAGGGTGGGTCTAACATGGGGTTATTGAAAGGGTAGAAAGGTGGTCTTGTGGTTAAGATTTGTTGACTTTGGATCTAAGGGTTTTGGGTTTGAATCCTAAGGGGAAACTAGAGAACCTCAACATTCATAGGTTGAGACAAACATGGTCTTACTGTGCACAGAAGACAGTAGTAGCCATTTGGTACCATAGTAGCCATTTGGTACCAAGTTTGATTTGCAAGGCATGTTTGGGACATCTTCTTTCCTGTCTTCAACTAACTGCTATATTCATGTGCCAGTGGGAAAATACATAGACAGAATTGGACAAATTGACAATAATGAGCAAAACAAGGCATTCACAAAATGTCTAAATATTTCACTAAGGTATGAGATGTGTGAACTATTGTTAGAGGATGACCCAGTTTGACCCTTCTGCCCCTGCAGGAGGAGGAAGAGAAGCGTGCGCAGGAGGAACAGCTCCGTGCTCAGAAGGAGGCTGAGGAGGCGCGTCTCGCCCAGGAGGCTCAGGAACGAGAACGGCAGCGGCGCCTGCAGGAGAGGCGGGAAATTCAGCGCAAACAGGTCCAGGAGCGGCTGGACATCCTCCGCAAGTCCAGTTTAGGAGCAAGGGCACTCAAGGACATTGACTTAGAGGTACAGTACACGCTTCAAATAACCTTCCTATCTAGTTGCTTGCAAAAGTGAATCTAGAGGGTTAGGTCATGTGCAAACCTTCTGTTAAAGCTATGCTATTCTCTCAATCTCTGTTAAAAATGTGAACAAATGTCGTGTAAAAGCAAGTGTCATTCTAGCAAACAGACATCTAATAAGACTTCCGCTACATTGTATGAGATGTATTTCTGCAATGCTAGTATTTATTGTACCTTCACTATTCCCCTCTGTAGGATATAGATGAACTGGACCCAGATGCCATCATGCAGAAACAAGTAGAACAGTTAGAGAAGGAAAAGAGGGAATTAGCAGAAAAACTGAAGGCCCAGGAGAAGAAGGTTTGTATTGAATCTACTCAGAGAACAAGCATCTGTATGTAGGATTTACTTCATTGTGAAAGACTATTACAGTGACATCCTTCATGTTTTAGATGTTTGCAGATCCAAATGAGTGCAACTACTTTATTAATGTAGTACATTGTTTTTGTGTATGTAGAGGCTACAAGCCAAACTGCCTGTACAGACATAGATCATGGTCATAGATATTTAACCAATTGTGAAAATATTATTTCTATGCCATGTTAAGATGAAACTTATTTTTTCTAGCCTCTTGCTTACCATGATATAAGACATTTGACAAATGGCAGTTCCGTGTGGTATGACTGTGTTGGCCCTTACCCTGATGTACCCCCTGTGTCCAGGTGGATCATTTTGAGCGTGCCAAACGTCTGGAGGAGCTGCCTGCCCTGACAAAGGCTCACCAGGAACTCCTGGAGGAGCGCAGGCTGACCTGGGACCAGCAGGAGCAGGAGAGGGTAGGCAAACTACTTCAGCTTTGTTTTGTTTTATTGATCCTTTTGGCTGAAAACTGTTATAAGGAAGTAGTTAAAGTCCTTCTCATACCAGATGCCAGCCTTGACTATAGAGTGGATAATTGCTGGACATTTTCTTTATATCTCATGTAACTTTGATGTCTTTACAGATCACAAACATGACTGAAGAGCGCCAACTTGCCCTCCAACACAAACACCGCATGGCCTGCATGATGGAGGATAAGGACAAGTTCATCAACATGCTGAAGGACTCTCGCAAATCTGTCTTCAAGGTCAGGCCTTCATATATGTTTGTGCCTTGAATAAATACATAATGGGGTAGCAGCCTTTGTAACTCCTGCTTTTTCAGATATGACACGGTTTGTCAAAGCACCCACCTTGACCAAATCATGACAACTTGAACTGGGTCAATAACAAGTAGAGTATAGCAAAACATAACTTAAGATGTTTACACTTATACTTCCTTGTGCAACATTCAAAGTTCTTATTGGCAACTTTTGTTCTACCCAGGACAAAATCGCAACCTTCAATGCCCATCTGGCAACAGAGCGGAAAAAACGCCTGGCCCAGAGGAAAGAGCAGCGAAAAGATGAGCGCCGCCGCAAATGGCTGGAAGAGAAGGAGGAAGAAGAGCAACGTCGGCGCGACGAAGAGCTCATACGTGGTAGGAACAGTGTCCATGTTCCCCCTTACCATCTTGCCTTACATTTTCTAATGTACCAGACCAGGGTTCTCACCAGAATTCTTTAAGTTTAATTGTCAGGGGCAGACAGCCAACTTTGTGTGGTGCAAGGCTGCAAGCCATGCGTCGAGTGCTGAAGACATGACCACATTATCATTTTCCAATATACCAGACTGTTTGTTGTTAGTAACACGTATGTGGTGTGTTTGTCAGAACGTGAGCAGAAGGAGGCAGAAGAACAGGAGAAGCGGGAGAAGGAGGAGGAAGCATACCGGGCCAAACTGGCACAGCTGGAGGCGATGGCAGAGAAACAGCGCCAGCGGGAACGCGAGATCGAAGAACGAGAAGCGAAGAGGAAACAGGAGCTTCAGGAGGAGGAGTCAGGGAAGTCCCGTGATGCAGGCAGGGATGACTGGCGCGCCAAGGACGGGATGGGAGGTCGGGACGAGGGGTCCTGGAGAAGAAGGTCAGCAGGTTTTACCTTCCACAAAGCAATAACGAGTCTGACACTGTAGATTGACACTGTGTGTTAGGCCCATTGACACAAATATACAGCTATGATGATAGTTTGGCAATGTCCGTTAGACCCATTGACTGTAAGAGATCAGGAGAAACATACTGGTTTTCAGAGTTGTGTTTCTGTCTCTAACATTATTCTTTGGGTGTCAACAGCAAAAGTGAACAAGATTGAGTAGGCTAATCATTTCAGTTTCAAATAAGTAGGGATGAAAAGTAACGTGAAGTTTGCTGTAGTTTGAGGTTTATAGGTTGTTGTAAATCTGTACATTTGTAATAACTCTGTACTGTTCCTCTGCAGAACTGAGGAAGCCCCCCGCAGTAGAGACATGGAACCACAGGGCGAAGATCGCTCTCCAGCCAAAGAACCATGGAGACCTTCTGGTCGTGCCAGCTGGCGTGACAGGGAACGGGACGGGGGCATCCGAGACAGGCCTGATGGTCGTTTCCCTGCTGATGACGGCGGTCCTCGGCGCGATGACTGGGAAAGGAGGGGACCACCAGCGGACCGGGACAGGCGACCGCCGTACGAAGACGGGGAGCGGCGCCCCATGCCTGATGATCGGGATCGCAGAGGTACGAGACTGGTTTATTACCTCCATGAAAAATTGAGATATTATTTTATGTGTGTGTGTGTGCCACTGCATATTTATGGTCAGCATGAATTAAGAATGTCTATCAGATATATACGAGGTACACTGTTCAAGCTCAATAGCAATGTACATATGTACACAGCTTTGTCCACAATTCCCACAATCATATGCATGTATGTATACTGCCAAGACATGAAGAGAAACCCTTGTTTGTATATTTGAAACTGATTTCAACCTAATTTTTTACCTTGGTTTCCTATAATAGGTCCACCTGATGATCGTTGGAGCAGGGACGGAGACCGTAGACCACCGCCTCGGGAGGATCGTGATGACTGGCGCCGTGGCGGCCCTCCGGAGCGCAGTTGGAGGCAGGACGGACCAGGACGGGACGATCGTGACGACTGGCGCCGCGACGGGCCCAGGAGGGACGATCGCGGTCCTCCTGAACGTCGGAGGCCACCGCCTCGAGACGACCGTGATCGTAGACCGCAAGATGACGACTCCAACTGGCGCAGGGGAGAGAGAGCCCCGCCTCCTGACGATCGTGAGAGGTGGGGAGGGAGAGATGACCGAGGCCCCCGCCCTAGTGCAGATAAATGGCGGGATCGCGACGATCGTTTTGGCGATGATCGCGGCCCCCCACGTGGATTCGACCGAGACAACCGTGGCCCTCCCTCGAGAGGATATGACCGCGAGGACCGTGGCTTCCCCTCCAGAGGGTACGATCGTGACGACCGCGGCCCCCCGTCCCGTAGGTTTGAGCGGGATGACCCACGTGGGACACCAAACCGTGGATTTGATCGTGACGACCGGAGAGAAAAAGGGGATGAACCGGAGGGTGGGATGAAGAAGGAGAAGGACAAGTGGAGGAGTGAGACAGACGATGATGGGTGGACAACTGTCAGGCGCTGAGGACCTCTCTATTGTCACCTCTGCTTAAAGGCCTCTGTTGTAGGATTGGAGCAGTGAGTTGGTCAATGGTTTGGTCATTTCTTTACATCCTCCAATAGCCAAAATCCTACAATAGAGGCCTCAGTATGTCACCCAGTTTCATTACAATTATGTTTCACAGAAGTCTGATTTCTTCAATGGAAACAGTGCAAACAGGCTGTCCTTTAGTTCTTGTATTGGTTAAGGAATTTAAATAGTTAAAATATGTAGTTCATTGAATGTGGCCACCTCTCTAAGGGAATGCAGAAATTGAGGGTAGAGTGAAAAATTCTATCTGCTAATACATAACCCAGCTACACACTGACTGTATAGTTAGTTAGTTATCTCCATTATAAGTACTTGCACCAGCTGTTTTCAGTGTAGCGAGTTGGAAATTTTGTACCCCTTACATGACATGATGTTTTGTACTTCAGTTGTGCAAGGTCCATGTAAAGCAGAGGTATAGATGGAGATGTAGTATGTTTAAATCTGAACTCTTATTGAATGCACAACTTGTTAAAGATGAAGTCCCTTACTTAGGTTTTGGAGCATTACAAATGAACTCAGTTGGATTTTGGTTGATACTGATATTATCTTGTTATGTGTTTGATGCCTTACCCTCCAGAATTATTTTAAAACAGATCTTTACCAAGTTTGAGTTGTGTAGAGTACAAATTATGCTTTATTAGCGCCTGGTTGTATCCAAGCTCTACATACAGGCAATCTATATCCTGCCCAGTATCTGTGACATGTGCTGTCACATACATTATACTATTGTTATATTATATACACCATGTGTTTCCATATTGACTAATGTACCAACACATGTACAAATGAATTTCTCTATCTGAGCATGTATGTTAAGGGCATTCCAATTCTGGCAGATACAATGTAGGGCCCCAAATCTGAAACACGTCATAGTCTTGGAGAACAACTTGAATTCTTCAGCCTTTGTAATACACAACAATGATGCAAGGTAAGGCAAGTCAGTGTGTTAGGCAACACCAAGTTAAATCCTTGGTTTAATGCTGATCTATATTTAGTGTTTGGAAAGAAATAGCAAAGGCATTAATTCTCACACTGTTCCTGATATATTATAATAAAAGGAACGTAAGCAACAGTTGAAGTTGTCTGAGTTTTATTTTGTATTCACAATGCCAACTCTGGCCCACAGGTCCAAGTCACATTTTGTCCCAGGTAACTGCTGCGTAATGCCGATAACCTGAAAAGGCTAGAACATGATGTAAATGTGATGCTACATGAAAACCTAGTTAATACCCCAGGTGTACTTGCCAGTGATGGCAGCAGATCCAAGATGCCTTACTTCCCACAGAAGATGGATATGCAGATTGAAGATAATCAACATTGGGTGACTGCAGTTACTAAGAGTCCTGACCAAGATTTCTGACGACTGTCATGATTCTTAATCTCACCTGCAGTTTCTGTAAGCCAGATCATGGATATGGTATTGTCATCTTAGGACTGGGATGTGCTTTGAACAACCTGGCTTTGAATGGGAATGCCAGAACTGATGTTACCTAGGAACAAAAAAATCAATAAGGCCTGTCTCGTGAATAACGGTAATCTCTGGTTTTATTTAGAACACAATGGAATGCTTTCTGTTCTTGTACTCATCTTCATGAGTTATGAACCCATGTCTTGAGTGAACTGAAAAGCCCAGTCAACAGTTATATATGTATGTATTCAGATAAACCATATAGCAAACCTAGGATTCAATGATTTTTGACACAAGCTGAAACATCACTTAAATAGAACGGCTACACATTTGGTAAAATTAAATAACTAGCAGCCTTACAAGTCCATCTGTATTGTATCTATTGTCATATTTTTCAATATCCTTGTGCTCACCATTCAGGCATTATTAACTATGATTCAACCATTTGTGTTCAATCTAGGTACATTTGATCACAGTGTTTCTGACTGTGTAATTGTATAACTAATGCAACAACATTTACATATACTGTGTTTCCAAACATATAAGATCATACATCAGTCTACCACACACAAACATTTATAGCAGGTGCCTCAAAGCCCTACTCAAAAACAGATGAATGTTAAATTGTTGTACTTTCTCTTACATCAAAACAAATCATTTTAACCTATAGGTAAATGTGTGAAACATGTAGATACTTGCCATCATTACAGATATAACACTTTGCTTTTTCAAACTGTTTTATGACATACTGCTGCAATAATATAATATAGGAGCGATGGTTTCTTTTTTCTACAAGAGTTGTTACACGATGGGTTGATTCCTACTTTGATACTCAAAAGATGGATGATTGTGCTGGTACCTGGAAGTGCTACAACTTGCAGCCAGAAAAATGTGTAAGCTCTGTATCTGCAAGCTCTCTCAAACTGTACTCATTTGAACATACACAAGAAACTGTACTTTACCCTTCTGATCCATGTACGAATTGATAATGGTTGAATCAGCTGGAATGGGGTGACATCAGTCCCAGTCAACGTTGGATAAGACTAGTCTTTTGCTAGCAAAATAACACAACTACATGTATTGCCATTGTCAAGTATTGGACTTGGCAATGCCATAAATGATATCATAAGTTACAGGCAAAACTCTAATTCAACCTTTGCCTATAAAGTTTCTGTAACATCTGAGAGTATCAATTTTTGTTTGTTACTTTTAGTACATCAAAACATCTTCACTCGGCCGTTCCTTCATGCTGCCACTTCTGTTCTGGAAAACAGACCGTATGTGTTTTCCAGACAGATATACCAGCCCCTCGTTTAGGAGGAACGCTGCCAGGGCGCCGAGCACCAGCCAGTAGGAGTAGCCGAAACCTGAGGTCGCCACGTAGAACCTACTGTCCAAGTCTGACTGTGGGAGGAGGTCGTTCCCGCTCAGGTGCAGAAGGTACAACACTGCGTACAGGATTAGGCACACCAGGCAGAACACAGCTGCAACAGAAGATAGATCATCAGTCAGTCACTGACAACTACAATCTAAAACACTGGTTACAGGACCTTGTTTTACCCACCATGGACCATTGCTTCTAAATTGCAATCACCATGACATCACGGCCAGCGAGTTAGTGGTTCAACAGCAAAAAGCAGGGGGTGGTTGGGTGATTTACCTATCAATAATTTGCATATGCTTAATAACAAATTACATATACATGTATGTGTAATCATTTGCATATGCCTACTGATGTAATTTGTAAACAAGATTAGCAATTGCTCAAGTAGATTTCTACCTTTACTACCTTGGCATTACAGACATACACAACAGTGTTAAAGAATTGACACAATCAGTATGGTACTCACCACTGACTCCATTCCAGATGTACAGACCCAAGGGCCCAGCGAAGGTCTCTATGGGGTTTGTGTAGACATTGTATGCTGAGAAGATGACTGCTACCAGCCCCATCAGCATAGCACCAGCGTTGAAGGCTATGGTCGCTGCCACCATCGGGTGACCCGGCTGGTAGGTAATGTTTGTTCCCACTTCTGCTCCTGTCACTGTATAGAAACAAGAAATCCAATATTTCATACCTCCATTAAGATTATTCATCAGAGATTTCTCACTGATTGTGTCCAAGCATTTCCAACTGGATCCCATAAGGCAACAGACATGCATATAAGAAAATCCTAAGAAACAGCCTGGTATATGCTTGGCTGTCTTGATCATGTGTAATTCTAGTACATGTAATAACAACAGAAGTTGGGGTTAAGCCTCAAGGTGGGGTCATTAGTTGACTTCCAATACATTTCGGACTAATTTTAGATATGATTTTTCCTTCTGATGAGCTGCAAATATCACAACAGTTAATGCCACTTTATCTCACCTTTATATAACCATAACGGGCCCGTTACATCTTTTTTATTCAAATGCAGTACCAAAACCATGAAGAACCACCAACATCAAAGGATCTCCCCTTAACACTCTATCAGCCTCATTTTCTCTCTTTTCAGAGGTAACGTTGTCGTCTCAGGCAGAACACATTGAAGCTGCTCTGTAGAACGTAACGTTATACATTACAGATTCAGATCAGAGTCAAGACAATACAAGTACGTGATCACGTACACTATTATAAGGGCCTAAACAAAGGCGTTTACAGCTACCTGAGAAACATTTCTCACGCAAGCCGAATGCATAGTTGAACATCTTGCAGCCGCTGAACAGCCCCACATGCATGGAGCCTGCGAAGTCCGAACCGTTACGTATGACGGAGGAGATGTCGCGGAAAACCCTCGCCTGTAGCCAGTAGTTCGTCGCCAACCCTGCGGACAGGAGCCCGATACCACAGGCCGCCACGGCCGCGGTCAACAGCAGCACCAGGATTCTGTGCATCCTCCGCAAACTGTCCCTGTTCCGCCCGGCCATCATGGGAGGCTGCTCGGGTCTTGGAATAGGAGAGCCTTTGTTTGTGTTACTCTGGTTAGTTCCACAGCCGTCGCTCCCACGGTGGGGGAAAACGATATCCCCGGCTCAAAACACCTGGTGTTTTAGACGCGGCGTGAGGTTTACGCCATGTTGACAGCCAGGTCGATCGTACAAACACACAGTAAAGCTTTCTTAAGAAAGCTGTGCCTTCATCAGGAGCTTATCTTATCTTTATAACGATAAACAACAGTTTGGGCGTTCTGACATCTGCCACTGTGCCTGTCACGTCGGGATTTCACGTCGGGTGCAGCTGACAACAACCTGTGCCATGTCCGCTCGCGCTCGCCAGCCGAGGAATTTCAGATGATGGGGTGCAGTTCATGTTACCTGTCGCTAGATGTCATCGTGATCCAAGGTGAACTTTCAACTTTATAAAACTCGTACCCAGCGTCACCAACTACCTGTGTGCTTCAATGGCTAAAGGGGAAAGTCACGTAGCTGATCTTGTAAACGTCATTGGGTGTGTCCGAACTGTGATAAGTGTTAAGGCCATTTTCATTTTTGACAAAAGCAATGCACTCTAAACACAAACAGGAATCAGAACAAGGGACGTTAACCAAAACGTTTAATAGACAATTTATTGTCATTTCAAATACTTGAAACATAGATTGTACTTAACGCTATCTGCGTTTTTATCTTGGCAAAAAAGGTGGTGGTGTTTTTGGTTGTGCTTGTTAATGGTTTGGCGGCCACCTCCGGAGCTTTGGATGGCTTTCCTTGGTACTGAAGCAGAACGCTCGGCTTGTATCTCTTGTTACTAGAGTACTATTTATGCATAATGTCGACGATGCTATGTGTTCCAGCCAAGCAATTGATCACAAGAAAGTTTGTCGCTTGTAAGATTTGCAGGTGACGTCCCACTGCGTGAGTCACCTGCTACTGGGGCCCTCCGAGTAACACAATCTCTCGCTGTCAGGGGCTGATTGGGGTAGATCAGTCGATCCCGCTATGAGTGTCACTACGGATGGGACCCAGGGTTTTATTTTCCACGTCTGTATTAGTGACATTAGTCCAGGGCAGGTGCCACCCTTAAGCTTTATTGCCTGCCTCCTTCCAGTCAAATGACATTTTTGGGTAGCATCGGACAAAAACCAACCAGGGACATTCAATATCCCATGTCCCATTTTAAACCTCAGCCCCTACCAGTGAAACCTGAGCCCTTACTAGTTATCTGTCTATTTCGTATTTGACCAGTTTCTACTCTTTCCAGTTGCTTCTAAAGCCTGGTAGAGGCTACATTAAGCCAGTTTAAGTTACGGATGGGTCTCAGCTATGACAAACTGGGAAGACTCACCTTGAAACCCGCAGTCCGGTATAGTCCGAAACGTCTTGCAGCCCTTGAACAACCCGATGTTCATCCCGCCCTGAGTCTGACTGACGTTCCCGAAGTTGCGTTGTACCTGGGCCTCGATCCAGAAATCTGTGCCCATAGAAGTGGCCATCATCACAACTCCGGCAAGAGACAGCAGGACCACTCCTGCGTAGAACAGCTTCTTGTAATTGGTGGCAGCCATACTGGAACTGAGAACAATCACTTGTGCCTGAAGTCCGGCAGGTGGGCTAACGAAACGCCTGAGTTGAGTCCTGGGCTCGAGAACAAAATGGCGTGTTTTTATGCGGGCTGTCGAGCCAACATCCCCCCCGAGACCATGTCCTTTGTTGCAGGTATCTTTACACGAAGCCGTTCACTAAAAAGAATCACCTGCGTCAAAAACAGTCAGGATGTTGTGGAGTCCCAGGTTAGCGGAGATTAAAATCTCGCGTAGTGTTCCGAGAGTCCCCAGGGGAATTTACGACACACCTGTTCTGTTGTCACCTGTGCAGTTGTTTCAGTTACCGTTACACCGCGCTCCGATCGTAGTCAATCGGTGATAACTGAAGACTTCAGAACTGGAGATCAGTTTCTGAGACGGGGATCTGATAAGTACTTGTAGTCAGTTGCGCAACTTGTTGCCTTGCGTAGCCAGTCAGGGTGACCTCCCGTCCCCGTTATGTACAGTCGCACCCAATAATCAATCGTTTCCGCAACGTTAACCACACCCAGGTCAAAGGTCAAACCTGCTGACAGAGCGCGGCCCCTTCAGAAGCAATCTCCAAGCAGATGTAGGGACCGACTCGCCAATTTTATGGACGTGATTTTGCGGCATTTTATGCGTCTTTCTAGTGGTCCGGGTTTTTACCTTCACGTTTTCTGTGGCGTTCGTGGGTTTGTTTGTGGACATGCAGTATAATCAGATGATGGGAAGGCTATTAAAATCGTTACATTTTCTATTACTTAGTTGCCCGTTTCTATGTCAACTGCCCTTCATCTGCTTGGAGGCTAAAGTGAACCGCGAAGACCACGGTGCAACAGTTGCACAACTGACACAGCTGGCCCGGCGCGTCACGCCCACATGCCGCGCCGGCATTCACACTATCGTCGTATTAAATACAAATGTATCAAGGAGGTTGGATCATATTAGATGGACAGTACGCAGTCCTGGACAACACGCAAACGTTAGGGATACTGTTTGACCCAGAAATGGGTAGCTAGGAAATCGATTTTAGCGGTAACTCCTTCAACATCTGCTTGGCGATTATCAAAGGACAGCACAGTTTCATCTCCCCCATTTGTGTTTTCCATTAGACCGGGTAATTACTAGTACCACTTGCGCTGGTCTCCCAGCGGGCGGCTGATGAGTGTTTACACAGTTTGTCGACCTCACAGGTGGCCCATGCATACAGACGTCAGGTCAGTTGTTGGGTTGTTCTTCTTGGTCCAGGGCCTGCCTTTAGATTGCATATGATTGCTTTTAGACTGCTAATATCCACATTTCGGGCCATTTGTCTTTTTTTAGATCAAAGAACTACTAGTACCAACAAAGATGTAGGGGTGGGGCTATCAAATGAGCCATGAACACAACATACTTCACATACAACATGCGTATACATTACATTCACACAAAAACAACAAAAAAACCTTTAGAGACTACCTTTTTCAAGACACATGTAGCAAGATATCAAAAGGACTCAAATGCAACAGTAAAATTATATTTTTCATGTTCTGAAGAAATTCATATTAATGATATGAGAGCTCACAGCAGTACATTAAGAAGATTACAAATATTACAGCAGTAAAAAATGGTAATCTATATCATCTACATGTATTTCCATTTGGAATGTTGAACATTCATTTTTATATAAATTGGACACCACAATTATAATGCTATTTACTACATTACTGCAAATACTGGGTTACCTATATTCACTTCCAAGACTACCAAATAAAAATCTACATCAAGGCTTGGAAAAAGGAGACATTTACAACAATCATGATTAGATTCCCACATACGGTATTTAAACACATTCATCTACAGTTACATTACAACCATTAAAACAATGTATGTGTCATCTATATCATTGGACAGGCACACAACCTCTAAATATTCATCTCAAGGAATACATGCCTTTGAAAGTGTCTTTGCCAATTGAGATAAAGGTACAAAATACATGTACATGTAGTAGTAACTGGTACTGGTCCCAGTCTGACACACAGATCTATTGAGATTGCACATGGGAGAAACATTATGCCTTACTGACAGGTGGCATCTGAGGATTTTGATGACACATCAAGAATGGGTGTATCCAAGACACATGCTGAGCACAGGGGTTTATCTATACCAAGTGTAGTACATCATAACTGTCAGTACTAGTAGATCCAATGGTATTGGACCCACAGATACAAACTGTAGCTCCTGAGCCCTGTCACCTGCCCACAGGGATAGTTCTACTGGCTGGGCTCCAGGCCTTCTGGCTCAGGTTCTCCATGGAGCGCACACGTCTCCTCTGCATGTCCTCCTTCCGCTGCCTCTCCTTCCTGTCCAGAAACTCCTCATACTCATCCTGACACCTCATCTCCCGATCCTCCTGTTCCTTCTGCTTCCGCCTTCTCTCCTCCCGAGCCTTTTTCCTCTCCTCTGTCTTTTTTTCTTTGATCTCCTCTTCTTTACGTTTTGACCTGTGAGGTAATAGACATCATGATTAAGTTAAAGTCCAAGGCAACTCTAGACAAGACAACTATGCAGAGGCCTGTTTTTTGCCCACTTCATTGATCTCCTGCCAAAGCCCAAGAAATAACACATTAAATTGGTGTGGCCTCATGTATAAAGCCTGCAACAAGATACCAGCTCACCAAGACTCCAGTAATTTCTTCCTGTCCTCCTGCTTCTCCTTCTTCTCCTTCTGTTTTCTTTCCTCCTCCTCACGTTTCGCATCCCTCCACTTCTTCCGCAGGTAATCATCTTTGTTGGCTTTCCAACTCTCAAACATCTGCAATGACAAATAAGAATATTATAAATCATCTCAACTCTTCTCATATTTGGACAGTCATTTCACATCAAGCATTAGGGCTGACGTTTTGCCAGATACATTCAGAAGCAGTTGAATCAACATGTAAATAACCATTTCGAATCATTCAAATTTCTACAGTGGAGGTATTGAAAAAAAAAACTAATGAAAAAGCTGACAGCAAAAAAGGACAACAAAGAGTAAAGAATATTTCTGATGTATAGGACCAATGTAATCTTGATGCTTATGTCAGCATTTATGGCTACCTTTTTGGCCTGCAATTTTTTAACTTGCTCCTCTTCTTCCTTTTCTTTCTTTTCTTTCTCTTCCTTCTTCTTCTGTTTCTGCACAGTCTTCAGATGAATGTCTTTATTCTCCTTCCATGACTTATACGAGCTCTCAGCATCCTTCTTCCTGTCCTGTTCCTCCTGGGTACAGATGAATCAGTGACAGGTGTCAAATCAATCAGTCTTTCCATATCATATCATATCATATCATATCAAATCCCACATGCCATCTAATCACATCACCACAACTTGTGTTCTCCTGGAATCTGAACCTAACTGAACCTAAGTTTGCTAATTTTGATTTTGGCTGGTCATATTTCCATTTTTACTTTATCATGTGCATTTATACCTCGTGCAAGACCTCGGCCATAACACCAGAGTGATAACATCATCTCTCCAGATGGAGGGTTGCCTACTACATGTATACATCACTGGAAAGCTATCATTACCTCTATGATAAAAGGTACCATAATAATACTTTTACCTTCTCCTTTTGTTGTTGCTGCTGCCTCTCAGAAAGTTTCTTTTTGATTTTCTCCTTGGACAGGTCAGTCTTCTTACAGAGCCAGTCCTAAAAAAGGCAATCCAGTGTTCGTTATACATGCAGAACAATGCAGGTCTACAGAAAAATGTCAATACATTGTAAACCCATTTCAGTTGAACTTGAAGTCGCCATACCTGGTAGATGGCCATCCTGATGGAGGCAGAGTCCTCCAGGTTTGGTGGCTCAGCAGGTTTGCGGGTCAATGACCCGGCAGATGTTGGCCTTTTGGGGACTGGCTTGATGGTGGGGCTGGCCTCTTTTCTATCACTGCCAGCACTCTGGGGCCTGCGTCTGGGGTTGACAGTTTTTTCATATTATTGTTCGGACATGTTAAATATACTATATTATAGTAAAACAAGGCAAGCAAGTAAACATGGCAGAATTCACCCACTTACCCATACTGCTTTACAACACTTCTAGTCCAACAGACAATATGTGTATGAGCTTGAGTATGGATGTATGGCCACATAGTGACCCAAGGATTTTCTCAATGTTACAGATCTAGACCTACAAATATTGTATGTACCTGGTACTGTCTGGCTGGATGTACTGCATGGTGTGCTCAGTCTCATCCTCTCTCTCCTCGTCCTAACAAACAAACAAACATGTTTCATCAACCATGCTATGTACTGCACTGCAAAACTCATCAAATTCATCTCTGTCCCTTTATCTTTCAAGCTTTTTGTTACCTTTTTGGTTTGTGGTCTGTTGGAGTCAGCAACATCTGCCAATACTGCATCAGCTATGTCCTTATGGAGCCTCTGTTTGGAAGAAGTTCCGTCTGGTTGGCTGAGACTGCCTGTTTCTTCCTCAGAGTCAGAATCATCTCTGGCCTTTGCCTTCTCCTCTTTCTCTATCTTGGCTTTATCCTGAGATGCAGGTATAAATGGGGACTTCCTTGGTGGGGGAGTTGGGAGAACTGCAGATTTCTTGCCATGTTGCTTCTTGTGTTTGACAGTAACATCAATATCTGGTATGCTATCTGAGTCGGAGTCCAAGTCTTTACTCCGTTGCCTATGTTTGTCTTTGCGCTTGAGAAGCTGATCCAGCTCCTCTTCAGATGACCCTGAAGCCATCTTTTTCAGTGGAGTGTTTCGTCTGGAACCTTCCCTGTACGGCAACGGGGACTTCTGTCCCGACTGATGTTTCCAACTGGGTGAAGCTTCTCGTGACCTAGACAGCTGTTCCTCTGATTTCTGTGACCTCCTTTTGTCCGAATCTTCTGCTGTCCCTCTGCTGTCCCTGAACAGCTTCCTGCGGTCTGCAGCTGCCCCCCCACGAGGAGACGGAGTCGGCCTTAAATCCCGGTCCTGTTCTTTGGTTGGAGACCTACGAAGGGATGTTTTGCTTGAAGGTGACTCGTGGAAACCTTCCTGAGAGTTTTCACTAACTGTGCGACTTCTAGGCTTTGGTCTGGGCCTGGTGACTCCTTCTTCTCCTTTCCTGGGCCCCGACCTCTCTTTCCTGGGCCTGGGTGACGGCTCGTCCAAGAAATCCAGCAAAGATGTTTCCTTCTTTTGGGGAGCTTCTTCTTCATTCATGTCATCAGAATCAATGTCAAGAGAATTTTTCCTAGCCCTGGCTCTTTGTGATGGTGATGCCCTTTCTGAAAGCCTTCTTGACTCCCCTAATGTTGAGTCTCCTCCTGCATTCTTCAACTCGCGCTTCCTTTGGAATGGAGAGCTAAGTGGGGAATCCTTTCTACGATGTTCTTCCTCCACTGCAAAATCCCTGGATGGACTCTTCCTGCGATTCAATCCTTCAACAGACGGACTCTTTCTATGGGTCAGACTGTCAACAGTAGAGTCTCTACCAGGACTCTTTCTACGATACCTCTCTTCAAGAGGTGACTCTCTATCTCTGGGAGATTTGCTTGAAAGACGTTTGCCTTCAAATGGCGAATCCCTCAAGGAAGTTCTCCCCTCACGGTCATCCCTATGGGGCGTTGCCCTTCCTGGACTTTTTAGCGAACGTTCTGCTGGAAACGGTGACACCCTAGATGGACTTGTCTTCCCATGTTCACCTGACTCCCTAGGCAGGTTCTTCTTCAGATATTTCCCTTCAAATGGTGAATCTCTCGAGGTGGTGGATTTCCTACCACTCTCTTCTGTATCTTTGCGCTCCTTCAGGTCCTTTGTTGGGGTGTGTTTCCCCTTCAAGTCAAAGGTTGGAGTTGACTTCCCAGTAGCCCTCTGACTGGGAGGCTGCCACTTGTCTGCCTGGTCTCTATTGCGAGCTGGTGCAGATGGTTTGAAGGTTGAGGTAAATTGAGACAGGAAGTCTGAAATATAAACATTTCCCAGTTAACAAGAGAAGGCCTACACAGTGTGAAGAGGAATGCTTTTTGGACTTACTCAGAAACTGACAGTGATAGAAGATGCCAAATACATTCACCAGCATATAAATCATAATGTACTTATTGTCTGTGATGTATTCTTTTCTCCTTTTTTCTACATCTACTGGTGATATAACTGGGAAATTATGTCTCTAAACTTACCCTGTTTTGGTAGACAGTTGTGATCAGATCTGCATGCAAATTCAGTCATGTTTGGAATTATAATTAACTGGTTAGACCAGTCCTGCTGGCTTGTTGCTAAGGACGACATCAATTAAAGGCTTTCCTATGAAAAGGCTTGTCTGACTCAATCTGAGACTACCTGACTGAAGGCTGTTGGCCCACACTGGACAACAACAATAATACCATACTCGTACTTCTTAGGTTTGAGCAGCAGAAGGTGTGATAGTTTTAACATATAAAGCCGTCATTGCAAGTCATCATACAATAGGCCTGGCTTGGAGAGAATACCGGTGTCAATATTGCAGATAAAACACAGGTAAAATCAGCCATCACCCAGGTTTGTGCAATGGAAAATACAGCTGAAGGATTTTGAACATGTTTCAAAATTGGTTTCATTAAGTTTCATTTAAGATTTAGCCCTCCTTTCAGACTACACTACTGTTGACTTTTATCCTGATGGTAAAATCATATTTTATCCAGGGGTTGAGCTCTGTAACATTTTTCTGCTTGTGTCACTCTCAGTCTCAGCCATAAGGGCAAAGAACAGAATTATGAATCCAGATGATCTTTTGCTAGATTGTAAACAAGGGTGGTAAAGACTCAAACCTTTCTTAACCTAGAGGCTCTCTGGGCTCAAAATACCACCATACTAGGTTGAAGTACTGGAAAAGTAGGAATTTCTGATCTACAAATTGTGCCAGGACATTTTCATGAAATGTAAAAGGGAAAGAAGATGGCTGGAGCAGGTAAAATTGTATGTAAGTAATGCTGACAGTCATCTGAACCAATGCAGGTATAAAAAAAGATATTATTTTGAGCATAGACCTAGAAACCTGCATTGACCTAGAAATGATGAGACTTTACCATCGTCACTGCCCAGCCCGTCGTCTGCACTGCTGTCACTGTCCTCTGAAGTGGTCATCTCTGTGGTCAGGCCACGGCTGCGTCTGTTCTGCAAGGCCTGGTCAAGCTCCTCCTTTTAACAGAAAGATACCAGCTTACTCTCAATAGGTCAGTGGGATAATGGTACATGTATCATGACCTTATGAATTAGAACCTAAACAGTGAAAATATACGAATTACAAAAGCAACAGAAGACTTTATCCAAATTGCAAAATACATGTATAGGTACATGATGTCAACTGCTGAACAATCCACTGAGAAGTACAAACTTCTGAATTGAAGGAGTGAACTTTAGCCCATGTGTTAACTTTACAGAAAATGTTCATTTTCGTGGTGTTTTCTGTGGTTTTGTTGCAAAGGGGGCAATTTAAGAGTCACTACGGCTATGTTGTGCCATGTTATATACACAATCTGAACGTACCTGGAGTGCAGACTTGCGAGTTGAACCTAAACTCGTCCTGGGTGCAGCGACCTGTGCCATCCTGGACTTGGTGATGACACAGACTGGGTTCACTTATGCCAAGGGAGATATGGACTACCTAGCACTGAGGACACAAGTTGTACAGTTTGGTAACTGATGAGTGATGATATAGAAATTCTGAAAGATTGTACTGAATAGTGAATATACATGATGACATCAGTATAAGACTGATCTTCACTATCATAATTTTATACATACAAATATAAAAAGAATCTCATGAAAATATTTTATGACTTGCACTGACAGTTGCACATTTTGCACAGAAACACAGACCATGGAGGTACATTGTATAATACCTCCATGCACAGACACACACACGGCAGAATGAATGAAAATTCATGACCCAGTTACCACATAAAATTGTGTCATGGAAGGGTCTTCAAGTTCAAACGTCACCCTAAATGTTTGTCTGTAGGGTAGGTTCTTCAGTATGGACCTGTCTGCCAAATTATGCGTCCCAAGAGTCTAGCAAAACCAAAACAATCTATTTTCGTAGCCACATCAAAGAACGAACGAACGGTACCATGCACAGTATATATTTTATAACCTTTACTTACACAAAGGGGCCTACAAAGTCCGTCAAGATATCGACGTCAACCGACCTCACGATCCTGTGACCACGATTTATGACGTTTTAGCTACCATAATGTGCCAAAAATGACGTGTTTTGCTGTTGCCAGTGGCGACTTGGCTACACGTTGTTTGAACTTGTTTGGTGATGATGGTATTCCGCCGCGGGGCGTGACGGGAAGGTAACCCCGAGGATTCCCGAACAGCAGCCGAAGATTACCGAACACTGAGTACTGACCTACAGGAAATGAAAAGTGAAGTACTTCCGGTTAGCCATTGACCTGTAGCCTGTACAGTATATGAAGGACACCTGAGTTCACACCGGTTTACCTGAATGCTGTCCTTAGCTAGAGAGGGTTTGCGGGTAGTCAGGGTGTCTTTAGGGGTTAGCTTCAGCCCCAAGGTAAGTTTGAGACATTAATTGTGGCACCAGCTAGCTAGCCGGTCCGTGGACGGTTGGTTGGAGGGTAAAGCACATGGCGCTAGCTAGTTAACGTTACATCTGAATAATTATGGTCAACAATATAATAAAATATGGTTGAGTTTATGTAAACGACTGTGAGTCAGCAATGCCTGATGTCGTGTAACATGTGCACTCATATTGATAACGCTAACATATGGGAATAAATAATTTGTTACATCACGTGCCTCGTAAGCCAGGCTATTAATTATTTTAATTTGCTGACCCTTTTGAATTCTTATCGTTACAGTCTTATGAATTCTTAATCTGTAAATGCATTACAGTGGCAGGAAGGGAGGGAGAAATTTTGTAACCACAGATTGACAGAAAGGTCCACTCACACAGTGCCTGGTTGGTTGTGCCAATAGATTTCGTAGATCTAGATATTTATGGGAGGCTTGAAATCTCTAATTTCTTGTTCAGAATTGTGCAGGAGTCAGACTGTCATCTTGTCGGTGGAAGTCTGCTCATCCAGCCGCCATGTCTGCGAACCAGTCAGAGAGTATACGTCAGTCGTATGACAAGATCATCAAGTCAGCGGAGGACAAACGCACGTACAGAGGGCTGGAGCTGGCCAATGGCATGAAAGTGATGCTGGTCAGCGATCCAACCACAGACAAAGCAGCAGCAGCACTGGATGTCAATATAGGTAACGTTACATGTATCAAAAACTTGACTCCTACCTTAACGTTAACGTTACCTATATAGTATATGTGAATATAGGTAACGTTAACGTTACATGTATTAAAAACTTGACTCCTGCCTTAGCCTGGATGCGTGCCTGTTTTCAGGGTGAACACAGGCCGGCTTCTCAGCTCCAGGGCTAACATGCCCCCAAAGAAAACTTTCCCAGAGCCCTTCCTGAGATAAACCCTGTTCCTTTGTTAACGTACACATTTTTTTACTTTAATGTACTAGTAAGCAACTCTGTTTCATGTTTCAGGTTACATGTGTGATCCAGATAATATCCCTGGATTGGCCCACTTCTGTGAACATATGTTATTTCTGGGTACAACAAAGGTAACAACAGAACTTTTCTTACTTGCTTAGAGTTTTGACAAATGTCTATATTTATCTGGATTTCATACTGTAAATTAATTAATATTTGTGCTGATATGATATTTCAATATTTACAGAAAACATGACATTTGTTACTAGGTCCTATGCAGGTTGAAGTTACCTGCCTCAGATACTGCACAAAACACCAAACTATAGATATATTGATGTTGCATCTGAAAATTGTCTGATCATCTTTGCACTTTCTTACAGTACCCATCTGAAAATGAGTACAACAGGGTGAGTTGTTTATTAAGTACTTTGATAAATAGTTTTTGAGTTTGTGTTATTTATGTTGAGCATGAAGATTGATGTTTTGTGTTCATTGCACTAGTTGATGACATTTTTTAATGTTTCAGTTTCTAAATGAACACGGAGGTGCATCTAACGCCTTCACTGCAGCAGAACACACCAACTATTACTTTGACGTGTCCAGCCAACATCTAGAAGGAGCCCTGGATAGGTGAGAGGTTTACAAACTGCTATGCATTTTAGCAAAGAGAGTTACTAACACCTGGAACTCAGATTCTATATAAACTTCTACATCCATGTCAAAAACAGGTGTAGAACTTGACCTCTGACCTGTATTGTTCATTACAGATTTGCCCAGTTTTTCATCAGCCCATTGTTTAATGAAGAATCCAAAGACAGAGAGATGAATGCAGTCGACTCTGAAAACGAGAAGAATCTGAAGTCGGACATGTGGCGGCTTCACCAGTTAGAGAAAGCCACAGCTGACCAGAAACATCCTTTCAGCAAATTTGGAACAGGTACATGTACATGGACAGGCGAACTACCACTGGTGCTTTGGTTAACACAGAAAGGTGTGGATCAGCTCAACCCACCTATCCCTTGGCCTTTGGGGTTGACCATATCTCTGTAAAATACATGTACATAGTCAATAGCGTTGTATCATATATCATTCAGAAAGGTTGTTTATTGCCTTTTACAATGTAATGATTTTCCATTTGTTATGACTGTACATTCATGTGTTGAGCACCAGGGCTACTGTATGAAAAGATAGGTATGGGCACAACTAAGAAATATTTCATCCATTCATTGGATCATGGAAATGGACTGTTTGAAATAAAGAGCTTTGAGATCTTCACAATGTAAGCCAACATGTATCTGTCTGTTCTGTCACTAGGTAACAAGTACACCCTGTCAGAACGGCCTTCCCAGCTGAATTTGGACGTGAGAGAGGAACTGTTGAAGTACCACTCTACCTACTACTCCGCTAACGTCATGGCTCTGTCAGTGTTGGGAAAAGGTAACCAGGCAACAGTTTCTTTGTCTACTAGCTGTAACTCATTATCTACTTTTTGCATATTACTTTTATCTGAAGAGCGGCCTCTTTCAGCACCGTAATGGACTCAACCAGTCCTCTATTTCCTCAATTTTCAACCAGTCTAGCCTTCTTCAGGAAAACTGTTGTGTAGTTTCTATGGTGTTGGATGCCAAGACAGATGAACGTTCTCACTGATGCATGGTTGTTCCTCCTCCCCTCCACAGAGGACCTTGATTCCCTGAGTAGACTGGTGGTGGACAAGTTTGCATCTGTTGAGAATAAGAATGTGAATGTACCAGAGTTTCCCATCCACCCATTTCAGGAAGAACATCTCAGGGTATGTACCAAAATCTCAACTCAGAAACCCCTTAACCTTCTCCCTGCTGCCTAATGCAGAACCGATACAAATCTGGTGCCAAAGAATTTTAGCGGTCTGAAGATTAAGCATCAAGTAATGATTCAGAAGAATATAAACATTGTCTATTTGTAAATGTACACAATACACTGCTGTATAATCACAGTACAAATGCTGAGAAGCTGTCTGACAATATGTGTCTTGTTTTTCTCCAGCTTCGCTGTGATGTAGTCCCAGTAAAAGACATCAGGACCATGAACGTGGCCTTCCCCTTACCAGATCTGCACCCTTACTACAGGACAAATGTTAGTCTGTCTTTCTTGTGCTATCTTGAAATTTTTCTGCATTCAAGCCGCATGCATTTGTATCTTCATATGACCAAAATATTAATAATAGTATGTGATGCAGCGTTCATGCACTCCAAGTATCAAAATAAGAAACTTGTGTCCTGTTATCCCACAGCCTGGTCATTACCTCGGCCATCTGATTGGCCATGAAGGCCCTGGGAGCCTACTATCACTGCTCAAGGCAAAAGGTAAGGCCATAACAATTCTTAGGAATTGAACCAGAAGTGAAGTAGAACCAGTCAGTATTGTTTTGAGGAAGATGGTTATGTGCAGAGAACTTTGCTATCCTGTGATCTACCAACCTGAAAAAAATCTCTACATATTTATACATGTGTGTTGTACATTTATACCTGTATAGCCACTGCTTAGCATATAAGTGTTTGAATCTGTTGAAATGACGTACATGTAGGCTGGGTGAACAGTCTGGTTGGAGGACAGAAGGAAGGAGGAAACGGGTTCATGTTCTTCACAGTCAACGTAGACCTGACAGAAGAGGGACTTGGTAAGTATGTAGTTTGCCTTGATCTACAATAATGGTTTATGGTATTATTTTCATCGGTTTCATGCCAATCTCCCTTTCCCCCTTCTGTAAAATGAAACCACAATGAACGTAAATGAATTACTAGTAACTATATCATTTTCTGCCTTACAGGTCATGTGTATGATATTGTGGCTCACATCTTTCAATACCTGGAGATGTTACGTCAGACTGGGCACCAGGAGTGGATCTTTAACGAGTGCAGGGTTAGTGTGGGATTGCCTCCTAACACTCTTAGCTTATTTTCTGTGATTGTTAACCAGGCTAGCCCAGCTCAATAGTGTGACCACTGCACTGATTTACAGTGGGGCTCTGGGTTTTAATAAGTTTGGAACTCTACTTTTCCCAAGTCGACAGGTACTAACATTTTAATATAAAATCATGTTAGTGAAATGTGCTTGTATGTAATTGAAAAGTATAATATAAAACTTTATTGCTCACTTACTGCAAGAATTCCTGCGGGAAAAACATGAATTCGTGTAGGACATAATATTTAGCCTGATGTGATAGCCGAAGGGTTTTCTGACACGAGTAAAGATGTGTTCCTGTTTTTCTTATTTTTCAGGATCTGAGCGCCCTTAAGTTCAGGTTCAAGGACAAAGAAATGCCAAGAAATTACACCAGTCACCTGGCAGGACTCTTACAGGTCTGTTAACTGTTTTTGTCTTATTGTGTCAATAGAGATATTCCAAAATTTCTGATGTTCCCTTGAATATTAGATTTTCACATTATTCTTGTTGTCAAAATAATCTAAAGTTAGCATTTTACTGGCATACAGAATTTATTCTGTTTACAATTTTGGGAATCCGGCATGACCTTTACTTCCTTCTGCAGAAATACCCCATGGACCATGTGCTTGTTGCACCCTACCTGTGTGAGGATTACGAACCACAACTCATAGAGGATGTCTTGTCCAAACTTACCCCAGAAAAAGTCAGGTAACTAACCTGCTTTTGATCACAAGTCTTCTAGTATTTGGTAGCACTGTTCAGAGCAAAATCTATAAGCCTGTATGATATAGAAATATCCAATTTTAAAGATCCCGATTACTTATCCCTAGGGTTGCTGTGGTGGCCAAGGCCTTTGAAGGTGCAACAGACAGTGAAGAAAAATGGTACAAAGCACAGTATAGGATTGAACCAATATCTCCAGACCTCATACAGGTAAGCAGCTGCACTGGTGTATGATATTATTTCATCAAAGCATATTCATTGATATTTCATAGTTACAGGGGAATATCTTATCATCGAGTTATTATTACAATTGTAATAAAAAACACTTATATACCAACAGCAATGGAGTCAAGTACAAACACATCCAGACCTGAAGCTGCCCCCTCCCAATGAGTTTATTCCAACTCAGTTTGAGATCAAGCCCCGGCCTGATGAGGTGAGTCGTGTTGATAAGTTGCACCAAAAAAATAAGATTGCGTGATGCAACTGTTGTAAGAATGTAACATTGTTATTTAGCACAGAAGGCATGGGTAGGTATTTGACAGTAACTTCTAAGCCATGTCATACTGCAAAGTTCATTTAACCTGTATTTAAAGTAAACTCAGTAGAAGAGGAATGTTTGACACATTTTCTTGACAGTGACAATGTGCAAATCTGTTGTGTCCTCTCCAGGCACCATCAATCCCAGAGTGCATCAAGGTAATGTTTCTTTTCCTTACCTCCAAGGTACTAGTAGTCCAAACAAATAACCATGTACATTACAGACAAGATTTGTTTTTAATCTCCTTTGAGTAGGAATTAAAGATGTAAAAAAAGTTTGTTCTCAGCTGGTACAGTTCTGCTAATCTTATGTGGAATGTGTGTGATTGTTGCCCTGTTTTCTCTTGATGATGTGCAATTGTTGTCCTGTTTTGCCAGGATGATGCCATGTGTAAGGTGTGGTTCAAGCAGGATGACACCTTCCTCCTCCCCAAGGCTTGCCTCAGCTTTGAATTCATCAAGTAAGATGGCATTACTATCTAAATGTTTAAAGCCACAAAGTATCTGTTGTGCAAACTGAAAAGTGAAGCATTTCTTCTGCTCTGCTCAAAAGCTGTGACTTAAGATATCATTGTTTGGTGCCATATTTTGAACCATTCCACAAAGACAAAATGAACTTCCATGCTGTGTTTGTAACTGTTTAATACCTCCTCTCTCTTCAGCCCTGTGGCATATGCAGATCCCCTGAACTGCAACCTGGCGTACATGTTTGTACAGTTGTACAGAGATGCGCTGACAGAATACGCCTACTCAGCTGAGCTTGCTGGTGTGTCCTACACCCTCCACAACACCACCTATGGCTTCTATGTAAGTATCAAATAACAAAATAATGTCAGGGACCAAAAAGAATAGTCAGTCCTCCATTCATGAACCCCAAAATGTTCCTATTTTTGCTCCATCTGTTGAAAAAGACACTTCTCATTACAATTCGTAGAAAGAAAAGTGCATTGTAAACTTATGTTCTGTATGTGTGTATTATTTTCAGCTTGCCATTGGCGGATACGATGACAAGCAGTCTATTCTCCTAAAGAAGGTTTTGGACAAGATGACATCCTTTACTATTGACCCTAAGAGGTTTACTATCATCAAGGAACTTGTAAGTAAATCTGTTTTTAATTTTATTGAATTATGTTTGTTCTTGTTTGATGGTCTGTTAAACAGTTTTCCCATTGACACAAGCATTAAGAATTCTGCCTATAGTACCGGGTAACCACCTGTCCACATAGACCCCTGAGTGGTCTTCTGGTCAGTTTTGACTGTACTGTGTATCATCAATGTATCCAGGTATAACCCTGTACTAACCCCCGCCCCTCTCTCACAGTACACACGTGCATTGGAAAACTTCAAGGCTGAGCAGCCATACCAGCATGCAGTGTACTACACAACCCTGCTGTTGTCTGAAATGGCCTGGACTAAAGAAGAATTGGTCGGCAGTCTTGATGGTAAATGTTCATGATCATGACAATATTTTCAGCAAATTTGTGCCATATGCTCTGACCAGCACAGAATGCCTTGGTTTGTTAGTATGTTAAATTTTCATACGTATGAAGATTGGAACCTGGTAGAGATTTGGTTCTCTTAGGGAAACATTCCTCAATCTGTGCCTCCTCCTTTTTTTTCAGAGGTGACAGTTGAGAACCTTCAGTCCTTTGTGAAGCAGCTGTTCTCCCACATGTACATGGAGTGTCTGGTGCACGGCAACCTCACACAACAGGTCAGTGGGCTGTTCATCAATATCTATATATTATATCAATCTTGAATACATATGGTAGTCCCTTAATTTAAATTTGGTTGATTTCCTAGGGAGCCCTCTCTCTGTCAGTGAGCTTCCATGGTATCCAAAGACTGTTCAGACTTTGTTTATAAATTTCTAATGCATTGTCAAGTTGTACATATTAACTTTTAAAACATACTCAACTTCCACCCATAATTGCTGGTATTGTATGGTTGTCTCACTGTTTGATGACAAGATGATATTGTCCTTGTACAGGAAGCCCTGGATACTGTAGGGTTGGTGGTCGGTAGTCTCCAGGAGAACACACAGACACGCCCTCTCCTGGCCAGTCAACGGGTCAAACATCGAGAGGTCCAGCTGCCCCAGGGTCAGTCTAGCACATGTTCTATGGGTCCATTGAATATGGGGGTAACCAGGTTTACAGAGTGTAAATAGTGTATCAACTGTTCAAAGTATGTACATAGTACATCAAAAGGTATTGCTACATCTGCTGCTGCCTACAAGTGTTAAGGTTGTATATGGCAAGGGTAACCTAGCTGTCATGCAGAAACTCACTCGTTGTCCAATGTATTTTCAGGTGTGGCCCACAAGTATGAAAGAGAAAATACTGTTCACAGCACTAGTGCTCTTGAGACATACTATCAGGTAAGTGTATGTTTTATTTATGATATTGAACTCCAGTTCCTGGTAGTTTTACCCCTCATATAATCTGAATTTCTGGGAGATCCCTGCCAGCAGAATATCATAAGATTAGCATTAATCATGATGTTTTGTGTGTTATCAGTGTGGCCTTCAGTCCACCAGGGACAACATGCTACTGGAACTACTGTGTCAGATTCTGAATGAACCTTGCTTCAACCAGCTCCGCACACAAGAACAGCTGGGTAAGTCTTTATTTAACTCTATGTTCTTTCTCTGTACAGGAAGCGAAGAAAATCAGAAATGGGATGTAAAAATTCCAGGCACCTGTAACCCTTTGTCAGGTTCATAAGGCAAAAGTTTCCAACTCTGATAGGTTCAAGGGGTCTTTCTAACCTAATTTATTTGTGCACCTAACTAGCCTGGTATCCAAACCTATTTTAGCTGCCAAGTCCCTTTCAACTTCTTCACAATTAGGAAGAGAGGACAAAAGACACTTGACAGGTTTGGATACCAGGCTAACTACTATGCTTACCACTGAAGACATTATACAGATATGGCAAAAGGATATCAGATCCACCTCATCAAAAGCGGCTTATTTATATGTGTTGATTTTGTCTGTAACAGGTTACATTGTGTTCAGCGGTGTGAGACGAGCCAACAGTGTCCAGGGGCTGCGCTTCATCCTTCAGTCAGACCGCCAGCCAGCATATCTAGATGAACGGGTGGAAGTCTTTGTGCAGAAAATGGAGGTTTGAGAAGTGTTGTGTTATTGTTGGTACCTTATTTTGTCATGAGGAAAGTTCATATCACCCTAATAGAGGCACCAGAGCAGCTATAGCTACCAAAACATTGGCAGACAAAACTATAGTTATCATTTGTGAAAGAAAACCACATTGAATTGATTTAATATGCACCTGATCAGACTATTCACAGTTGAAATGTTTGTCTTACAGTCTCACCTTCAGGATCTGAGTGAGGAAGAGTTCCAGAAGCACGTAGCAGCCCTGAGCGTCCGCAGGCTGGACAAACCCAAGAAGCTGACCAGTGAGACAGCCCGGCACTGGGGAGAGATCCTGGCTCAACAGTACAACTTTGACAGAGGTGCGTTTATTACTTATGAATTATTAATAAGACTGGTGCATAAACATGTTAGCCAAATTTTTATGTGTGTCACCAAAGAGAGAGACATACTGGTATTCCTCTTGACTGCATTGTAGTGTACAGTTACAGTTACATTTGCTAGGGAGTGTTGGTTTCTTCTATCTCATATTTTTTGACAACTGCCTTTGCCTTTCTGAACCTCCAGACAACATCGAGGTCGCCTTCCTGAAGACAATCACAAAAGAGGAACTGCTCAACTTTTACAAGGTAAATAATTTTCCTCTCTGATGCCTTAGTAGTATATAAGCAGAAGTTTGAAGTCTTAGAACATGAAAGAGAATCTTCAAATTACAGTTCAACCTTGCTTCAGATACAAACACACAGTTTTCATATGTGCCGCAGGAGCACTTTTCCTGGGGAGCCCCTAAAAGACGTAAACTGACCATCTATGTGAAGCCGACTGAAGTCGCAGGGACTGAGGAACAAGGAGCAGAGACGGCGCAACAGTCAACAGAAACTAACTCACCTCCAGACATCCCTGTGGTAAGTAACAGGTGCTGATATGATATATGGTAACAGCATGTAAACTAAAGTGTTCTAGCAAAGCATTACTAGTTCAGGCATCTAAACATTTAGGTTGATTTGAACAGTTGATTTGAACTCTTGGTGATGTCTTAACTTTGCTTCTTTCCCCTCAGCCCCAGGAAATAACAGACGTGACTGCCTTCAAGAGTAACCTGCCCTTACACCCCCACCTGCCGCCCTACCAGCCACACAAGGACCCAGACTTTGTCCTCTCTCAGGGAAAGGCAAAACTCTAGGCAAACAGCTCGCATCAGGTGCAAGGTGGGAGCTCACATCAGGAACATGGCAGGAAGGATTTTTTTATGTTGGTTTGTTAAAACTTTATTTTAAAATTTTGATACATGTACAAGAAATCTTGATGTACAGTTGATACAAAGTAATAGGCTTTGCAAATTTCGTGAGATCGTCAAATGAAAACGTCAGAGCTCAGTAACAATGTGTCAAAGCCGAAGTAAGCTTGTCACAAACTAATGTCTTAACGTACATTACCACCTGATCCTACTGCTTTGCACCTTTTGTTAAATGGTAGTTATTTGAGTGTTTTTCATGACCTATAAGACTTTTGATGAAGAATGGTAGTATGGCAAGTGTAGTATCTTTCTGGAAAAAGTGAGACGCATACTGGGTATCCCATCAAGTGATGATGATGTCTTACAATTGTTCCAAACATTCCCAGTAATACACCACAAAACAGTTAAGCAACTCCAGTTACTTGAGTAACTTTTTTTGGCATATCTTATCACCCGGATGTCAAACCTTCATTGACGTATTCCCAGTAATAGAAACTCAATAAGACAATTGCAAGGAGACTTGCCTCCTGGTATCTTGATAAGTGAGGAAGAACATTCTTTCTGAATATTTCTAGTGAATATTTCTACTACAGTGTCTTAATTGTAGTAGACTATATCTCTTAGTATATCTTAACTGGCAAGTCGCAATGTACCTTTCCCCAACACTAATGAATCAGATCTCTCTGGCTACCCCAGCATGTTGTTTTCTATAGTAGGTTGATTTTAGAGCTCTTAAAGAGGCTAGGAATGCTTCTCTCTTTTTAATTATAATTCATATAAATATATACTGTAAACAAACCCATAGTCATGAGATTTTGTCTGAGATGGAACTCTATAACTTTATTGATCGTCTAGAACAATAGGTACACAAGGCTAGTTACAATGATTTTAACCTTGTATGGTAGTGTGCGAATTACACCAACTTTAAAAAGTTGTACATAATCAATGGGTCAAGATTACTACTGTTAACTTTGAATACCTTTACGTTATTGTTAGTTCTCAAGGCAACCTGAGCAACATAATGTGTTGTACACTAGTATTGTAGATCTAAATTTGACTGCTCTTCCAAGGATCCAAAATCTTAGACTCCTTCAGAGCTTGTATTCCTATAGTCTGTTGTCAATGCTGCTCTTGTTACCTCACTTTTAATCATATACTTGTAGTAATGATATAATAATAAAGGCTAAACACATTTGCAAAGTGCAAACTGACTTTCCACTGTTTTATCATTAAAAGGGTGAGAACAAACTTTTGTTGCACTAAGTATTGGTAGCTAAGCACAAAAAATTCAAATAATAACTAAAGGAAACACAATTTATAATGTAGTACGTTTATTGTCATATTGGAGATACAATCAACTGAAATGAAATTTCAAAACATTTTAAATTTGGTTTATCTTATGGTGAGAATAGCATTGCCTCTATCAAGAAATATTAGCAGCATTTTGGCAGACTTGCACTGACAAGGTAATGTTCCGGTGGTATTTATTTTAGAATAACGTGACTGTGGACATTTTTTTCTTGATCTAGTGAGAAAAAACAAACTTTCAACACCTAACCCACAACATTGCTTTAAACTAGACTAAGTGTAGTATTCATAGCTGTTTTGAAGAAGAAGGAGCATGAAATTGAACAGGCTACATCCCTATGTTCCATATCCCTATAGACAACTCAACCTATGTTCTAGCAACCCTAATCCTTACCCTATCAGTATGTGAGAACATATTGGTGTCAGAACGTAGTGTTATTGGAACATAGGGCTTCCACATTAAACAAGTACATGTACATTGTCAAAGTCTATGTTCCTCCTCCCCAGTCATGATAACACCCTTATGTAGACAGGTCTGCTCCTCCATGAGCGCTGGCCACAGGAAGTCGCGGATTTTCTCGCTGCCAGGATCGGACGAGTGGAAGCGCTCGTGTAGGTTTGGGTTGAAGACGGTGTCGCTGTGGTGGAGGGTGAGAGGAGGCGTCTGTACGCACAGCGCCCACGACAGCTGCACGCACTCCCGGATGTAACTCGTGACGCTGTTGGACTCCTGAAGGGCGGAGAATTCCTGGAGACACTCGCACAGTTTTCCCACCACATCCTGGGGGATAGAGAAAATTCTCAGCATGATGCAGATTTACGACTGTCACAGTTTTTTTTGTCTCTAATTTTCATGGTTTCCATGTTTCCAAGATGAAATGTTGAATTCTTTTCTTTTAGCAATTAACAATTCTTGTCTGAACCATGCTTGATACCATGTCCAGACATTTGTTTATATCTCAGGGGCGTTTGACATATTTGACACAAAGCACCACACTGTACACAGTGCAAACTGTAAACCAGCTTACTGTTCTTACCTGATAACACGCCCCAGTATCCCAGCTGTCAGCTGCTGTGCAGAGGTAGGAGTTGATACAGCCATCCAGCTCGGCTGCAGAGGCTTTTTGTCGAGGTGAAGCAGCGCCCCCTGGCACGGCCAGCAGGCGGAACACGCTGGAACGCAGCTCGCTTAACCGCTCCTCTGCACATCTATAGGACAACTGCACAAACCAAACAACGTGATGGTATGTATTCATTGATCCTCACTTGCAAATCAAGTTAACATTGTCAAATTATACTTTTTAAAAATTTGTATCATGTTTATCTCTCCATATTCTACTGTCACTTCCTCCCACCTGTGGGGAGACCATTTGACCTTCAATTTGACTTCCCTTTTGCAGTTACATCAGTTCCTCCCTCTCTTCCAGTGACTCTACTGTACAGTGTATTCAAACAATGATGAACACACAAGCAAACACCCCATAAACAAATCTCATTATATGCAGACTGCTGAGACTTACCAGCATGACTGTAAAAGCTATTTTGTTTTTCAGGTTCTCCTGTACATAGAAGCCGTCTCTTCTCAGGATGGCGTCCATGCTGTCCAGGGCATCCACACGACTCTGTAAGGGGCAGACATGCATTTACTGTTCAAGAAAAAGTCAAACCCCTTAGAAGTGTATGTACAAACATCAGATCTAGCGACATGTTTTAACTTCTTGCATTATTGTATCTGTGTATTCAGGATGCTGTATCTTGGTATTATGCTTCAGGTATGAGTTTGCAAATAATTTTTGACATGTATTTTTTGTTTATTGGCACATGTATTCCAACTTCAAGTAATGTCGAACATAGGGTAGTTTGCAGTTGTTACCTGTGTGTAGAGGGTTTCGTATCGCCTGACGAGCTGGGTTGGACGAGCTGTCAGTGAAATGTCCTCAAATTTACATCCTCGCTGAATCTGACGCTTGGCTTGGGTCGTCAGCCTTCAAAAGAGCAGAAGCTGAGTTAAGATTCAGCAGGACGTCCCAAAAATCTCAATGAAAGATAAATGTCATTTAAGTAAGGATGTCACATTTAGAACAGATGTTTCTGTACTGACTTGTCCAGCAGGTTTCTCTCTCTCTGCTGCAGTTGGAGGATGGTAGCCTTGGCCTTTGCGTACTGTTCCTTGAGTGTTGTGAGTTCGTTGTTCCTGACCTCGGCTGGCTGGATGCTCCCAGTGTTGCTGATGCTCTGCTGGCTGCTGGACTCCATCGCCAGTTTGCGTTTGTGAACAATACCAGGTAACGGCTCCTCCTGGAGAATAACATCTGCTGTGGGCACAATGACAGTATTAATGACCATACTTCAATGTTCTGACACCCCTTTATTCTGACACTACCATATTCCAACACCCCTACTAATGTTCCACACATCTAATGCATTACCATTCTTTCTATACACAATACCAGGGGCCTTCATCTTTGACTTACCCACAGTACATCACGCTGCATATGTGCACTCAAAACCTTGAACTAGCACATTACAAGTACATGTACTTTACTATTAGTTTACTAAACCCCAGAGGCGTTGCCCAAAGAAAGTTTTGAGATCCCTTACCAAAAAGCTCAGAGGCTTGTCGATCGTTGTGAGAGGGGTCAGCTGCAGTTCCTCCATGGAGATGCAGACAGTCTGCCGCGTCACTCCCGGCCTGCGCCTCTGAGCTGGTGTTCGCCTTCAGGATAATGTCAAGTCCTCGGGACAGGGTTGTTAGGAGCAACCCCACCTAATGGGAGATATAGGAAAATGACATACTCAGGATTTCTGATTATTAAAGTTAATATAATTAGTCTCCTTGGTCTTCCTCAGAAAGTGTCCAGGCACCCTTGTCACGTGACCCTGTGGATGTCAACAATTGGTCAAAAGTGCCAGGAAGTTTATGACCAGGAATGCTAAGTGAGTGGAATGACGGAACCCATCTACATCAGGGCACACCAACTTTCATAGAGACAGCGGCCAGTATTAACTTCTTGGCACTATTAGCCAATTGATGACGTCACTTGCCAGGAGGGCAGTAAAAAATTTGATGCACTAACAATATGCAAATGAGTTCCTTGTTCATTAAAAGTTTTCACAACATTTGTGGGTACCTTATCGTCCAGCTTTAGCACGTGGAGCTGTTTTCGTAGCTCGGTGGTCGTCCGAAGCGCTTCTTTGTCAGCTTCGATGCGTTCAGACAGCAGGTGTACGAAGTGAGCTAGCTGTGATTTGGAGGCTGCGGTCCTGTCCACGGCGTTCATGAGAGACTTGTTCCTGATGAGCCTGTCCTGGATGTCCCGCACGTTCAGAGAGAGAAGTCTCTGGTGTCCGCACGTGGAAGAGGCGTGTTTACGGTCATGGGATTTCTCTGGTAGCTTCATCTCGTCCAGGGCGGTCACGGTGCTTTTCAGGACGGTTAGACTCCTGTTGCACTCCATGAGCAGGCAGTCGGACAGGTGCACGAGGCTGTCCTCATACGTCACCATGCCGTGCTCGCCCAGTCCTCGCAGGCAGGCGGCGACCTGCTCTTTCTTAGCACGTAAACAGTTCCGCACATCAGGGTACACCCGACTGGCCACCCCGATGATGTCATTGCAGCACCTGTGCAGGTGTTTTGTCTGATGTGCCGCCAGTACCCACTGTCCGCCGGCTGGAGAATATGTCATGTGCTGCTCGGAGGTAAATACAGCTAAATGCAACAGAAACGTTATAACGTCAGGCAAGCTGATCGGAAAAACGTCCAGGTCGGCCAGCTTCACGTAGAAAATCCGTAATATGGGCAGCGTTTTGGGGAACTCATCCATAACACGTCCATGGGTAGTTCGGTAGCCAGGGTGGATAGCGTTACCGGGCTTAAAGACTCCAGCATGCAAACTATTTCATCTAAATTCCTTTTCTGATACAGTAGGGCGACCTTCCGCAAGACCGAGCCCGGGCTCAAGACGTGAATTTCCGACTGGCGCGAAGGCGGCGAGGTGGAAGAACTCGAACTTAGCCATGTCGAGTCCCGCCAGGGGATGCGCAGGTTAGCCCGAGGCTTGCTGGGCTTCACGCGAACTCTGCCGCCACTCATGACCGCTGCATGCACATCGGCAAGTGTAAACCCCACAGTGTGGTAAGACCGGACCGGACCTGTTGATGTTTTCCCTCAAGCAGCCCAAGTATTTTTGTAGGTCCCTGCAATGAAACAGTAGCCGCTACAAGAGGCTGCTGGTGTTGCTCGCGGGTATTGTTCTTCTGGTCTGACCCTTGACGACTTCGCCACATAGCAACGCTCTGCCAGCGGCCCGCACCAGGGGCGGACCGTTTTTACTTTCTCACGCTTACTTGTCCAGCTTGCGTTAATCTCTATGACGCTTGTAAGGACGACTGGGCGATCACGATCTGGTCTATTGACAAACAGGTAGAAAATTTATTTTTCACACTAACTCGCGGCTTTAGACTTCAATTTCAGTTCATTCGTACATTTCATTGACATGTTAACTGCTACTATGCTCTAGCTTAATTTTAACTCCATGGCTCTAGTATACAATTTCATTCCATGAGAACGCGGACGCGGTAAGATTTCAAAGGAATTTTCTACATCGAGAAGTCAATTGTTCAATCGACCAATGTCAACGACATACACCGCACCCTTTGCTCAAAATGTTGTGATCTTTATGTGTGACACGAGAATAACAGACTGCTGGCTCCGGGCCATTTCTGTCCAGAGTTGACTCTAAATGTGGCCGGATGTAAACAGCGATCTTCATACTTGCCGTTACTTACCGTTACACACATTCATAGGAAGTCGACCATAGCTAATTCAATAGGTCGAGGCTGTCGGGGAAAGACATGTTCCATTTGCGCACACAACACTTGTCTTTCTATGCGTAACGTCATTTGAAAAGTGCCTGAACCCAACCCATAATACAATACTAACTGTTACAAAGGACGGGTTCTGAAGAGAAAATATATATATTTCAAAAACTCCAGCCGCAACCCGTTTCTGCGAAATTAGAGAAATGGCAGGCATGTCGTCAATATATATATATGTGTGTCGTAATGCAAGCCCAAAGAAAATAACCGTAATCATTGTGTTTTTGTTAACTGTTTCATACGTTTTGTTATATTAACAGAACCGAAACGTTAATCAACGTTTCACACATGAACACACAGATAGCATCTGATTTGATCCCCTGCCCCTAGCTCACTATGAACGGCTCACCCCCGCTTGTTTCCGTCCATGACCTATTGATTACGAATTACCGGCAAGTGATTGGTAGCTTAGGATCAAGTTTCCTTGCAGTCGCGTATTTGTTTTGTAAGGCATCCTTACAGGTAGGGCAGCTATAGAGGGAGCACCGTTATGTCGTCTCCGCGAAAGTACGAAGTAGAACTGGAGCGGCGCTCCTCCTTCTTGGATCAACAGGTGGGGGAGAAAGCCCGAGAGCTGTTCAGAACAACGGAGACCAACGTCATGTCGGGGCCGGACGCACTTCAACTTCGTCTGGACACCAGCTTGAGTGGCAGGACCGCACAAGGGCGCTCAACGAACCACACGGAAAATGGGAGAGAGCAGGAAACGACCACTCATCAGGAGAGCTCCGTGCCATTGCACGGCGCCGAGGGCCTGAGTCTGGAGATTTGCGGCGCTAGTGTGATGAGGCGGCCGGGAGAAAACCTCCAGGACGGCTCGGGGATGGCAGAAATCACGAACATCAGCCTGGAGGAGACCGGGTCTGGCGGGCCCAGGACCGAGGGACAGGAACTTCAGACGCCATCAACAGGAGAATGGCGGGGCATCAACACAGACACTCTAACAGGTGGGCGGGCGGTTATCTAGCACAGCGTTAGCGGTCTATGTGGTTCAAATACGGTGTTAACCCAGCGCGCAATGGTAGCAGTTTCGTGAGTTTGACACCAAATTTGTATTGGTTATTGGGTTGTAATTAGCTAGTGGGCAGATATACGATGCAAGCATTTCTAACGAGGTAACTAATTTACTGGGAAATTAGGCCAAATTGGCAAGCCACAGAGTAGGTAACTGTAAGCCTTTTAAGTCAAAAAGTAACAAGTTGTCAACATACTACAAAGGAGGACAGAACACCACTTGAACATATGATTAATTGACTGAGATAACATTGAGAAAATATATCCTCTCTGTGCTTTTGGTTTAGGCATTTAGAAGGTGATGTCATCCTGTGGCCAAAAACAATTGTTTTGATGACCTTTCACCTTTAAACCGTCGAAATTCTAGGTAATGAATATTACAGAAAAACAGCCACTGGCACTGTAGACCACCAAAAGTGTAAAATCTTTGAAAGCTGGTCTCAATTTATTCATCATTCATCATTTAAGTGATTTTTATTTTAACAATGTTGACCATGTATGATATAATTGACTTAATATAACTGTGTTTTTTAAATATTGGAAAAATAAATGTTATTGTTATTGTATGTTGTTATTGTGACGTGAAAAATTCCAGTCTCAATTGTCCCCACTTTTGTTCCCTTTAGATTTGAATGAGACCCCCAGAAGCCCGACCAGTGGAGCTGTGGCCCCCCTCAGCCCAATAACCAGCACACCGAGCCACCAGGACCAAGTCATACACACCTTACCTGAAGTAATCCACAAGGCCAACAACTCCAACCAGACTGTCTCAGCGGGGCAGTACTTTGTAGTCGTGGCCATCGACTTCGGCACCACCTTCAGTGGCTACGCCTTCAGTTTCCTCCGCAATCCGGACAGCATCCATGTCATGCGGAAGTGGGAGGGGGGCGATCCCGGGGTGACCAATCAGAAGGTGCCTACCACCCTGCTGCTGACTCCAACAGGGCTGTTTCACTCCTTTGGATTCGCTGCCAGGGACAACTACCACGACCTTGAGCCTGGCGAGGCCAAGAGGTGGATGTACTTCGAGAGGTTCAAGATGGTTCTCCATGCAAACACAGTACGTATGACACTGATCTATTCTAAGGAAATTGTTAAATTTAAGGGATAAAAATGACTTCTTTGACTTAAATAAACTCAATTGCACAGGAAGAAATTTGTATACAAAAGCGCACAAGATGTACATGTATATTTGAACTTCTAAACATATTTTTTCATTATGAATTTCTATACATCTGTATCTCATGGAAAGTTTGTAATTGATGGGGTTTATGGAGACCAATGAGGAAATGACCATCTTGCATTAAATTGCTCATCATTGAATTCATTTCCAGGACTTACACAAGGGAACACAACTGACTGCTGGCAATGGAAAACTCTGGCCAGCTGTGGAGGTTTTTGCCCACGCTTTGAGGTAAATGTAGTAGTCAAAACTAGAATTGTGTAGCAAATCAAATCATAAATTTGTACAGCTGGTAGTATACTGCCCTTTACCATAACGTACCAGCTTATGTACCTGTATCAGTATAGCCACTATACACAGGCTCTCTAGGATAGTTCAAGGAAAAAATGATTTTTGAGCATGACAGTGCTGGATGTTTATTTCTTGTTCTTTTAAGGAAGATACTTGTCCATATTTTTTTCTCCTGGCAAAATTTGTCAAGAGTAACATCATTGACAAAAACCTTGGATGTATCCTGTCTAGGTTCTTCAAAGACCACGCCCTGCAGGAGCTGACTGACCAGTCCTGTACACAGATCAACAACGAGGATGTGAGATGGGTCATCACTGTTCCAGCCATATGGAGACAGCCAGCAAAACAGTTCATGAGAGAGGCAGCCTACAAGGTCAGTCTTCCCTTATGGACACACAATTGTTGACTTTCCATATTCTTATCCCAAACAAAGACTTTGTTGGTACAGATACCTGTGTGAAGGTCCAGAAGTATCAGAGGGGTAGTTTGGAGACCCATAGTGCACAGTGCAATACCTCCAATGTGTGAATTTAGAATCAATCTGTGCAGGACTAATCACTTAGCCTTGCCTGACAAATTGGGTTGTATGAGAAGAAACAGACATGCCTGTCCACAGGGGCACAAGGTTCACTCCACATTTGGGAAAGTTAGATCTAAAACCAAAATGAATGATGAATTATTTCAAATTGCATGTACCTATGCTTTATCAGACCTGTGTCTCTGATGAAACCGCCTAAGAGGAAGTAAACCAAACTGTTGTGTGAGTTCCGAATTGCTTTTATATAATTGTTTCATTGAACTACTAGTTAAAGCCTGTGACTTTTTTTTCTAGATGTAATCATGTAATGCACTTTGGCTGATACCTGTGTGTGGATCATGTGTCTCCAGGGCAGTGCTTGGAAATCTAAACCTGAAGTATCATGTTCTGTTGTGTAGACATTAGCCTAGAACAGAGGTTTGGGACCATCTGATTCCATAACATCATTCAACAAAGTTGACAAAAGAGAGTCAAGGTTCTCAAGGATGTTGATACACCTGTTTTCCTAGACCCAACTTTACTTGTAAAACCTTGCATATACTCAAATTTAAATTAGGCCACGTCAGGTCTCAGATCACTTGTTTGAATTCCATGACTTTCAAACACCACAGGCACCTGTTGTGGTAACTCTCACACTGTTTGGGTTTAGAAGCAAGTTATTTCCACATGCAGTATTTGTAAAATTCCTGGCACGGAAAGGCTAGGAGGAATATATTATCAGAGAATGGAGATGAGATGGTGATGAGTTGACTGTCTTACAGGCTGGAATGGTGTCCAGGGACTGTCCTGAGCAGCTACTGATTGCTCTGGAGCCAGAGGCTGCCTCCATCTACTGCAGACAGCTGCGGTATCACCAGCTGGTGTCGGACTCCAACTCTCCCCAGCCTGCAGCGCCCCAGGCCACTGTGGCAGCAGACATGGCTTCAGGTAGTTTTTGGCAATGCCTCAGGGGCACCGCCTTTTTCTCTGCACTGTTTTGTTGTTTTCAATGAAAAGTCTTTGTTAGAAGTTTTCTACTATATTTTTTAATACATGTAACTGTATGGGTCACTATTTACTAATCTATGATCAACTTTATTCATTGGTAAGGTGGCTTTTGGACCCCCTACATTTTGATACGTACCAACATATAATAGCAGGATCATGGTTTGCATCCCCATTTCCCGACATCCCTATGTTCTGACAACCCAACCTCTGCTCGGACGACCATATCCCGATGTTGGAACCTTGAGGTGTTGGAACATAGGGCTGTCCCCACAGGGTGGCTTACACGGCGGTCTGTCACTACGGCATTCTTTCCCATTGCTATGCGCGTTCTAAAAGGTATCGGGTTACAAGACGCTATTTTGACCTGTTTTGGACTACCCGTAAAATATTTGAAAATACACAAATAATATTCATGGGTAAATTTCGTCAAATTAAAATGAAATTATCGTCTTAACATCCTTTAAATGTTAGCTTTTTATGTTAAATCAATGATTTTTTTAAATTTCGCTCAGAAAGACGATTATTTTCGGGTTTCCGAGCACAAGTCATATTACCTTTTTAGGCAAACATCGTTCAAACCTGGCTACGTATATTACCCTAGACCCCCGATTTTTACATTTTTCACAGACTAGGAATAAGACAAAAAATCGTGTTTTAGGGGTTTTTTAATTTCTGATTTTAAGTCTAGTTTTTCTCGATATATTGGTGAAAAAAAGGCATTTTTTTACATTTTTCACACTAAATTACCCATAATTCAAAATTGAGGCCATTTTTAAAAAAATCCCTAAAACACGATTTTCGGGACAACCGTTACAGTCATTTTGAGCCGTAAATGGGGTATGTTTGACTCTCCATGTTTCCAGGTTTGAACAAGTTTTGGAGACATGTCATATCGCCAGAAAGTGTGCATTGTGTTATTCATACTGGCGTAAAGAATCATTACGGTATTCAAGGTCACTCAAGGATACGACAGTAGCTTCGCTACATGTTACATGTCCACCAAAAATAATAGCGGACATATACTGTCCAGGAAACTGTTTGTATCTATAGAAAAGTGTTGTTTTTTATCTGTTGCAATGCACGGAGGTAGAAAGGCTTGTTTTGCCGCTTTATAGTAAATGACCGCAGGTGACCCCGAAATAGAACGCGGGTTCGATTCGAATTCCCCAGATCGAACACGATCGAACACAGTTCGGGTTCTATGACATGTGGGAACTTTGCAGCCCAGATTTTACCACCGTGTTAGGTGGGCATATTCTCACCTGAACCTGTTGTCCTTTAGGTGACCGGTACATGGTGGTGGACTGTGGAGGGGGGACGGTGGATCTGACAGTGCATCAGCTGGAGGAGGAGCCACAGGGGGGTCTGAAGGAGCTGCACAAGGCCTCAGGTATGTGGGGGTCTGGATGGGGGGATCCTGGCAATGCTAGATTTAGGAGAGCTGGCGATAAAAAGAATGCAGGCCCTCATATGTACCTCAACATCTCAACTGGGTTGGGTACATGTACGAGCAGCAGTTGCACTATTCATTTCAGTATCAAGGCAGAGAAATTAGCATGTTGAAGTCTACAGAGCTTTAACCCGGGTGCAGCACAGGTCACCATTTGTAGGAGAGATAAACAAATGGCAGGTATAAGAACAGTCTGATTCATTCCGATTTGGATTAAAACTGGCATCAGAGCTTCAACGATATCTTTGTTAAATTCCAGGAGGGCCCTATGGATCAATTGGAGTCGATGAAGCCTTTGAACGACTCCTTCACAACATCTTTGGCAGTGACTTCATCGAGCAGTTTAAGCGGAAGCGCCCTGCTGGCTGGGTGGACCTGCTGGTGGCGTTTGAAGCCAGGAAGAGAGCCGCCAGCCCGTACAAAACCAACCCCCTCAACGTGTCCCTCCCCTTCTCCTTCATTGACTACTTCAAGAAGACGAAGGGCAGCAGTGTGGAGGCGGCCATACGGAAGAGCGGGTACAAGTACATCAAATGGTCATCACAAGGCATGCTGAGGATGAGCCCAGAGGCCATGCGTGAGCTCTTCCTTCCAACGTTAAGTAAGATCGTGGGCCAAGTTATCACAGTCCTCCAGAAACCAGACGTGGCAGGAATCAAGTATCTGTTCCTAGTCGGTGGTTTTTCCGAGTCCCCGCTCCTACAGCACGAGCTGCGTGCGGCGGTGGGGCAGTCTGTACGCGTCATGATTCCCCAGGACGTGGGACTCAGCATCCTGAAGGGCGCCGTGTTGTTTGGACTCGACCCGGCCGTCATCAGGGTCCGCCGGTCCGCCCTGACATACGGGGTCGGAATTCTGAACAAATTCGTGTACGGGAAGCACCCGCCCGAAAAACTCATCATCAAGGATGGCGTGGAGTGGTGCACGGACGTGTTTGACACCTTCGTGACCATCGACCAATCGGTAGCCATCGGGGACAGGGTGACGAGGAGTTACACTCCAGCTAAGCACAGCCAGTCCAACATCGTCATCAACATCTACTGCAGCGAGAGAGAAGATGTGCAGTACATCACAGAGACTCACGTGCAGAAGTGCGGGACACTGAAGCTGGACTTGACACGGTCAGACTACACAGTTGCCCCTCACCGGAGGGAACTGCAGACAACCATGCAATTTGGAGACACAGAGATCCGAGTCACAGCACTGGACATTCTCACATGTACATCTGTCAAAGCCACCATCGACTTCCTCAACAAATAAAGCACTGAAACTCACTCTGTCCATGCAAACATTACAGTTTAAACTGCCCAAGAAGACCACTCAGGGGACCTATAAAATCTGGTCTATGTGGACAGGTGGTCACTATAGACAGGATTTTTATTGCTTGTGTAAATGGGAAAATTGTGATCACAGTGACCAGGTGGTCCTTATGTAGATGTGGTCGCTTGTATAAGTGTCAAACTGGTTATCATTGTTAATCAATGGCTTTCATGTTATAGCTGGTGAAAGCATGTAGATTCAATAGATTAATAGATTATTTTCTTAGGTGGAAGTGTTCTTTTCCCCAGACTGTTATTCAACATCTGAAATATATAGGGTCTAGAATTGATACTTATTAATTGCACTATTATAATAATTGTAAAGCACCAGACATTGCAGCCTTGTTGTCAACCAGCACAAAAAGCAATTCAAGAATCACATCCAGTTCTCCTGATGGAAATATTTTTACCAGTTTGCATATTGTGTTCAATCAAAATTATACAATTTGTGAGGAATTAGTTTGTGTCATCTAGTAGTCAATGTTTTCATAAAGAGCATGTCCCTGTTGTAATATCCCTGGACAAAATACTAGTACATGTAATGCCCTCCACACCCTGGTAGTTTCATCCTCATTATGGTCCATTGATGCCCCCTATCTACACCTGTTCAAACTACAATGTACAGTAATTACTGCATGTTCAAACACTTCTATTCTGATGAGTAGCAATAGGAAAACTTTTCCCCTGAGTGCATGATGATTCAATTGCCATATGGTACCATTACTTGCCTTCAGTGCTTTTGGTATTAATTCTTGACAAAAACAGTTTTTCTATAAAAAGAATTTTATTCAGAGGATGTGATGTTGTAAACTTATGTCATAGTCAGTTTTCATGTCTTTAAAATGTGCAATGACATAATTTTGATAGATTAGCACATCATTTTGCTCTTCACAATGTAATACCAGATACAAACCATAGTGTTACACAAGAATTTGCATCAAATATTCGATAATCCAGTCAATTAATATCAACTGTTTTAACAACCTATTATATTTCCTATATTGAATTTTTCGATAGCCATCCGATGTACTTGTATGATTTATGACAGTTTTATCAGCATTAATAAAATCAAAATTTTATTTACAAACTAACAGTGTCTCTCACATATATCAGTACTACATTGCTACCAGCCTTTTCGGTGGTTTTCTCCCTATTGAGCCCACTTCAAACGAGCCCATTAGACGTCAAAGACCTTTGTCGAACACGGTAAGAGAGGCCGTTACCCCTCCCCCGACTCCGTGCCCCTGTCCCTGGGGCGTTCTAATTGATTAGGGACAGTCTAATTGGACTCTTGAAGTGGGTTGCTACTGCCAGCCTTCGTCATCCTGATTTTCATATTTATATACCAAAACATACATCAGAGAAACATGTCGTTATAAGCATATCCTCTTTTCTCGGTAACCATTTTAATATGAACACATGCCCCACGGGAATATGACACCACTGATGACTACTAAGTATATATTGCCTCACAGTTTTAGACTCATTCTCGTGGACATCTAAAACCAGATCTAGACTAGACATGCAGCACGATCGTAGCACAGGACTTCACCCGGAAAAACAGTATACCGATTGTAAGATGTGCCTCATTTTAAAACTCTCCAGCAAAATACAGGTTCAAAATGTCGTAAAAATTTAACAATTTCTGCCTTTTTATCTGATCATTTACTTTTTAAGCCATTTGCCTCGAAGTTTGTATTGTGCCCATCCAGATTGGGTATAATGATACATAGTCCCAAATGTGTGTTTGATGTTAATTTATATAGCTTTTAGATGCCTAACGGTCTACCTTTTAATAGTACCTGTACAACTGTCGTGCAATAAACTCATGCTAATACCTTGCCTCAGAACCCGAGGTCCCAGCTCTCAGACTGTGAATAGCCGCCAGTCAGCCCCCTGCCTCCTGCCAATCACTGTATGAACCTGTTCATATGAAAATTTTCCAGATGACTCGACAGGGTAGACTTTAGATCATACACGTGCCAGAGCAAGGTGCGCCAGCCTCATTTAAAGCTAATCTTGTGCTGTAGGAGGGAGACAAAATGAGTCTGCTATATTGCAGAGGGAGACTTTGATGTTTGGATTCGATCTGTCTCGGGTCTGGAAATAAATCAGGAACTCAGGCGTGCGACGCATTCTCCTAGGAGACTAATCATGGGGCCGGCGCACTGGTCTATACCTAATGTCACACGGGCGCGATTTGACGCACACGTCTCCAACTATTGCCGTACAGTCGCACTGGTCCCCACCTCTTTCCAACTCACTCTGTCGTATTAAATGTCGCACTAGAAATTCACACTGTCCAATTGCTTTAGTTCATTTCTTTATTCAGGAATATTCCCAGATACTGACTTTCCAGATACCTGGTTTCAAAGATAGCTTCTTCTCGCATTGACAAGGATAAACAAGTAACAATGCAGCAATAGATTTCAAAATGGCCATGGCACATTAACATCATAATACCTTCTCAAAAATAATCCATTGGACATCATTAAATATTTTTGTCGGTGTTTTGATGTTTTGTTAAACTCACTTTGGAAGGTATTGCTTGTCACCAACACTGTTCTTGTATGAGAATTGCTCTATAAATTTACAACAAATGAAGAAAACACTCACTAGCCCATTTGATACAGCAATATTGGAATAGGTCTAATGGGCGAAACTGTACATTGCTACAACTGCACTAAATACGGAACGTTTCTTTCGTGGTTTACATATAATACAAACAACAGTGCAGATCGTCGTACGATTTTGATGCCGTGGAATTTTAAGCCTGGCAAGCTGTGAAAGAACCAACTGCCGACAATAATCTAAGGCCTCTAAAGAAACAAGACAGTCGAATTTTGCAGAATATGTGCACGGCTATCCCAAGAATGACCTCAGTTTGCGATTGTACAAGTACGACTGTTATGTGAGCAGGTCTTAGTACATAGTACTAGTAATACGGGTCGGTCATATCATGTCATGGATCCGTGTCGAGTCGTGAACCGAGTGCAGTTCGTGTCGCTCTAAGCTCTACTCTTACTTGCTACGTGATCAGTACACGCGCGTGTCTATCTGCCCGTGGTGTGTTGGTGAGGAGGCGCGGAAGGAGCGGGAGACTCCGGGCCCGAGTCGGACTCGGAGCTTGTGTGGGAAGAGAGCCGCGCCAGGCGGGCCTGCTGCTGCTCGTAGTTCTGTCGGCGCCATTTGATCCTTCTGTTCTGAAACCACACTTTCACCTGCCAGGGAAAAAGGAAATTAGCCGTCAGCGATCTTCCGAAAAATGACATTTTTTTTTAAATTTACACTCACTTTTCGTTAGGCCCCTTTCCGGTGGATGGCGATCGCAGAAGGACCAAAATTGGATTTGTGTGACCCTTGATTTTATGATTTAATTTGATGCACGATGCAAAAGTATATTTTGAAAGATATGATAGCAAAAACGTACAAAACTCTCCAAGCAGAGGTTTGTGCTTTGCTGGCACAAAAAAAATACCTGTACAAAAAAGAGAGCCCGATAAAAAAAACCTAACACGCCAAAAATGAGGCAGCCAAAGGCAAAACCTCTACTTGAGGAGTATACAAAACGCACAAAACGTAAAAAAAAATAGCTCCAGTTCAAGATTGATAAATTCATGTCGACAAGAAATAAAAAGACAGCGTGAAAATGTCCGCTCCCTACCTGCGCTTCCGTGAGGTTGAGCGAGGCGGCCAGGTGGTACCTCTCGGAGCCCACCATGTACTGCTGCCGGGAGAACTCCCGCTCCAGCCGCTCCAGCTGCTCGGGGGTGAAGATGGTGCGTATCCGCTTCCCTTTCCGCGACTTGCCGTCCTTCTCAGTCGAAGTCTCACTCGCCATCGGGCAGCCTGGATCACAAAAATACAGTCTACATTTAGACGTTCCTGGATAAATTTTGACGTGATACTTTAACGCACTCGAGGTCATATAAAAATACCAATATTGGTATGACAACTGTTGAACACTTTGTACATTTCAATGTGCATATAGAACCAATACCTACAATTTTATCTATTTCCGTACACGCACGGTACGTATACAACCATGAACCAAGGCTTGTTTCACATATTTTAAGGTAAAACATAGCAGGATCAGGTTCATTTTTATTTTTATTTGCTTGTATAAAGGTCTTGTTTTCGTTACTTATCTATGTTATGCACTCACGTATATTTCACGAGGGTTGGATAAAAGCAATGTTACTTATCGAGGCCCTCTTAGACATATGTAAAAGTAAGATCAACAAGAAAGTGATGATGATTTCCTCTGTTTGAATGATTATCATATACATATATCAGCAACCAACAGCACACAGAAGCTACATTGTTGGTATAACAGTGGACCATACAGTTGAGTATTACCACTACATTCAAACTGACCCTTCTCGCGATCAGTCGACTCCACGACAAGAAAAGCCTGGCGATCTCCGAAATACAGATCATGAGATGGTTATACATAGGATGTTGCAAAAAATCATCATCATTTAGGTATTAATGTGTACTGCCTATATCAAGATGTGTTCGGCCTTGTTTGTCGGACACGATTAGAAATGTGTATCTTTATTTCGCTTGAGACATCACAGTGCCATGTTTTCACATCCTGCACCGGCGGCGGCGCACTGGATTCACCGTGCTTGGAGTGTGTATTCTAAACGGATAATCAACAAGCTGATGCTGATATTTACGCCTTCTTTTGATAGGATTCCTATGTGGTTAGTGAGGGAAACATAAGTACATGTACATGCTATAAAAAAGAGACTAAATCACGGGTTAACATAGAAACGCATTGGGAATTTTTTCTCTGTTATTTCGCTACATTAGGGTTCTTCTTATTTTTGTGATCATAGGCCATTGTTTCCTGACCGTCTACGTAGAATATTACTGTATTTTGAAAACCAAATAAAAAGAAAGAGTACAATTATGTGTTAAAGACCGTGCATGATAAAGACTTGATAACTACCATTGCAGCCAACGAGCACCGATCCCGCTTTGAAGACCGGACCGCAAGAATCAAACGGATCCCAATTATCATTGTATTTCAAATTTCCTCTCGCACCACTTGTTATGTAAAATTCTTGGTCTCTACAAGCACAAAGGCGATGTAAAGTTGTGTTGTTGGGAGGAAGCTAATACAATAAGCTCAATTAGCCGTATAGCTCACTACCACCTATTCACCTCGGTATTTTACACCTAGGTTGTAAGTACAAGTACTGATAGTGCGACCACAATGCCCGCATGTAGACAGTACACATTTTGGAAAGCGGGAAAACGGTGAGATGAAAGACCACACAATGACAGACCCCACCACAAATGAGTTCGTGTGCCCATCATATCGTGAGCGCGACTCGACATGTCATCGACTTGTTTGCAACTGAAACCATAGACTGTCTGAATTTTGAAATTTAACTTTATGGTTGCTAACTTCGCCCGCCAATTTCTAGTTCTACTACATTGTATTTTCTCAGCAATCCACGGAGTCTAGTGGAGACTAGTTTTCACCTCTTCGGTACATTTTAGCAGCGGTATCTTAGCAGCTACTCTTGTTAAAAGTATTACAAAAAAGAAAATGTGCGGCGCCGCAGCAAAATTTCGTAGAAAGTAACGACTTTTGGCCATCATCTTGTATCAAATATTAAAGCAGTATTTGCACCACTACGCACAAAACTGAAAGAAAGCGACATGCGGGCAATTTGCGCCAATAGACATACTGGCTATCAGTGGAGAACAATGTAACGAATAAAGCGAAAAATTGATAGTTATGGTCATAAACGGGACATTGGGAATTTCTCTGACTTTTTCCCGTCTATCGTATTTTATACAAATCAAATTGGGTAACCCATTTCATCACATGTCCAAACCCTACACACATGTACAACAAAACTGAGTCGTGTTTCTTCATTCAAATACTAGTACTTTTTTTTACTAAACATCGTTTGAACAGGTCGGCTATCATCTGGTTATAAATATGTGTAGCTTTGTAACGATTTCTGATTCACAGTCGCCTGGTCATACTAGAGTAATTCTTACAGATAAGCGGAGTTACCCCGGCAGACAGCCAGGCACGCGGGCTCGAGAACACGCTGACTCGGACTATCGCTGTGCAACCGCTGAACGACACGTACTGGATTTATATTACCCTTTATTTTATACTAATGATTATAGTATAATTTACCGTACAAAGATTTGACTCAAATGTCCTTTGTCTATAAAATCGTTGCGCGATCTGTAAGCTTTCTTGCCCCTCAGCAGTCGCAGCATGTAGCAGTGAAAACGGGGTGTAAACAAGACTATCAAAATGTGTATTAACTCACCTTTGGTCTTGTAACCCAAGGATTTCACCTCGCGTATAGGAGTCGTCTGTAAGAAGCTGTACGGTTGAGGAGACTGGAGAGCTGGAGAAGCCATGGTGTCGGGATCGCCGACCAGTCTGTCCAGGAGAGTGGCGGTCTGTCGCTCCGCGGCCGGCGCGAGGTTCTTCCCGGGGACCTCCGACTTGACGTCGCCGGTCGCCGCGTGGTCGAACTGGTGGCCGAGGATGGAACGGATGCTGAAGGACATGCCGCCGCACGGTGCCGGGGACGGACGGAGGGGCGTCGGGGTCGGTCTGAAGAGAGCTGTCGCAGCACCGGCGGCGGCGGGAGCTCGGAAGGCTTCCAGCGCGCCCAGGTCCATGATGCGGGCGGGGACGGTGAAGTAGGCGGCGGCGGCCAGGGGACGACAGACCGGGAACATGCCCGACACGGTCCCGGTGGTGGTCGTGCAGAGTCCGGTCGTCATGATCGCACTCTCCATTCTCCGCTGGGATTTCTTTTCTACTCAGACTTATCAAAACAAGCGTTTGGACAGAGGTTTGAGAGTTTGGGCAGTATCGCACGGTGAGACGTCTGGTTTACCTGTGTGTGTATCAGCCGGAGGATGGACGCTGATGCCGTCAGCAGGTCGGGCGGCGTCGGAAACACGCCCTCACACTTTGAAGTGGAAATCCTTGCCGCTAATTGGACAGCTCTCAATGAATCAATTCACATCGACGAATCAAAAGGTCCTCCTTGGGGTTTCTCACTTTCGGTCTTTAATACATATAGGTGTACAGTAAACTGAAGACGGTGAAGTTCGTTTTGTCTTCGTGAATTTTATACGTCACTCAAAAGTTTTTTCTGAATAAGGAATGTCCACGTGCTAAAAACCGGTCTCAAACTTTCCTCTCCCCAGGAAACATGTTCATACAGCAAACTTCACACAAACACATTCAATGACCTCCTATCAAATACAAATTGACAGAACGTCCTTAAACTTAAAGTAAAAGGGTTGGACTGTATAAAAAAAGTAGCGAAAGACTTCAAACATTTCCATCAGGCATAGCGTCTCCACATCTTCCTAGAGACAGGTAATACAGGCATGTGATCATCTTTTACCAACAAAGCAGAGCTATGTCCTTGCTAAGCTCACATCCATTTCTGTTTTACAGATGAACTTACAGAGAATATCATTAAAATGTAAAAACAATCCTGCAGTGCTACGCTGACATGTGTTTCTGTTGTGTTCTGTAGACCAAGAACATTATATGGTGCCCTTGAGTAGACCATGAGTAGACCAACCTAGTAACCTCCGCCCAGCTGCGTCCCAGGGGTGTCGGTCGGCGGTTGTTACTTTCTTTCCCGGGGATAATTTGTCCCGAGCTTGTCAAACCTGCTCCAATTTGCTAACAGGATGAACTCACTCCCATCATACGCATGAGTTCTTCCGCGACAATATTAAATAAAGCCGGTCCCTTTGCAGCACAATCTTACCCATTTCACAGTTGACCAAGTCGACAAGCGCCCTGCGGAGGTTGGGACCAAATGAAAAAGTGCGTACTGAGGTCACTGGGTGGAGAGAAGCACGATTATTATTCCTTTCCTACTGTGAAAATACAGCCTCCTGCACCCCAAATGAAACACCGTAAATTCAGTTCCATAGCTCTCATCAGGATGATAAGAACTGAGACGATGTTCTTAAACTTCTTGACGGAAAACGCGTGAAAAATATACAGTGCAGCTAGTCAGCTACGTACTCATGTGGTGTGCTGCTTTGGTGCTCAGTGGTGCGAATAAACTCCAATATAGACTACCCAGTGTTTCATTATGTGAACACATGACTGACCGGCTATTATCGAAGTACAATGACCAACTAGTTCGATTCGACACACTCGGACACAGTGTCTGCACTTATTTAACCTCATTGGCAATGCCTAATCTTACTAGATAGCTTCACACAACGCGCGTTCTTTTCTTTTTCTACACCCTTTCTTTTTCTCTTTTCCCTTTCTTTCTCTCTTACTTTAAAGGGGGCAATACATGGAGATGGGTCCCTACATTGATACAACTAATGTCAACTACATTTACATCAAAGTTACCCCCTTAATTTTTCGTACAATTCAGGAATTGGGACCATTTCAGTGACGACCAATCGGCGAGCTGGATTTCTGAATTAATCGTCTTCACCCAAAAACTTGACCTGGTTTCTTCTGTTCTGGGACAAACTAGTTGTGTGTCGCTGTTAGAATTATTTAATCACCTTTTTTTGGGATTATTGGATTTATCTAAGCGGTTAATTGATAGTCTGATTAACGGATTACTTGTCAATTAAACAGATAGTGGTTTTATCGTATCAAGTCGATTCCTGCTGTTGGTAAGGGTGCTGTCAACTCTGATTCACTTTTCCGTAATACCCACTTCACTGAATCACATTCTGATTTTCATACTTTTACTTTATATGTATAGTTCCTGTTGACTATAAATAGAACAGTAGAATAGATACCAAACACATTATTAAGGCGTGGCGGGGGGAGGGGCGCTCAATGATATCAAGGACATTTTATCAACTTGATGATATCAAGAGTTTTCCGTGCGTCCAGGGAGCTCTCAATGGTTTTGAATGATCGCTCTGAACTTACAGTCGCGACAGGCGCCCTGAAATTTGAACTGGTCCAAAAGTAGAAACAGACCAAGATTTCCACAGCAACAATTAATCATACTAGTACATGTATCTAATTCTATTTCAGCAATTCATATTGCTGTTTTTCAGACATGTGAGGGTTGGGGATCGAAGAGTCCGACCTTGTACCAACGAAGGTGTTTTTCAACTCGTCCTGCAAACATCCTGGGAAGGCGAAAGGCCGGGGCAGGTCAGCTGTTCCCTTTCCCACCGTTTTCTGTGTCTTCAGTAAACGTTTCGAGATAAGCAACCCTGCCTGTGCGTGATGTTACAGTCACACACCGTCTAAATAAAACATGGTGCCGACAACACTGGTGCTCGTGTTCTGGGTTTTACTGGGAGGTACGTTTTTATGAGATCATTTATTACATTTATTTAGCTAGTATTTGCAAAAAGATACCAAAAGACGTCCATATAGGCTTAAAGAACGTAATATGTAGTTCAACATCAATCACATATATGATATACTACTTCAGTCTGGATACTACGGAGCGCAGACGGCTTGCAAACACATAAGGTTGCACTGTGTCGTCATCGCCTGACAGAAACATCTGAGCAATTAAAGTTAGGGAAAAGTCAGTTACATTGTTCTAGCCGTACAACAGGCGCCACATCAGACTATGAATTGCTTCAATGTTGAAGGTACACTGTCTACATGTCAGACCATACTGTAGCAATTTGTAAGCTGTGTAACTTCCAGGCCAAGTTTGTAACTTCGTGTATATTGCAACCCGCACATTTGTACGTTATGCTAATTATGACATATTTAATGAGGCACTAATCATTTTACGAAGGTATGAGATCGTGGAAATCTACTAGTTACTTCTTAGGTTAACTGTTAATGCAAACAACTTCTCTAACGTTATTCTATTAAATTTCGCAGCCTGCCAGTCCGGTCCGGCATTCCGGAGTGAGGCCGGATGTTCTGTTCACCCGTGCCCGTGGTCTGATTCTCCGGTGTGCGCCTCTGACGGCCAGACTTACCAGAACCAGTGTACTCTGGACAACTATATCTGCATGTAAGTCTGAAGAATCGTAAGCTTGATTTTTTCAGCGTGCCTGATGACATCTCTAGAAGTTAGCTTAAAGGTCCAATAAATGTCGCACTTCCTGTCTTCAATTTGCAGCTATTTGCGGATCAACGCCCCAAGCGCATGAAGACTGAGTTAGTTAGTTAGTTAGTTAGTTAGTTAGTTAGTGAGTGAGTGAGTGAGTGAGTGAGTGAGTGAGTGAGTGAGTGAGTGAGTGAGTGAGTGCATGTCCGTTGCCTTATTGGAGACAGTGTGAAATACGTAGACAGAATTAGCGAGAAATACACAATAATCTTAATAAAACAATTTCTAAATCGACATATTTGACGAAGGTATGTGCTCTCCGATGTCTTGTTATATTTTGTTACGAGTAGAGGTATATTCAGTTTCTTTCCAACTTCTCAGAGCATCACAGGAAGGAAAACAACTCTACAAGGTCCACGATGGCTCGTGCAGCAGTGTCTCGGGCAGTGTTGCGCCTTCCCCCGACTGTGAGGTCCACCCCTGCCCGCTACCCCCGCACGGCGAGGGCCAGGTCTGCGCCAGTGACGGACAGACCTACCAGAGTGACTGTGAGCTGGACGTGTCTGCCTGTCTGTGAGTCAGCATTGTTCTGTTACTAGGGGGTCTGCTTTGGGGAAGGGGTCGTGGGAACGCTTGGCGGTAAATTCAGGAAGGCGGACTACACGGTATTACAATATGTTAAAAGCAAACAAACAAACAAACAAACAAGCAAACAAACAAATAATAAATGAAAACAAGCGAATGACCAGATTTATTTCATCGAAATATAGAACATTTAAAACTTGATACATTCTCTATTCACTACACTGGAACCGTGGTATAGTAGCATCTCATGTTTGACGTCTTTTCTGATTTCCTTGAGCAGAATGGCACAGGAAGGCAAAGAAGCGCCAGTCAAGGTGCACGACGGCCCGTGCGTGAGCGACATCTTGCAGAAAAGACTGGTATCGCCGGACTGTGAGGTGCACCCCTGCCCCCCGCCGCTGCCGGATGGACAGGTGTGCGCCAGCGACGGGCAGACGTACCAGAGTGACTGTGTTCTCGAGGTCTCTGCGTGTCTGTGAGTAGCTTCAGGGGCGGGAAAGAATTCATACGAATTTTACGGAATACATACGAATTTTACGGAATTCATACGAATTTTACGGAATACATACGATCCACTACTCGGAAACATACGAATTTTACGGAATACATACGATCATTACCAGAAACATACGATCCTTACTAAAGCTAAGGTCCCAATTACGCCGGTGCCCGTCGGAGATGTAGCCCCGGCTGGCCCCGGCCGGGTTCAGGAGTCGAGCGGGCATCGTCTGTCGTGGTCACAATTAAAAGTTTCCTTCAGTAGCATTTTGTTAGAAATTTTGTCACCCTCTTTGGTCGGTATCCGGCAGGCACCCGGCAGGTACCCAGCAGATTCTCTGACGATGTCTTGTATTGACCTATACGTAATGCAGAATTCACGTATTTGTTGTGATCATTTGATCTGTGAGGTCACACATTTTACCCGGGTTTACGAAGTACACACCTTTATTCTGTTCATCTGGTCTGTGACATAGGAAATGTGTCCTGGTGGAATGCCGGCAACCGGAGGGGTACCTCCCGGTGTTCTCACGATGAGGTCACGGCGTCTTGTTGTTAGCGGGGCCCGGGTAGAATTTAACTCAGAATTAAATTCTTATCGGGGCCCCGACGGGCCAAAAAATATCCCGGTAGCCGCAGGGTGCCCCGCGGGGCCACGTCGGGGTCCCGCCCGAAAGTGGTAAAAAACAGCCCGGGAACTACCCGCCAGGGCCCCTTTTCCCAATTGGGACCTTAGCTTAATTTGGTGACCTGCGCCTGGATCACGTGACCTCCGCGGCAAATTCAAGATGTCGGACTCTACTCTAGCGAAGGATTGTGTATTTTCATTTCTTCATAGAATATCTTGGTTTTTAAGGACTTCAAGGGCTTATCCCGTCCTGCTAAACACCAGGAACCTCAACCTGCACTTATGTGGGCTTTCTTGGCGACATTTTAGTCTGTATTTTAAGCCAAATAGCAGGGCGAGACTGAGACTCGGTGATACAGGCGCCGGTCACCAAATTAGTAAGGTCCGTATGTTTCCGTGTAATGGATCGTATGTATTCCGTAAGGATCGTATGTTTCCGTGTAATGGATCGTATGTATTCCGTAAGGATCGTATGTTTCCGGTAATGGATCGTATGTATTCCGTAAAATTCGTATGTTTTCGAGTAGTGGATCGTATGTATCCCGTAAAATTCGTATGAATTCTGTAAAATTCGTATGTATTCCGTAAAATTCGTATGAATTCTTTCCCACCCCTGAGCTTAGTACTAAGTAATCGCGGTCATTATTAGACGTTATAAACGTAGTAGTCTCCTATGATCTGGAAAAAATGGCACTGCACTGAAGTAACATTTAGGCAATTAAAGGGACAGTAATTTGCAGGGGAGTTTGTCCTTATTTTTACCTACTAGTATTACTGTCTATTACCCCCTCAGAACTTTTAGAATGCCTAGGCCTGGTCTTTGAGGCTATAAACGTATAAGTAATGACAGGTATACGTAAAATATTTACACCTAATGTGATGTTTCCTTCCCCGTTGTTAGCATGGTGCAGAACGGCCAAGAGGCACCTCTGAAAGTCCACAACGGATCGTGTGACGACTGTGACGTCCCTCCCTGTCCCCTGCCGCTCCCGGAGGAGGTCATCTGCGCCAGTGACGGCGTGACGTACCAGAGCAACTGTATTCTGCAGGTGGCTGCTTGTCGGTAAGCAGGAGAACGGGTAACAGTTTTAATCACCAAACAAATACAACAAACCTAACAAATGTATGATCATAACAAGGAGGTGGTATAGCTTGTGTTGTACATCACAGTATCAATGCAATTTATAAAATAACATAAAACTGACAATATAAGTTCGACTAAAGTTAATGGTTTCTTTTGAGTTAAACATTTTTTTAGGTTGGAAGTGATATTGGAAGTGATATAGGAAGTGAAATATGAATATCGTGTTTCAATTCAACTGACGTGTTTCAATTCAACTAGTTTGGCACTGAAAGGCCAAGAGGCACCTCTGAAGCTTCACGATGGGCCGTGTGAAAGCGCCACTCAGCATGTTGAGTTCCAACTGCAGGCGTCCCCAGATTGTCTGGTCCACCCTTGCCCGATAGAGCCACACGCCGAGATATGCGCCAGCGACGGACAAACCTACCAGAGCGACTGTGTGTTTGAGGTCTCCAGCTGTCTGTAAGTAGCAAAGACATGTATTGTTTTCGTCAGCGTCTATAGGCGCCGCCATGTCGGATTTTGACGTCATGTCCGTGCCACCTTGTTTTCGGTGGATTTTACTACGTTATGAAGTGGTTTACAAATAATTTTCGTTATTACAGCCATGTTCAATGACATGTGCACCAATCTTTAGACAGAACACAATCTAAAACACCGATGAGTCCAATAAAATTCCTCAAACATTACTGAGCGGTCCCGTAATATTTTACTCTGTCCCCAGCATGGCGCAACACGGAGAGGAAGCTCCTCTGAAGGTCCACGACGGACCATGTGAGAGCGCCATCATCCCGCCAGAAGCGCAGCCCCATCCCGACTGCCTGGTGCACCCCTGTCCTGGGACCATTGATGACGAACGGGTTTGTGTGATTTTCGCCAGTAACGTTAGCCCATGCACATATCAATTACTCACTTATGTACAGGTTACACTTGTCTTCAGACTCATTCTCAGTCACTGGAGAAAGATGGCAGATGCTATCTGAAACGTCTGACTTTTCAGAGAATTTATTTTGCTTCTTAAGGTCTGTGCCAGCGATGGGAAGACGTACCATAGTGACTGCGACCTGGATGTTACCGTATGTGTGTAAGTACACTCGCACAATGTTTCTTATGAGTAACGTACGTATACAAATTTTCTTCCTTTGGTGGCTATATCAAAGCTTGTGACTTGATCGTCGCTCGTCAATGACATGTCTGTAAGTATGAAACGTCAAAGTAAAGTTTAGATAAATGTTCACTTTTAATTGAAATTCAAAAGGTCATACAAGATATTAGGCCAGTTGATCGTGGCTGTGTATGTTGAACAAGCAGTGTACTGTACTTTTGTAACCACGACATTGTTGATATTATGATGACCTCCAGAATGGCGATGCAAGGAGAAGAGGCGCCCATCAAGGTTCACGACGGACCGTGCGAAAGCGCCACTCCAAGGCAGTGGATAGGAGTCGAACTGCGCCTTGCTGCCAAGCTGGTGGACTCGGCCGTGCAGGGAGATGGCATTGACTACTGCGACCCTGATTACGTCTGTTCTAAGGAGTTCAACCCGATATGTGGAGTAGATGGCAATACGTACGGGAACAGGTCAGCAATCAAGAACAACTTCCCTCTACCATTTGATAGTCAAGCAAAAGTTTATTTCACAACAATTCAACAGGATAATTTGAAGCAAAGCGATATGAGACTATTGGCTGATTACATTATTCTAGTGCAACCTACACGTAGATTCTAAGCTACTACATGTATACAGTACTGATAGAAAGTACAATGTACAGTGTGAGAGAAAGCGTTGTATAACTATAAGATTTCTGTAAGATAACCATAATTACCTTACATGATCGACGTAATTTCAAAGCTACACTATATTGATGCAAGTTTGAAGCTCCTTGATTGATGGAAGACACAAGTTGCATGTCCAATATACAGCTTCATCAGTGATTCTTGTGTCTTTCACATGTACAGGTGTTTCTTTGAGAAGGCCCGGTGTTTCTGGGCTCTAGCCGGGATGAACCTGTACGCGGTGGGGGAGGAGGGGTGGACCTGCGCCGAGCTCGCACAGATGTGGGCAACGGGAGCTCCGATCACCGGCTATGCGCTAGCGCTAGACTAGTCTAGTCTTCACCCACGCGGGCTGAGAAATAGAAATTTAGCCTACTAATGAGAATAAGTTGCATGGGATTTTGGTTAGAGATTCTTTACTTGGGGATCTTTCTTGGTCAATACTTAACCCTACTTTTACGAATTCTAATATCCATTTTGCAATCGCTTTTCTCAGCCTGGCAGATATAGTTATCGCGATCGATCGTCAGCCATTTTTTCTCCCGGACGGTCCCCTTGGAGCGATGTACTTCGGTTGGTGCATCACGTATGAATACATGGCCAGGGCAAATGTGGTATCGTTGTAAATTAAAAATAAAGAATAGAAAATAAGCCTTCCAGTGATGTATAATAAAATGCAATAACTGTACGTAAATCAAGTTTCCGAACTTTTTTGTTTTGAGTTTGGTATATTAAAAGTAGATTTTTAGATTCTTCTCCTCGCTTCTTCGCAAACGTTTATCTAAATGCGAAAATGTTCACATCAGTTGGTGATTTAACTGTCAGTGTGGAAACTTTTGCTGTGGTTTCATTTTCATGATTACCTCTCATGCAGTCTCAGGTGGCATTCCCTATAACGGTAACGTGTTACAGTATATCCAATGCATGACACTCCGATCCGAACATGCGTCATACTCATACCAAATGAATGTATTACTGCTGCACTACAGAATCAATCCTTTCAACTGCTGATTTAAAACACCGCGAAAACATCATTTTCCCCATTTATCGCAAAATAAAACCAACGCATAAATAAAGCAATTTACAGTATTTCTCTTCACCCCTCTGGTCAGTTACATGGTTACATACACAGCCTGTCACAGGTATTCCCCAGGGGCTGTGACGTCAGGACGCTAAAGGACAACTGATTAATTATTCATGAGCCGTCATGGCCAGTTTCGTGCTTCCTTGAAAGCCCTAGGCGCTTATTTATTGTCACTCTATTTCCACTATCCGATCTTTTACAACACTTCAGATGGTCTGACATAATAGTACAACGGCTAGAGAATGTCCCAAGCCGGTATGGCGGACGAAGAGGTCAATATAGGTGAGCAAATCACTTGTTTAGTTGTGGTAAACCTGTCGCGAATTTGTGTTTGTCTTCTGAGTTTGTTGCGAAAGCCATATATGAAGTGAAGTGTGGCGTGAATCGAGCAGTCGGTTTGAATTCCCCGTCCACGCAAGGCTGTCAGAACATTTCCAGCTTCACAATGCAAATGGGGAATGGTTCACCAAACCGATAATTGTGGCGGTTTTCTGCATAGTCCATCTGTCGATATCGTTTGTAGCTCACATCTGGCATATGGGGAGGGGGGCAAAGACGCAAGGGTGAGTCAAGAAGGTTCGCTAGGGTTGTCAAGGAAAGAATTTGCCCTATTTTCAGAAAGAGGCAACGTTAAATTTACAAGTAGAATCTGGGAGTTGAAGATCATTTATTATGCGCCTCCGCCAGTCAGAAAACATCACGATTTTCTTGGAAATAACGTTAAATAATATAGAATTATTAATCTGCTTTACAAGATAAAGTTTTGACACATTGCCATGGGATTTTGCTCAGCCGCGTAACGCTATGTTCACTGGAAATATTAACGTTAACAGTGTTATGATTTTGCTAATCCAATGTATATAAGGTCTACATGTACTTTATTATCTTGACAACAATGCTTCCATTTGGTTCTTGATACAGAACACTTGAAAGTATATAAACAGCCATTGTGCCCAGGTGTGAATGGACAATACAATATAAACACCAGTTCACTCTCAATTTCAAGTTTAGACTTAACTCCAGCTGTAACGTTACATGCTTTTACAGGTCCCTTTTGTAGAATTCAGGCACCAATGCTGGCAGATTCCCCAAATGAAATAGCAACTTGCACAATTCATTAAAAAGAAAATGACCGAAACAGTGAATGTTTTTAACGCTCAGATTCTATAATAGGGTTATACCGGAAAGAATGACACAATATTTGTAAGGTTACACAACAAAGAATGCCATCACAATGTAAACACAAAAGCTTTGTGAGATACTTTGTCACTGTATTCTGTAGGGAATGTTCCATACTATTCTATACTTGTCTTTGAATGCCAGACTTTAAATCTGCGTGTCAATTTACAATCAGAATATAAAAACAAAGGTCACATACATCTCAGGTTCCTTTGTGATACAATACAATTACGTACCAGTAATATAGCACTCAATGACGACATGAGAAAGGCAGTTGCGTCAGTGGAAACTACAGACACAATACCCTGAAGTTGTAATTATCCACGTTGTGACATTTTACTGCACTGTGAAATGATAGCGGGACTGTACTGTACTGAGTGCCTGCCTCCCTATGGGAAAAGGAACACTGACAATTGATTAGTTAATTGATTTTTTTATCGTTTGACTTTTCCTTTTCCTCAGGCTCTTATCTCATTTGACATATGGATGAACCCAAATATGATTCATAACAAGTTACATGTAACGTCAGATGAGAAGTGTTCTGGGTTTATTCATTGTAATTATGTTAATGTTAAATTTGTACTATGACAATAATTCTGCAGAGCTTGAAATACTGGGTGCATGTGTACATAAAGGTGCTTTTATACACTAGTATACAACGTGCATTGTATTCTAAATGACATTTAAGTGGAAAAAAAATGTTAAAAGCTTTGTTGTGTCAGCTATATGATTTCACAATTTTCAGAAACAAGCTTTGAATGGAGGCAGTATGGTGTATAATTTTCTTTTCCGGACATTGCACTAGTAAACATTATTTTGTAATCTTCTATCAATTTTAGGCTAGGTGAATTTTAAGGCCTGTTTCCACATGTATAATCATTGTGATGTTAGAATTCCACAATTAAAGCTCTTAATATTGCTGTTTCATATGCTCATCATTGTTTTATTTGGAAATGTGTAGGATTTTATTGTTAGAACTCCTCGTAGTGACAGTTGCTATAGCAGTCTTGACCTTTGACTCCCTGGCCAGCTGTGCCTGAATGATGTCAGCAGTGTAACAGCTGGAATGTTTAGGCTGAATAAAAGAACAGACTCAAACTCTGGCAACATTGTGCTTGTATGTACTGAGTGCACTGCATTGGAACGCAGAAAAACAGCCAAATTTCACCAATTTGCCAGCTCTGCATGCCAAATTTACCATGTGATGTATATTTCCTTGCATACAACCCTTCCAAGAAAAATGAGGCATATGTATAAACTAGTGAATGTGAAACTTCTTTTATAAGGGAATGTACATTTTCTGTATTTTTAGGAAAACTAGTTTGTATCATTGTCACGTCTTCTAAAAGGTTTTGTCCTTCTATTCCAGATCCTGCTCTTCCCATGATGCCGAGTGGCAAGTTGATGAGTGTGCAGGGAGCCATCTTACCTGGTTGGTATCCTTCAATTTTCTTTGGTCAAACATGTACAAGTGACAGACTACCTCTACATAAGCCAGGACCATTTTTTGCCGGTGCTATAGATAATTTTTCCCATTGACATAAGCATTAAGAATACTGTTTATAATGACCACCTGTCCACATTGACCAGAAATTTCTTGGTCCCCTGAATGGTCTTTTTGGGCAGTTTTGACTGTGTTGCTAAAACAGTAACGCTAAGCATATCTCACTTAACTTCAAGGATAAGTGACGTTACATACAACTTTGTTCCTGCCAGGTTTGCAATGTCTCTGGAATGATATATTAGCCATGGAGAATCTACATGTATTTGATTTTTATATGTCAAAAATGCTGAGACCAGTCAGCAATGATTCATAGAAAGTTGACCATCATGACTGTTGATCATTTCAGGTGCTTTTGACCAACACGGCCGCCCCATCATCTGCTTCCCTGCAAGGCATCATGGTAGTCTGATGGAACACTTCAATAGCCAGGACCTTGCCCACGTGGTGCAATATTTCATGGCTATCACACGGTAAATACTGGATACTAGTATATCATCCTTGTTTTTGTTTGCTGGGTACATGAGACGTGTTCTAGGATTTTGAGAGTGGTGATAAGTAACAAAAGCTACCATCATGCAGTTTTTCTGCAAATACGAAATGTATATTTACTCGCACACGAAGAATTAGGTCAAGGGCCAGCTGAATTAGCAGGCTCTAAGACGGGCATTTCTGGGGCATTTATATTGCACATTTTTGCTGATGGCTTCTAGTCGTACCTGGGTTCTTGTATTGGTCACCCAAGCACAAATAGAAGCCATGAACAAAAAAGACCACTATAAATGCCCCCCCCCCAGAAAAGCCCTAGTCGTAGAGCCTGCTAAGGAGGCTTGTTTACTGTTCCGCCTACTATACAGTGCATATGATATTCTGTAATGTCCCCCTTGTGTCTGCACCCCTCCCAGGTCCAGTCAGAAGAGGAATGGTTTTTCCTTCCTGGCTGACCTGACGACTACAGGGCTGCCGGCAGTTCATCTGATTGTGGAGACATTGCAGTTAGTCGAGGTACATTTGTTTCTTTTGTTTTGTCAGTAAGCTGCCTTTAGGAGTAACTCAGCAGTTTTGTACTGTAAGTTAACAAGCTGTGTGAAACCAGACTGTTTTGATCCACCCATACCAGGATGGAGCCCTATACTTTTCAGTTGGAGGTGCTTAAGGTGTGGTTCTTTTCAAGCACAGGACCTACTGTATTCCTTAGGATGACACCAGCACCATGTTTTTCATGTGTATTTCTCTATTTCCTTTGTATTTCTCTATTTTGTCTTTCAGTATAATAAATACTAGTTACTTATCCTATAAAAGTTTCTTTACAAACATATCATCTGCAAACAAAGTCATCTTTGCCTGTTCCCCTCTCAGATTCGCAGTCCTCGTTCAGTGGTGTGTTTCTACATCGTTCGTCCAGACAACAAAGCAGCCTGCAAACAGTTGGCCAAACTTCTGGGGGTCAAAACTGCCAAAAAAGGTCTTCAGGTCAAGGGGCTTTGGGACAAGGTAGGGATAACTATGGAAACTGCTGTAATACTGTAACGTTAATATTTTCGTAAAGCTGATGATGATTTAATCACAATTTTTACAATCACAATGATCTGTGTATGATATGTGTCAACATAATTCAGTGTCAATGACTGCAAAGCTGATTGCACAATAAAGTTCTAAAGTCTGAAACTTAACTATCTTTCACCAGTGACCAAAGTGGATGCTGTCTGAAACATCTGGTTGTTTGATTTATTTTGTGTTGCCACCTTGTTGTTGTGAGGATTTCTGGGGAATACTTAAAATTTTGATGACGTTATGTTTGACCTTGACATTGTAGTGCACAATCGTTGGTGATGTCGGTGAACTGCAGAACCACATTGACCCCAGCCAGCTGACCTCTGACCTAGGAGGTTACCTGACCTATGACCACCAGACATGGGTGCAGTTTAGAAAGGTACCTAAAGCCACATCACTTGATTTAGTTGATTTTCAGAGTTTATATTGAAATTTGTTAATTCCCTAAGCAGAGGTTTGGTTGAGGAGGTAGCCAATAAAAGGTAACCAATGAAAGAAATCCCAGCCACTACTACCCCCTGACCAAAACCTTTGCTTGAAGACTGTATTGAAATTTCTGTATTGTATTCTTTGCCACCCTGTAATATGTTTTTCTTCTGTCATACTAGGTCATAGAAGTGTTCAGTAAAGACACAGACACAGTGTTGGAGAGAGTGCCAGCTGTGATGAGGCAGCTGCAGGCCTTGACCCACTGTAAAGTGGACGGCACCATAGAGGAGGCGGAACAAACGGCTGACAACATCAGCCAGCAGTGTGAGTCTATCCTACACGCGCTCCAACTCCAGGCCATGTACGACAGGTGCAAACAGATCCTGCAGCTGATGAGGCATCCCGGTCGTGACCAGGTGTTTGCCAAGGTGGCGCAGAAGCCGGTTTTCCTGGATGCGCAGGTAGTTGTGAAGGACTGTCACCGGCAGCTGCAGACTGCTCACCAGGCGGTGGAGGGACTGCGTGGGAGGGTGGAGAAGAGGCTGGGGTGGATACGGGAGCTGGTGCAGTACCACATCATTAGTCAGCAGGTAGGACTGGTGTCGGGTAGTAGAGTCAAATCTGCATAACGACCACCTGGCCAATCTTTTTTGCTGGTACCTTAGATAATTCCTATTGACATAAGCACTGAGAATCACATCCATAGTGACCACCTGTCCACATAGACCAGATTATAACAGCCCGCTTGATGGTCTTCTTGGGCAGTGTTTGATTATACTGCTACAGGGTCCTTGATACTAGGAAAGAATAATTCCTACTCAGTAACCTGATTATAAGAAAAAGGGCTCAGTTGTATATTTATTGTGGTTTATTAATTGTGGTTTATCAGCTAAAAATATTCTACACTTGAAGAAGCAATATGGTTTCAATGTTTTGTGTGGATTGTGTTTTGCAGGTGCTTGACTGTTTCAGCAGTGGGGGCCGTCTCCCCCTGGCAGAAGAGACAGGTATTGCAGAGGATATAGCCCAGGCAGAGATGGCTCTCATCAACTTCCAGAGAACCTTCTACTCACAAGCAAGGGTCAGTCTTGTTTTTTCTGGTCATCTCTATATCCCTGTGTACGGAGGTGGAGTTTTCGATGTGTTTGTTAGTTTCTTTGTGTGTCTGTAGTTATTTGAATACAATGAGGGAAATGGTGGGACCGCATACTGACAGGAAGGTGGAATTGCAGCTCAAAATTGTCTCCCTACAGGCTAGGAAGAAGTAACAGGAATATACACAGAAGCAAGAAATTCACAATGATGAATAAAACAAGGAATTCTGCCTGTTTGTGGTTACACCATTTCCCCCCTCACTTCCTGTGTCCCTACTGTATGCAGAATAACTAATAAAACTAGTAACAACTGATAGATATAACAACTAAAGTAGTAAGTAAATGATACACAACTAATGGTTGTGACTGCAGGATCAGCTGAACCTGTTGGACCACTGGGTGAAGAAAGTGGACCACATCCTGCAGCAGAGCGTTTGTGAGTCCCCAGACATACACAACCACCATGACTGGGTGAAGACAGAACTCACAACACTGCGCACCGCTGTGGAGAAAAAACACAGGTTCTACAAGGGAGTCTATGATTTCTACCTGCAGTCCAAGAAGGTGAGGTGTCGTTTTGCATATTGCTCAAGTTGGGAATTACATCTCAGTGTTTTTGTTAGAACAGTTGGCCAGGATTCAAACTTCTCACTTCTAGAGGCTTGGTTACTCACCCTTACAATGTATTCTATGCATTACTACTGTGGAATCCTAGAGTTGATTGTTTTACCAGGCTTGTGCTGTTTTGTTGCCCTCCCAGGTTGCCAGATGGTACTATAAGGCATTGAAGTTTCTCATCCTGGTGGAGGACAAGTTTGCTACTGGGGACAACTACAGGTAGGAAGAAACCATTTATAACACAGGCCCCTGGGGCTCAGCCTGGCACAGTGTTGGTGTTTTCGTCTTCTCCTTAGCTGTTAAGTGACTGCTAAAATAGGAGAAGATGCATTTGTTGTTAGACTTATTAATTACCTAATGCAAGCCTAGCTGTCTCATTCCAGCTGTTGTGCCATTAGTCTGGGTGATTCCTGATACATTAACTGATTTCTGATTTGTACTTAATTGAATGGTTACTCTGTTCAATGTTAACTCCAGAGGAAAGCCTGACCTGATCCGTGACCACTGGGAGCAGCAGGCACAGTACTTCCTGGGCAGGTACCCCTCCCCCTCCCAACAGAACCTACACAAGGTGCAGGAAAATGTCCACCTCATACCGGACATGAGGCTCCGCAACCAGGGACGACTACTCATCAACAGGTCAGTACAGCTCATTCAGCACTATAGGAATGGGTTTTTCCCTTTTGGAAAGGAAGATGGGAAATGTCTAGATATGATGATGCATGTATTTTTTTTACAATGGTTACAGTTGGCAAACTCACAGTTTGATTCACCTTTCTTTCTCACCTTAAATTAGTCTTTTCTACATGTATTTCTGTAGATGTTCAGTGTTGTCCAGACTGCTGCACTCCCAGGGAGGGGTGGCCAGGGCAGACCTGGCACAAGTCCTCCGCTGGAAGGACCAGTTTGAACAGGGTACCGACGACGTCAGCCTGGGACACACCCACAATCCCACACCCTCCGAGATCTCCAGCCTGGATCTGTCAGATCCTGCAGGTTTGTCCATGATCCAGTTTCATCAGGATCACTATAATATGAACCTTAAAAACTTCATTTTTGCAAACTTCAAACTTTGAAGATCTTAAAGTTTCATCACCTTCATTAGTGCTGTACCAGATTTAACCTTAGGTATGATTTTGCAGGACAAAGGAGAAAAGATAGAAGAGAGACAGACTACTATCCAGTCAATGGCAATTCTAGAAGTTATGGAGGTTTTCCCAATAACACTGGGAACCATGGAGGAAGGGGAGGTCAGCATTCAGATGGATCTGCACCGTTTAGGACCGATGACAACAAGTTTGGAATCTACGGGGACTCTGACAGTGATCCAGACAGCAGTGTCTATGGTAGAGCTGTGCACACAATGGATAATGTTCCCTCTGATAACAGGACATATGGTGTTTATGGTGAGGAGAGCGAGGTAGATGTTAAGAACCCACGTAACGGCTCAGTGGGTGTACCACGAGGAGACCCACATAATGGCTCCATGGGTGTAGCACCCGATGACTTGTCTGGGGCCCACGGCTCCTTACATGGAAGGGAGAGCAGGAACAGTTATGCAGACTCAGGAATTGGAGCCGTTCAAGGGAACTCCGAGTCTCATTCCTCGGGAAGCCCGAAGTTCGCGAGTCCACACGGCCGACAAGTTCTGAACAATGGATCCAAGTACACCACAATCACCCTGGACAACGAGGACACTCATGACTTGTCTGTCAGCATGTACAGGGATATGACAAAGGTTTGTTTACAATGAAATGTAAAACATGACAACAAAAGTAGAAAGCCATAAAGGGGGCTAGAAATCTATTTGGCCTCCCCCAGATCTTAATAGTATGAGAATGCAGAGTCACACGTGAATGCGTTAAATTATGCAAAAATAATATTAATAAAAGGTACATGTTAAACAGATGTTAGCACATTTTTGTACTTAAATGCAATAGACTTTGTGCATAACAGTGTAATTCTGAACTCCTTTCAGGGGCTTTGGCGTAGGTATTCCATTTCAAAAGCTCAATAAACCATTCTTTCTATAAAGGGGCTGCAGCCTAGAGGTACAGGTAGGAACAGCAATGGGAACAGCAGAAGGGACAGCACCGGGGACGGCAGACGGAACAGCAGGGAGAGTAGGAGGGCGCGGCAGGACAGCCATCTCAGGCAGGCTTGGCCAGCAGAGGGGCTGTCAGGTGGCAGCTTCAATGCATCAAATAACAACTCCAACTCTTCTGTGCTGTCACAGGTAACTACAAGTAGATATGTTAAAAGTTCATGATTCACTCTAGTTAACTCGCCAGATATGATGATTTTGTGATGCCTGTGGTAGCATTTGGATCCATCACAAGATGCTAGTTCCTTTTTCTTTTGCTTATCAGCTGCATTATTTCCTAAAATATGAGCTGAAAAACTTACCCCAGTGTGACCTCCCTCAGGTTGAGGAAGCTGTTGTGACTCTGAGAGACCAGCAGTACAGCCACGATCACCAGATCTATCAAACACTCAGTCAAGCCTACCAGATGATCGGGGGCAACAAGCACAAACCAAAGGGTGATGCAAGTCTGAGAACTAAGGTATTACTTGTGTCTTCTTGTCCGTTGTTTGACAGTGCCCATATGACAAACAATATATAAGGTTTTAAACTATCTAAGCATAAACTATTTTATTCTTGAAATTTAATACATTCTAAGTCTTAATCAATTTACTTGTGATTTATTTAACTGACACTACTGTGAGACACAATGTGTAATAAGTCCCCACAATACAGTTATGTATATGTACATGACTGCCATGCTGATTTTAATCAAGTTTGATATCTTGTTTTAATTTGAAGAGTCAAAGCAAAGCCAGGAAGCAGGGCCCAACTGAAACTGGTAAAGGTGCACGACGTAAGCTGCCCACGCCTCCACAGCTCAGTGCTGAAGTAGACAGCTCTCACCTCCATCCACACACCAGGAGAAGCAGGGGTGACGCAGGGAAAAATGTGAGTAAACCTCACAAGTCAGACCGAAGTGAAGCCGGCCACACGGGTCTGCCAAAGCAGCAGCAGATCTGGAACGACTTCAAGGCAGTGGACGTTAAACCACAAAACAGACCACAGGCCTCGCCACGTAAGGGACCAAAGACCAGGAACACGAGAAGACGGAGAGAAGACGATCTTAAGGATGACACAGAACCAGTGTGGAGGGAAGACAGAGAGCAGCAAGCAGGGGAGAGTGGAGAAGCAGCGACCGTTTGGCCGGAAACGTACGCCATCTTGGCAGGACCTGATGACTGCAGAGGAGGAGCAGGATGAGGTCCAGGAGAGACTCAGACGGGCAGAGCAACTACTAAAGGTGGGTCACAACCTTTCACCTTTAACCTGAACCTTGGTAACATCTTCTCACACAATTGCACCAGGTCACATATATCTACCACCCTGGAAATGCATCTAAAGAGGTCTCCAATGCAATGTCCCCTGTATAAATGCACCCTGGCATATCTAAACTGCATATACATTCGTAACTGGGGGGTGCTTTTCCAAGTGGTAGCTATATGGTGGATAACCGTGGATAAATATTAATGGAGGTTACATACAATGTACAGGAACTTGAACATGTTGTATTTCTGGTGCTTTGCAGGAGGAGGAAGATGTTCTGGAGCAGGAGAGACAAATAGAGGAGCTACTGAGAACCTCGGAGATCAGCAGTGGGTCAGAGGTCGGCTCAGGCTCTGGGGGTAGGTCAGAGGTCAACTCTGGGGACACAGGTCAGACCCAGACAGAGACACTACCCAGAGTAGGAGCTGATTTGCCACCTGCAAACGAGGAAGGCAACACTGGAAGTGTAGATGGAGGAGAGACAGTGACAGGCCACTCACCAGTAAGCACAACATTGAGCCCACCCACAGACCCAGAAGTGAACACCACATCCCAACAGAGCACACCAAACGGTGTTCCAAAACACTACGATGAAGAAACCCTGGAGAGCCTGTGGCAGGGGCTGGAGAAGATGACTCCCAAGAAGTCTGTTGAGGAGAGCAGGAAGGAAGAGGAGATCTGGGCACACCTGGAGAGACTGGGTATGACAGGTGAGACTGCACCTGGTGCAGGTGAGACGATGCCTGACGCAGGTGTGACAGGTGATGTGGACCTTCTTCTCAGTCTGTCTCCAGCTGGCAGCAGTCCGATTGATCCAGTCACACGACCACGAAGTCTGTCAAGTGAAGAAGTGGACAGTTTTATGAAGTCTCTGGTAGACTCTACCAGGCCAACCAGTCATCCTGGTGTGGGACATCTTGGCTCATCTATGGAGACAGATGGAGATGGCGGAATGAAGAAGTCACATAATATTGGAAGGAAAAACAGCTCATCAGAAAGTGGAAAGACGTCTCAAAGAAACGGAAGTTTCAGAGGGTCAGATATGTACAGCACAGACATCCCCAATGTGAGAGGATCGTCACCACATACTTCTCAGAAGAATCAAGACAGCCTTTCAGGGTCTGCTGAGAATGACCTTGAAGATGAGACTTCTCATGCTCGTGAGGAAGAAGAACTTCTGGAGATCCTGGGACAGAGAAGCAGCCCCGGGATGGATACTCAGCCGAAGGATTCTTTACAAAGAGATAGAAGTAAACAGGATCCACCTAAAATCCAGCCTCGGAAAAGCAAACAAGTAGAAAGTACTGTATCTGGAAGAGGTTCCATCCATGGTGGTGGCACTGCAAGGGCTCCACCTCCTGTCATCCCAGATATGCCATCAGTCCAGGCTGCAGTTCAGAGTGTTGAGGTAGGAGGTGCTGCTGCACATCTCAGCTCAAACTGATTTAACTTGGACTTTTCTACAGTCTCTGCAAGCAATAATATCATCCTATTTTGTAGTACTAAAGGCTAGTCTAAGTGCTACATTCCTTTCTGTAATTTGTTTACAATGTATAGTACCTTTAGTCCCTTTGATCTTTCCTTTGAATTCAATGTACAAAACAATGATCTCAAATATCTTGCTGCATGCCGTATTGAATATGGTAGTTTTAACATATGACAATGTATGCAGGCCCTTATCCTTTTTACTAGATGCTGCGACCACTGAGCTACCAAAGATATGACAAAAGCTCAATGAATTTCTTTAAGAACAAGTTTCTACTATTTGTTGTCTTTCATACTTTAACATCTTGCAACATATAAAAGGACTTCGACAAATAAATGCCCACTGAGTTTATATTATAAGTTTGTCATTTATTTTATTTGTATATATACAACATACATCAAATCAGGTCAGGGAGCAAAAACATGGACACTGGCATATTGAAATAGCCATTTGACAACCAATTCTCTATTGTGAGTATTGCGTGCAGGGCACAGCACAGTAATAGGGCTTTCCTATGTTAATATATGGGAATTATGTCAAAACAACGTGGTCAAAATTCATATACCTGAGTTTTAGGCCTTGAAGAACATACATTGGCAGGGTAGGCCAACCTCTCAAGTCTCCATTCCCCAAAAATGAAAAAATCCTACGCACCTAACCATGCGAGAATTCTACCCAAACATTTGAGAAGTGACCCCTGACCTCTCTGGACAGCTGATGACCGCATGTAAACCCATATCTTCTTCAGCCAGCCAGACAACACAAACATGGCTGCAAGTCTGTTTTTTCACCAAAATGAAAATACTACAACCCTTACCTATAACATCCAAGTCCAAAACAACAACATTTCCCTGGAAAAAGACTTCTTTACACTCTACATTACATTGCCATCTCTAGATACTAGACCTGGGCCCTCTGCGCCTGCGCTATTACTGACCTTTGCCCTATAGGGTTAGGCAGCAAGGAGAAAGTTTAAGAAGTAAAGGAATGTATGAGGAGCAGTCCTACCTATCCTGGCCTTCTTGTTCTGACAGACAAAGAATGAACGCTGTGATGCCAAAGTAAAATAATAAGAAAAAGCATGGCTTGCTTGGTTTAGAAATTACCTCGATCTATCCTTCACATGACAAATCCATGATTGTACACATGTAAGTCTAGCCACTTCCCAGCTACATATGCATGAACACTGTTATGGATCCAGCTTATCCCTCAATGCACCAAAAGGTCAATCTGACATAACGTTTAGCATACTGAACTGAAGTAGCCACTTGGCCGCCAGTTCTTGGTTATGAGCTTAGGCAGCAGGGAGAAGGATATCTTGTCTGGACAAATCAAAAGGTACATGTTCCATATGACTATGAGTTAGGTGGTTCAATAACATTGTGTGGGGGCTGATTGTTTTCCTTAGGTCTTTGTGATGTAGGATATATTTGGACTTACTCACTTATATTTTGTTACTCACTAAATTCTGGTGTTAAGGTTTTACAGAAGTTGGATCAGAAATGAACGCAGTTTTTAAAACTAATTTCTACTCGGGTGGACTGGGAAAAAATTGATATCTTTGTCTAGTATCTTTTCTGCACCACGCCAGTTAAAAGATGTTCTAGATGTCCTCACTCCCTTGTAACCAAACTAAACCTTCAATTGTCACTGTGTCAGGAAAGGGTTAAGGTTCATTAGGACATGGCAATAATTATAGTGAGGGTTGTTCTGTGTTGGGTACGATAGTGATATAACCAAGTTCCTCTGAATTTAGGATTAACTGTGATTCCCAACACAAAATTAGACTCACCCAAATTTTTCACAGACCAACACTGTCTTTGTCAGGAAACCAGCGCTTATGTATCATCCATTCCCTGACAAAGACTGGAGATGGTCAGTCAAAAATTTGGGTAAGTCCAAAAACTAACCAGATTCCTGTATGTTCCTCAGTTGGACAGCTACGGTCCCCCTGTGGTGATTGACAATGGTACAGGCCTGTGTAAGGCAGGCTTCAGCACAGATGACATGCCCAGAGCCGTGTTCCCTGCCATGGTGGGCAGGCCACATTATAAGGTTGGTACAGTTCACATATATTTTCATACAAAAATCGCAAGTCCTACTCATCATCAAAAATGGGAGACTGTTCATGAGGCAATGCCACAATATAATATAGGCTTGGTGCAACTAGTTATATAGTACTAGTTATATAGTACTGTTTGTCAACTTCCCGGTTTGCAACTGTAGGACGTGATGTCTGGGAGATACCAAGACACGTACGTGGGGGACGCAGCCCAGAACCTGAGGGGTGTGCTGGTGTTGAAGTACCCTGTGGAACACGGGATAGTCACGGACTGGGACGACATGGAGAAGGTGAGTGGAAATGGGCTTTATGACAACACCAAGTCTAATGTCAGATTGCTGAAACAAAACAACATGGGCAAAAAAGCCAGATGTTTCTCACAAAGAAGAGAGTCTGAGATGAATTTAGAGGAAATCAGAATTAGAATTAGATGATCATGATGAAACATGGTTACTGTTTGCAAACAGATTTTGGGAGCATGCCCTGGTGAACCAGCTACGTGTGGAGCCAGAGAACCACCCCCTGTTCCTGACAGAGGCTGCCATGAACCCCCGTCGGCACAGAGAGCGCATGATGCAGATCGTCTTTGAGAATTTCCACATCCCGTACTTCTACGTGGCTGTCCAGGCGGTGATGTCCCTGTATGCCACAGGCAGGACTACAGGTCTGGATGCGATGTATTGTGCTCATGTCAGTCTTCTAGTTAGCATAGCTTGAACTTAGGGCTTACTATACAATGTTGCTTGGATTCCTATGCATAAGGGTGTTTCTTTCTTGGGAGAACCCTGTTACCTAGCACTAATCTCAAGACTGAGGCTGTAAGAGGGCAAAAGTTGTCCCTCAGTATCTCAGAGATTGTGAATACACTGTATCAACATTTTCAGGGGAGGATGCCATACTTTTGTGTTATGTCATACTGTTACTGTACTTGTTCTAATACTTCGTAATTTGCTTCTACAGGTGTGGTGTTTGACTCGGGTGATGGTGTGAGCCACACAGTTCCTATCTATGAGGGCTACTCTCTCCCCCATGCTGTACACAGGCTAAACCTGGCTGGAAGGGACCTGACCAGTTATCTTATGCGGGTAGGTACAGCACCTCACATATAGCAGACTATGGCCTGTGATTGTGAGTTGATCAGTGAGGTTGCCTACTTGTCTGTAACAATTGTCCGTACAATGAATTTTGTAAAAACAACATTGAGAAAGTCATATTCTGCTAGGATCCGATCAGAGGAGCTAACTGAACCTAGAATAGGATGGTCTTTAGGCTACTCCGAACCCAGTGCCGATCTTGGTAGTGAAGCAGTTCAAAGAAAGACTCTTTGTAAGTGTCAAACATCAGAAGGTTTTAGAAATACATGGAGGGAGTAGGGAAAAACAAGAAGCCATATTAAGTACTGCTTTTGTCTCCCTCTAGATTTTGAAAGAACGCGGCCACTCCTTTGTGACGAGTGCTGAGCATGAGATTGTGCGGGACATGAAGGAGAAGCTGTGCTACGTAGCCACGGACTTTAGAACAGAGACTGAGAAGGCTGAGAGTTCCCCTGACTGTGAACAGGTGTATGTCCTACCTGATGGACACTCTGTAGTGCTGAGCAGTGAAAGGTTCAGGTAGGCAGACAATGCATTGTCATTACATGTACTGTTAGTAGTACTAGTAGTATCCAGTCTTTGATTATACTGCTGCAGGGGTCCCTGGCACAGGGGCACCTATAAAATCATAGCCTGATAGTTGAAATAACAATTTGTAAACAAACAAAAGGATGTCCAGGCAGCTAAAATCAAAATATGCAAGACCAATGCCCTGCACGGAAGAAAGCAGATCCACGGAAAAGATCTTTGCAACTCGGACAGAACTGAATAAGCTTACAGGTGTCTTATATGGCAGAGATTGTCATTCTTGTACAGGACTGTTTAGACATAGCTGATGCTGAAGGGCTAATGCAAATTAGAACAATGTAGGCCATATACCTATATAGTTCCTGACTGTTTTGTACAGGTGTGGAGAGGTGCTGTTCGATCCCTCGCTGGTCGGTAAGGAACACGGCGGGATTCAGTACGCCGTCCACGACAGTGTGATGCAGTGTGACATGGACCTACGCAGGGAGCTGTTCAGCAACATTGTCCTCTCAGGTAATCTCAATTTGGTACCAGGTCCTTTGGCACCAAGACATTTCAAAGTTGCAGTATTAGAATTTAGACTCTTTTGCAGGCGGCTGTATACATCCCTTGAATATAAAGGCTAATTTAATTCTTCATTTTACACGTCTTTGCAAACATGTGCCCAAAGGCTAATATACTACTGTAGGCAGATAAGATACTGTAAGTGTATGGACTAAAACCTATAACCTTTGCCCCTCTCCAGGAGGAACCACCCTGTTCCCAGGCCTGCCAGAGAGGCTGGAGAGTGAGCTGGGTTCCCTCCTCCCGTCCAGCCTGGCTCGGAGCGTGCGGGTCGTCCAGCCACAGGACAGGAAGTACCTGGTGTGGAAGGGCGGGGCTGTCCTGGCCAGTATGGACCAGTTCAAGCAGGCCTGGATCTCACAACAGGAGTACGACGAGATCGGACCTGGGGTGGTTCACAGGAAGTGCTTCTCATGAAAGAGACATTTATTTTCGCAGTAGGTTGCTTTCCACAGTCTTTACTATGGCCTCTTCACTACAAATTCTTGCCACTGCAAATATGCATTTCCAATGTACTACCACAGTACTACAGTATATTAGCTGCAAAGTTCAGAAAGTTCAGGAGGAACTTAGCCTGCATTTTTCTGTAATGTTACTTGCAGTCAGAAAACTGTAGCTTGCAACATAATGAAATTGTCTTCTATGTGCAGCTTTTGTACCAAATTTCAATCAATTTTGTTTTTTTAGATACATTTACTGTAGCATCATGAAAGAACACAGTGCTTTAATTCATTGATTTAATATCTATCTATGTATCAATATATAACAGAATATTTATCTTCTTAACCAAGCATTGCTGTGAACAATTTGTACCAAAAGAATAGTGACATTTGTACAGGCTTGTAGAATATTTTAGGTAAATTCAAGCATTCCAACTACATTTTCTGTCTGTATAACTACTATAAGATAGACATCCTGCAATAACTGTAACCAGTTGAAAAGACCTGGTATGTCACAGATGTTAAAATAGAGTGATGGAAAGAAATGAGTTACATGTAGAGCTTTGTTACATGTACAGTGTATGTATGATGGTAGTTAATAAATGTGCAAGCATAGACAAAGTTTCTTATTGTTCAAAAAGTCTACCTCACACATTAGGTTTTATCTGCCTATAAAAAAAAGGAACATATGCTTTATACACAGAGATGTGTAGGACATGAATCTACATGAAGGCCAACCACTCATACATAATGTGTGCTGTAGAATTTACAGGAAAGGGTATTGCTAACATCTTTAAGCAAACTAGCACCAGTTAGTGAAAATTATACTCTTGAGAATTTTAAAGGAAATTGTTACTTCTCAAGTGTAATGTGTCCATGAAAGTTTACTCTTTGAAATGTGAAAATGTCTGTACTGTACCAAGCAAATGCTAGTTCACTGATCATGGCCATATCATATGCAATACAAAATGTATTGAAAATTCAGTGAACTTGTATACAGATGTAGATGAGTATGTTGGTCTCTACTTTGACAAGTTAGTCGTCGAAATGACTTGTATTCATTTCATATAGAAAGTTGGAGGAGATAAAGCCTGAAAATTATGTTTCAGAAGATTTTTTCTATACATGTATATGAAAGAGACTAACTGAAAAGTGATGGAGATGGGTTCATCTATAATGTAAAATATAAGGAAGTAGCTGAAAACTAAAAATGTGTGCATTAGAAAAAGAATTTTCCTGACTTTCCTTTCACTTCTTGAATGGAACAGTTAACTGTCCCTAGCCACAAGAGTGAAACTAGTTAGCCATAATTATGCTATTAAGAATTGTAACCTAGATAAAGAGTGAAGATTTATATAAGAATGTTCAGAGACAATCCTTATAATCACTGTTGTCATTGTAAGTAGATACTATAATCTGAGAGATATAACGTTACTGTTATCAGGTGCCGTACTTGAAGCAGTGCAGTATTTGCCAAAATGATTTTATTAGATAATGACAAGATGTTGAAATAATGTTTCATGTTGGCATCATCATAGAGTATGGTTGATTGTTCATTAACAAAAAGTTACCATGTAATGTTAAACAAGATGGGCATATATTTTGTTATAACCTTATATCATAAGAAGCATATGTTGTAACCAATGTTGTTAACTGCAATATTATTGGCAAGAATGTGTTTCTTAATGAAGCAACTGTTTTCTGTGTTTTTATTTGGCTACATCGATACTACGCTTCTAATAGCCCAAATCCACAGGTCAGGCCACAAAGGAGGCCTGATCAACCTCTGACAGCGAGAGATTGTGTAACACAGGAAAAAAGTGGCATTTGCCTTGTGGTAACATGAATATCTACCATCTAAATACAGATCCAGCCACACCTTAATGAGTTATTGAACATTCTTATAAAAATCAATGCACTTGTAAAAGCATTCATGGAATTTTCAGATTGATCACAGTTCTGTAAAATTTCACCAATGATGCAAATAACAATGTTAACGTTAACATGTATTTTGATACACTTCTTGTGTGGGTAGGTTTCAACAGAATATTAAAGTGCAATTTTGGGCCCTCAAGAGGCTTTCTATGGTACTGCAACAGAAATTCCAGTTTTGATGTCTCGCATGATCTAGACATGATTTTTTGGTGGCAGAAAAGAAGTGAAATTGATTTGGGCACCCTAGCAGTTTTTGGGGGAACTGCAGGGGCCTTTTTGTTGAAGACTAGAAGAGGGTACTAACTCAAGAGGGGATGAATGTGTATTCATGAATGTTGGAATGTAGGCCTAGGTATGTCTGTGGATAAGCTATAGCTGTTAAGCATAATCAAGGATTGCTTATGCACACCAGGACTAATTTGCATAATACATGAGGAATCTTATGGTTAACATTAGTTACGTCCCTATGTAATTCTAGAGACTGAATCTGGGTTCTGTCCAGCAAGTAAGCCTCCCCACATAATGTATCCTAACCAATCACTGGTTGCAGGGTCTACTGAAACTGAATGAGATACATTTGTATGTAGTGAAAAGCCATGACCTCACTTGACCTCACATGGATCGCCTGCCTTCCCGAACTTTGGTACGATACTTCCCACAATGCTTTAGTGCTGGGACCGTGCGAGACCACCAGTCAGCTGACAAAATGGGGGACTTGGTGTGGAGTTTGAAGAACGGGGATATAGACCTTGTCAAAGCTGCTATCGACCAACCGGTAGGCTAACAATCATTGGAATCGCCATTCGAAGAATGCATTATGCTTTAGCTTTTGAGATAGCTGCATGATCGTGCATGAGATGTGAAGCCGGCGAGCCGAAAGCTGCTTCCGGTAAAAAAAACCTCAGAAGTCACCACACCCAGGCCCAGTCTTGTCCGGTTTGGTGTAAAAAATGTAGCATCTAGATCGAATGTTGTGTGTTTGACTTTGCCACAGACGCTATTAATTTATGCTCAAGATATGACGAATATTATTGTTCATCAGAAAAAAAATAGAATGCACCAGACATCAGTCTGGCATTGACCAGTGCCTGATCACTAAAACACCGTTACCAGTATTTAGTAGTGTCAATCACTTACAGAAAACACCGTGGTTGCGTTTAACGCAAACAAGCAAACATTTGTGTCCATCATGGTCAACCAGTGTTAACCACAGTGACACAGTCTGAGAGCTGCTCAAAAGTCACAAACAAAACTCTAACTAAGTCTAACTAGCATGATGAAGTGTTACATGTACCACTGCCCCCACCCCACCCCCTCCCCTCCCTATCAGCACTAGTGGTGGCTTACAATAAATGCTGGTAGGACATAAATCAAGAAGCCAAATCCAATCTATAGCCAGCACTATGATATACTTGAACAATCAACTTCTGTCCTTGCTACATGTAACGTTATATTCGCCCAAGGAGATGATATAACGTCCTTGGTTTAACAAGATCACGAACTTGCAATTGTCACAAACTTGCAAATAAACTTAACAAACAAACAAACAATGGTAATCTTCCCAGGGTTTTGACGTGAACTCGGAGATTGGAGGCCGCATGCCCATTCATTATGCAGCAGATTACGGGCAATTGGACATCATCAAGGTCCTCCTGGAGAAAGGTGCAGATGTGAATGTAAGTATCCACCCAGCTGGGCATGCTTAGGGGATCTCAGGTGAAGAAGTGAGAACCCAAGTCTTTTGCTAGGTCTAATAGGGGTACATTTACAATAGATTGTCTAGAAATTTGAATGCTTCATTATTTTGAGTCTAGAATCTGAAATGCACGCCAGAAGCATACAGTACAGTTCAGTACAATACTGATACATATGTATTATGATACAGGCATAGTGATATCATAGCTCATACGACAGCAATCAAAATGCCATGGTTTGGTGTTAATATTACATAACTGTCATAGATGCCAAATCCAAAAAAAATTCAACACACTTCACTTTGGACTGCATGGCTTTATTCAGGTGTACATGTATATGGTATGGATATATGGAAGTTGCTGTTTCTTCACTGTAGAAGCAAGACAAACATGGAATCTCGGCAGTCCTGGCAGCTATATGGGAAGGTCACACTGAGTGTGTCAAGTATCTGCTGGAAAAGGTGAGCTTTCATATAATTAAGACCTGTAATCTTAACCTCCTTGAAGGGGGTGTGTTTGTCTGTGCATGCATATGTGATGTGTTGTGTGTGTGTGTGTGTGTGTGTGTGTGTGTGTGTGTGTGTGTGTGTGTGTGTGTTTCTGCATACACTGTACTTACTTTGGCATGCAACACTCATGAAAGTATGGATGAATGCAGTTGAATTGTTTTGGCCTTAGACAAGATAACAGAACTTTATTTCTGGATGCATAATGATTATATATGTACCCAATAGTATTGACTACTGACCTTTACCTATAGGGGGCCAGGAAAGATGGTAAAGCACCTGATGGGACCACATATCTGGACTGTGCGGAGAGAGAGGACATCAAGAGTTTGTTGAGATGAAGATCTAATACAAGTCAGTCTTCACACCTTTGTAAGTATCTTACTAAAAAAAACTTTGTTTAAGCATATAAAAGAGTTGTTCAGTGTACCTCTTCAGTAACTGATTAAAGATAGTGGATGCTTTCTGATAGTGGATACAATGATACATGTACTTTCTTAAGAGAATTTACCCAGTTTCTCGATTTATTCTGTATCACACTACCTGGATGTCTAACCTTCATCAAGGTTGTTTTTTTTTCCTACAGTGTCATCCACCAGCAAATCACCAACAGTCATTCAAGACTCCAGTCTTTAATAGTCCACCAACCACATGTACTGCCTGCTACTATATGTTTTTTCCTTCAAGATTTGCCTTGCAGAAAACTTCTGTTTATAGAGAACATGCAAAAACGTGCTATCTGGTGCTGTGTACATTTGAAACAAAAAGTTCAGAAACTCAAGAGGCAAGATTGTCTGACCCAATTATTATGAGTACAAAATTACATTGTACCAGTATGCTACAATGATAATGAGCAGCATGCTACTTGCATGAACTATTTTGTAAGAGATAAGAGTACCCTGCAAGTAAGAACCTACTGTGATGTTTAATTTCAAATTAAGGTGTGTAGCCTCATTAACAGGCTCTATGAGTCAGGCTTTCTTGCGCTAATGATCTTTTTGTCTGGTGGCATGTCAGTTCAATTTCTACTAGGTTGATGTGCGCCATCTTCATAAAAGAACCTCCATGCCTCCAGAACGTGACAACATGGTGGCCCATAACACCCAGCATTAGGTATTTTACCAGCATTTCAGTTTTTCTATCTGCAAGTTGTAGATAACAGCTGGGCAGGTGATAACATGTTGGTGAGAATGAATGTGCTTCATGTCCAACATGGTTATTTCACTCTGGTTTAGAGAGAGCTCTACTGTCTGTACCTGTACCTATGCTTAATGAAGTACACATGTAGAGAGAACAACAATAAAACATGCCGGCTGAGATGTGTATGATGCTTTTCCTACTATAGATAATAAAGTAACTTTTACTGCTTGATACTGACTTGTCAGCTTGTTTTTGTGTCACAAGAGTTAATTAGATGTGGCAGGGCTATTTCCTAATCAAGTACTAAGTAGTCACACCTTATGAAAAACAAGGAGAGCAGGTGTATACTAAGGTATGATATATACAAATGTATATAGAAGAAAATGGGTCCACACATTTATCCACAGTGTTATTTTGATTCGACTAACAGCACAGACTAAAAATAGTCAAATCTAGCCAACTGGGGAGAATGATTTGCCAGGGGATATTAGCCACCAAAGAATGAATTTCCTGCTTCCGAGTAGAAATGTTACCATATATAGGACCTTATACCACGGCTCACTCTGGCCAATTACTGAGCCTATTTTTGCTGAATTCTACATCCTGACATGTCCAGTGACATCCGTCACTCCTTTTTCACTCGGTTCGTTTAGCAAGGAGGTTAGGATGCTTTTAACCTTGATTTTCGAAGAATGATGATCCATCACATTATTTGTAAACATCCGATAACGCAATCTCCGTATCTTATCCAGTGTGTCTATGAGCAGGCATGGCAATGTGTGCGGCGGTGTATCAAAGGACACCAGACGTCACGACAACTTTAAAATTTAATCCCCGATCACAGCCGTGTAGCGTGAGGACGAGGCGGAGTGATTAGAGTTTCTGTGCTGACAGGCGTTCGTATCGTCACGAACGTGTAAACAAGCCGCCCCCAGTTGTAGAGGGGCACCTGGACTCCTGGAGTGATGTAAGCTACTGGATACTGCTTATAAATTAGTTCACTGGTCTCATTTATTCAATATTGACGATGGTAAAATCCTACCGCTGGTAGATATCAGTGACTAGTATTTAGATATCGCCGTCCGGATCTGTATACTGTAACAGAAAGTACTAGTACATGTACATGTATACGGACTTGCTAATTGGTTGAATGAAGCAAGAGTGTGAAATGGTAATGGGGTTATTACTAAATCATGACCCAATGTCTTACACGTGAACGTTTGTTATCCTCTCGCTCGAGCCTCCCAAGTTCGTTTCAGGAAGGGAGAGATTAGCCGTGCAAGCGCCACGTGCCTTGGATTTGGAAGCTTAGGGATATTAAACAATAAGAAAAGCTTATCAGTATGCAAATGTATCGTATTTCTCATGTCTACTCGAGCTCGTGCAAATCCACTTTTCGCCAGCATGAATTTTGTCGAACTTGTGCTAAAAAGATGAGGCAGCGGACATCGCGCCTTGGGTGTCAATTTGTAATGCCTTATCACACTTCTGGGGGAGTGTAGAGTGGGAACGAGATGAATACGTCATTGGTTGGAATACTCTCGAACCCAAAATTTCCACTAAACTATAAACCAAGGACGTCCTCGAGTAAACAGCGGCGGCTGAAAATTGTAAAATTTGGCCAAATTGGGGGGAAAGGGTTGCCATGGGCCAGCATATATTTCTCTTGGCTGCAGGTATAGGGAAATGTTACACATTACACACGACATTCTACCATCCATAACCCTTCAGGAAGGAATGGTGAATGTCAACCTTTTACACCAGTTATCACTTGGTTAGAATCTACCAGCCCATGTCTGTTGTTGGACGTGGGCTTGTGTTTGCATCCGATGGTGAAATTGTCGCTGATTGTAATGTAGCTGTTAGATTCACGGGACAGCGAGAGGGTGATGACAGTAAATAAGACACACAGCTCTGGATGTGTTTTTACTGTATAGTTTAACGAAAAAAGTGTTCTGATTGAAAGATATCTCTTATCTCTTTTATTCCTAAAAGAATAAACGTTTTGTGTTGATACGAAACTGTTTTTATCGCTTCTTGTTCAACCAAGGAGCTTTAAATTTTTAAGAGTGCAATGTGTAGATCTATCGGGCGATCAAAAGAAATCGGAAACGTGAATTTTGCAGCAGGAACAAAGGGCAGTTGGACTCACATGAAGGTGAAAGATCAGGATCAAAGCAGCCGTGCGCATGCACACACAGGTGCGAAGAACGGAACATGTCATCTCCAAGCAGATGTATGGTGTGGTTTTTCTTACGCGCGTTTTTGGCATATTCTACGGCTTTCTTGGTCTCTCTCAGACTCCAATATGTGTAGAAATTGCAATATTGGCGAAGTAAACGGAATCATATGCCAGATATTGCATATTGCAAATTGTAAATCTATGGCCTGCTAACTACTTATGCCTAGGAGGTTGGTAGAGACCACGTCTTTCTAATGAGGTTATAGGTCTTTCCAGAGACATGATACATGTGTATAATGTCCTTGGTCTTTCTATTCTGGTACTACGCGGTTTTATCTCCCAATTGAATTACTCCCACGTTACAGGTACAAAATGTAATAAGATCAGGTCTCTACTTGTTGCTAAGGAAGTGGAATGAATATATATCTAATCCAATTTTTCCGTACACGTTTAAAGAAATCCCGCGCCACGTGCTGGTAAGACATGTAAGAAAGCAGTTTGAATATTCAAACCTTGTCGCTATTTACATGGAGGTAAAATTTACCTCCATGCTATTTATGAACGGAGCTGGTGTTGTGTTTGCCCCCAGATCACATGTAAACGCTAACGCGTGGGTCAGCCTTCTTTAATTCAATGACGTCTCTCTAATTTACTTGTTACGTTTGTGAAGAAACGCCGCCTCTTTAGATCCTGGGAGGCTGGTTCACACCTTCTGTATAAATGGTTGATATCAGAGTAAACAAAATGGTGGACTTCTGTTTTAACACGTTCACTGGGAGGGCATGACAGGCGGTGTCTTTGATGACCGGCACATAGTGGCAAAATTACAACAACTGTTTACAGTCAGACTCGGTTTTTCAGAAAATGATCAAAATGCAACGATTCTCCTATCGTGTGCATTAGTGCTTCATGCAGAACCCGTTAAAATTGAAGAGACCAAGTTAATTTTCGTATTGAAATGTATTTTTCATGGCAAAGTTATGTTCTGACACATGGGCAGAACTTAAACATCAAGAGTAGGGTCTGATAGAATTGATCATAATCCGATAATGCAAAGGCGAAGGCGTAATCGTTGTAATTCAATTTTTGTGTGTTCTGTACCAGTCGTTACAACCCTAGCTATTTAACTACAAAAGATCAAGTATTTCTCGTAAAAGTACGATACGGCCAGAGATGTACTAGTACATGTAGCCAAACCTCCTTGGAATAATGCAAGACATTGGCCTAAAAAGCCTTGCACAGTGCTAGTTTTCGGCAGAAATGTCATTTCTGTCACCTGGCTGCTAACGGGACACTCGGCTGTCTTGTTGCTGTTCTTCATGCCAATCAAAGGTACCTTAGCGGCGGTTCACACTTCTGTCTCACCGCAACTGAAATTGAAATTAGTATGAAGTAGCACCGACCCTCTAAACAGCCAGACACGCGAGTCATCAGTCGAACTTGTCATGTGCGGCACCAGAGCATTTATAATCTTGCACCTTTCCTGAGATCTTCATTCAGACTCCGCCAAGTGCTCGGTGAGGATGGAAGTTTCTGCTGCTGCCCCGATCTTTCCACACACGCCCTTTGCTTCTCTTCCCTTTGGCCGGCTGCCACTACACTATGGTCCGCCGGCTCCCTACGGCCTGCCCTGGCCCTGCCCGACACCGACGTGCTTTCACCCGGGACTGTCCCCTCTGGTCAAGCCCAGTGAACTTCCCGTCTTCTACCCCAGGATTAACTTCGGGCTCCCCGCCTCCAGTGGGAAACCGTCTCCACCGACAGCCGACACTCATCCTGTCCAGCCCAGAGTCGCGTCCTTCGGACCCATCCCCGGGCTCCTGCCGACGGCCAGGGACCGACGCGTCCAGAACAGTCCCTCGGGCTCCGACAGGACGTCCCCCCGGGTACCGTCCACGTCACCTTCGCTGGAGAAGACCGTGAGCGACCGAGCCGAGTTCCGCCTGACCAAAGACAAGTCCGTGTCTAGAGAAGTGGACATCAGCGGTGGCAAGAGGAAGAGACCGGAGAAGAAGTTCCCCTGTCCGTTCTGTACGGTGTGCTGCGCCAACAACGGACAGCTGAAAGGGCACTTACGGGTTCATACTGGTGAGACTATGATGTTTTTCTTCCACATGTTATAATTGCAATGTTTCGAAGATGCCAGCTATTACTGAAATAGGTTTCCCGAAATATACGTACTATAGTATAGGGAAACAGCACCAAAGGACCGTACAAATTTTCAAGGACTGGAAAGTTTGATTGCCGGCGATGTAAATGATGCAGATTGACGCAACATTGAATACGACGATAATCAACATGAAAACCTCACAAATGGACTGTTTTTGCAGTTTGTATTGTTTTGTTTTATGAGAAATCTGTGAAGCCCTTTCTCGTTCTATTTTTCTCTATCGTGGTTTACCTTTGTCTGGTACAAGTATCGTTTTGACGATTGCCCTTGAGTAGAGTCAACTTCCTTTCGCTTCCTTACACATGTGTCAATAATGTACATATGTATAATGTATATCTAAGCGCATCGAAGGTATAGATTTCTCTGTTGCATTTAGATATTCGACTAAATCAATGACATCTGCATTCCTCCAGGTGAGCGGCCGTACCCGTGTGACCACCCCGGCTGCGGACGCGCCTTCGCCCGGAACGAGGAGCTGACCAGACACCGCCGGATCCACACCGGGGTCCGCCCCTATCCCTGCACGGAGTGCGGCAAGGCCTTCGGCCGGAAGGACCACCTGACCAAGCACGCCAAGACGCACCTGAAGGGCGCCGAGAGGAGGGCGCTACTGCGGAGGGACCAGGTGACCTGCAAGGCCAGTGGGTCGGAGAGAACGGCGCTTCTGACAGTCTGCTGACCAGTCGCGACGCTTGGGTGTCTTTAGCCCGTATGTTCGGACGACTCTAACGACGCAAAAGTGATTTGATTTGATTTGATTTAATCAAGGACGTTTTATCTTACGTCATTGATAACATCATTGATAACGTCATTGATCTAAGGACGTTTTATCTTACGTCATTGATAACATCATTGATAACGTCATTGATCTAATGATTGTCATCTACAGTAACTATACCTCATTGAAGATGTAATCACAATCACAAGGTGTAAATTTGAGTTTATTATGGGAAGCAACAGTTGTATTTATTTGAACATGTATGTTGGCTCCTCCCAAAGTTATAGTACAAGTGGTAAGGAGTAAAAGCCTGTGCAAAGCTAGGCTTTAAGAAAGAAATCTTACAGAGTAAGAGACACGTGTAATGTTTCGCTCTAAGCTGAATATGTCCCCGCCATGGATGAGTTTTTCTCAATTTCTGTTGCATACTTCCTGAATGCTGGCAAAGCCATGACGGGAATGTTACGTATACTGTGTTTGTTTATATCAATTCAGGCACGGTGATCCAGAATACAACGTATGTTTGATTGTTTGTTGCCAATGATCATGTTTGTGTTACCAGAAATGTGCAATAAACTTGCTTGATATTTTGTAAAACCGTCTGGTAGTTGCTTTATTTGGGGATATTCTATTTTAGGATTACAGGTAATCTCCAAGCAGATCATACGGTGGTAAGGCAGTATCCATTTTGCCAGAGGAGTGTCCATTAGCCACCACTTCGGTGTAATGGTCACTTCTCCGACCCAATGGATACTGCCTTACCACCGTATGATCTGCTTGGAAGATTACAGGGGCGTCCGACCGTGTGCGGAGTCTGGTGATTTGAGTAAATAAGAGAACTGGAGTTGTCCTAATTATTGGTAGCTAGCAACATATGGTTCCTAAATACAATTGTTGGAACCATATGAATGGCATCATCATGTTTAATTACTCTTTTCTCATAATTTCGTTCATCAATTTACATGTATACAATGGTAATAGCTACAAAAACGTTCGTTAGTGCCAACAAAAATACATGTATACTAATAATCTCGTCTAGCCAAATTATTGGTGAATTACGTCTCCGTATTTACTGAACCACACATGTTTGCGCTTGGTGCTGACGTAAGTTTGAAGTTATGATCATGGTAATAAACATATACTAAAAGCGCAACGGTTTAGCCACTTTAGAATAGTTTCGAGTCAAGTTCAACGTTCACCCGCCCCTGACAGCCTTACCTTCGGTCCTCCTAAATTTGCCGTCAAGCGTGACCAGGATCCTTGTTGACCTGCAACATTGTTCAGAAGATTTGGACAGTTTGTAGGCCGGAGAGGTCACACAGGATGGAAACTATGCAGCAGTTCTGAAACCTGGCTGGCCCGCCGCGCGCTGCAGGCATGTGGTTAATTAAGGGTGCTCGGCCCCTATATACCGGGTATTAACCCGCAGTGATAGATCATGGGATCAACCTGAGATCCTGTCTTTCAGCACAAATCGTTGGCGTTCTTGGCGAGGTCAGTCAAACTCTACAGGCAAAGTCACCTTACACTCTGATTCTAGTCTCCTTATAACTTATCCTGATGTCACTGCTGAAAGCAACCGCAAGTGTATGTTATTGTATTTGTTCAGCCTTTACTGCTGGTGTGTAGTCTTCACTGCTGGTAAAATCAACCGTATACGAGCGTAGTAACTTAAAATAACCCTTCGATGTTACAAGATTTCAATGTTTCCAATTGGTTCCTGTGGTTCTTGTGTTGCCATTCGTTTAACCAGAACAGACGATGTTGTTTTTACAAAATTGCCATGATGTTACAACATATGGACCTCAGTAACCTGTGGGTCCTGATCTAGTCCAGTGATCGAGAGTGCTGGGTTGATAGTTCTTGAGCCTGCCAATTATTTTGTCATTAGAACTTTCCACTGGGTGTAAATATAGTACAGTCGTGGTTACAAAAGTGAAACTCAGTCGGGATGCCAGTACAAATGTACTTACTAACCATGCCTTCCCAGTGGCGTATGAATATTATGTCTACTACTAGTAGTAGAATGCGGCAAAAATCGGCTGAATAAATGAGGAGTGAGCCGTGGGGTAAGGGTAACATTTCCCCATCAATGCACAGGCAAATGAAACACGAACGTACAACTTCCCTGGCAAATCATTCCTTCTATTGGACTACAGGTAGTATTTCAAGCCCGCGTTGTGGGTTACAGTGTCCAGACCGTCTGGACAACCTGGCAGATTGTCCAGTCCCGTTACCTCGCCTAGTACTACACTACCCGCGTGTGCTGCTCTGCCTGCCTGAGCTGATCCGTGCTGAGTGACTTGAGCGAGCCATGTGGGACAGACCACTGGGCCGGTGTAGATAACCTTCAGCCCTGTGGGCGGTAATGATTTTCCAACTTTCTGACCAAGAAGCACCGCTCGGACAGACTTGGACCTCTGATCCCAGCCGACCCTGGCCCTTCTCCCACGGTCTGTCCTTCACTCCCAGCACGATTACTAATTTCACTTCGGAAAATCCTTTTATGTAAAGCCCTTGGTGTAGCAATGAAGAATTTCCAAGCCATTATGTCCCCCCACGGGACGGTCTGTGGGCTCATGTCGCCTCCTCCCACCTACTCTCCGGGCAGAGGTTAGGCTTGTTTTAGGCAAATTTGGGACAAATTTCGGGCTTTTTAATACTTAATCAGCATTTACATACTGAATTCTATAGAGAAGAGCTGACAAAACAGAAAGCCCTACAAATATCCTCTGCTTTAGTGCTTGGAGACTTGGAAAGTTCTGCCCGCCAGCATTAGCGAGGCTGGGACAGGAGCGTGTACGGGGGCTCAGGTGGGAGTGACACTGAGGGGGAAACACTCTCACGCCCAGACCGAGAACCTGTATAAACGATTCTTATCCCTGAGCGATCCGATCCACTCCACAGAGACGGTACAAACAGACCCGCTCTCCTTCCCAGATCCTTCAGGACCTCCAGCCTTTCTAACCCGGCATTTGGCGGACATCTGGCGGATGGTGTGGACGAGTGGCTGAATGTTGCCCCGTCAGTGACCGGGTCTGCCAGCGGACTATTTACCACATAGTTTAATATAGCCTGGATGCCAGACTGTTCCGGGGCCACATGCCCTTGCAGGCAAATTGCTGATGGACCCTCTATGGCCGGCTTACTCCCCGACCCTGGCCAGTTCACATTCCTTTTTAGGCCGATTTGTACCACCGTACGGTACAATGGCATTGCAACCTGCAAAGGAGTCTGGTGGAGACTACTGGTATCACCCCTGTCCTTCGGGAGAGCCCGTGTCCTTGGTCCTATATATAATGTTATTGGTCTTTGCAATGCGGTATGAAAACGACACTTTCAGATTCAGTTTGTTGCTTTATGCATCCATTATATATCCATCGTTGGCACCGATCCGAGCCCGGCGTTCTCATGTAATAACAATTGTTGTTTTTTGCCGCTTACATTTCAACATGGGTAAGCGCAACCCGGGTCGCGAAAGCCGAAACATATGTGGGAGGTCAAGTGGTACAACTTCTACAATGGTTGGACCATTTTCTGACATCTTTTTTAATAAAGAAAATAGAAATTGTTCCTTTGGCTTTTATAATACATGTATATTAACTATGCCTTGATCTCAGTATCATGACTGGTGGATGGCCGTCGGTATACCATGGAGTCTAACATGTAGTCTTATACACGAAGAACTGACTGAGAATGATCGAGAGAAACTATGAGGATGATCCTGTTGTTCCCAGGAATACGCACACTCCTTCATATACATACTAGTAATTCTCGGTGGGGCAATGTGCACGGCGGCGTCAGAGCCGGCAGTTCATGTCACAGTGTTATGGAGAGTACGTCCTTACCTAACATAGGTGCGAACAACTAGACATGTGAAATACATGTATATGTATCTGGTGATTGCCATTGCCGTATGCTGGTTACCTGACTACTGTGACTGTGAAGGTTCAATCATGGAGGTTATAGTATAACCTCCTTGATTGAACCCCCACAGTAGTATAATAAGTTCATGATCCACTATAACCTCTTTGGTTCAATCAAGGACATATCTAGCTGCCTATAATGTCCTAGGTTCGATCAAGGAGTGATTTTAACGTCCTTCAATTTACAGTGTAACATGTACTAGTAGTTCTTGCTTCTACCATGCACTACCTAGTCGTCCGAGTATATGTTAGATCATGTTTAATAGACGTGTTTATGACGTCACTATCTATGCATTTTGTTAGGCTTTTTATTTTCAAATTTTGTCAGCTTTTCTATCGAAGAAACGCTGACAAAAGAGAAGCCCAACCAAACACCTTAAAAATTTAAAGCAATATATAACGTTCATATCATTATATCCTTGAGGCAAGGCAGTAAGTCAATGCTATTACATTGCACCTCTACTTAGGGAGCGCCTTCTACCCAATTTTTGTTGTCTGTTCTTCCTCGGTTTTTATCGTAGGTCATCTCGAGCTCACCAGTTCGGCCAATGACGCGAAGTCTTGCTGGTTTTGCCCGACTGTGTCCCTCCGACCAGCTATTACCAATGGAGAAAAGCCAAACTGACTGTCAACTCTGATAGTCTCTATCTGTTTCCAATAGCAGTGCGGTTTGAAAATAGACTTTTTCATTAACCCAAAGTGACTGCACATTTATAAACATGTCAAGCCAAGAGATCCTGCAAGTTTCTTCCTGCTTTTTGCCTTCACCTTGTCCTATCCTCATCTCGAAGGTCGGGGACTTCCAGCAACAGCTTATTTACCCAAGGACCTGGTTTTACCGTACTCAAACATGTATAGCCTCTTTCGCAGACTTCTTGGGGTGACAGCAGGGGCGCTGACCAGTATGCGATTTTTTACTCGAGGTCCTCCAGTGCGCCAGAGGCCGAGGGTGTCATGTCGCAGATGGAGCCTCCCTCCGCGACGTAACTCCCCTAGCCCGTGAAAAAAATCGTTTGTCTCTTCATTCTTAAGATTTTGAAAGATCTTTTCCCTATGGCGTGAAATAAAGAAAATGTCAACTAAACAGATAATAAGCCAGATGTACCGCATGGGGCGCCGCTGGAAATCAATTGTTCGCACCTAACGCAAACTTGTCGTCTGGACGCGAAAGTACGTTTGCATTTAGAGGCGGGTCGCTAATGCCGTTAGAGGAGTGTCGTGCCGTGCATATTACTGGTCTCTTCCCGGCCGCCTTTTGTGATGATGATCATGAGGAGGGCATACCAGGGGGGCGGTGTCTTCTTCCCATGAAGTTCTCTGTGACATGGCGGCGTCATATCAGTGTCAAGTTCCCGCGGCGGCCTTCATCTATTCCCAGGCCTACTCCATTAATTAGCCTCTGATTAGAACTAGCCCCCATATTTTCTTCCAACTAAAATACTTCCCGTTTAAGGTCCATCAGTCCGCACCGGAAGAATACTTTTGGACAACAAAAAAAGAGGGCGCGGTTTTTCATGTACGGTTTTACGTCGACTTCTGTTCCCACTTAGAGGTTCCTTGGTGAGGGAAACCGTTTAAAGTCGTACCCGGCATTGAATTGATTATTCACTAATTAAAAGCGTGACACAGGGTCCTGATGAGTAAACCAGACGGGCCTTTCCTGTTCCGTTCAGTCGAGCTCTCAGCCTGACTTCCTCGGGTTCAAGACTCGAAGCTCATGTGTTGGCAGGTTTATCTTTGTGGGGACCAAAATTTTATGACACTAGCAGAAGCGTGTGTTCCGTCCAAACAGCTCTCTTGTAGAGCCTGTTGACTGTTGCGGACAGTTGTTGTGTCGTGTCTCTTTCTCAGGCTCACGCCCCGGCCTGGTGCCGGGTAGTTGGTCATCCAATCTGTGGACAATGACCACAAAGACTTCCGATGGTTGTTTTCGCGCCCCTCCCCCAGCCCGGCGGCTTCAAAGCGACCGGCCCCGCTACTGATATTCAAATGTTCATGATTGAAGACACAGACACGCCGAGCGACCAGACACATGGGCCATCACTCCTATCTGGTCAGGCGCATCACTAGGGCATATGTTTCTTGTTCTGCTCTTGTGACCTCAGCTCAGAACACCACCGTCGCCTGGCCAGGATGGAAGTGTCCGCCCTCGCTCCGCATCTTCCGTACTCCGTCTTCCGTCCTCATCCTCTCAGCAGACAGGCCGTCCTCAGCGGTCCCTACGGCCTGCCCTGGCCCTGCCCGGCACCGACGTGTTTCCACCCGGGACTGTCCCCTCTGGTCAAGCCCAGTGAACTTCCCGTCTTCTACCCCAGGATTAACTTCGGGCTCCCCGCCTCCAGTGGGAAACCGTCTCCACCGACAGCCGACACTCATCCTGTCCAGCCCAGAGTCGCGTCCTTCGGACCCATCCCCGGGCTCCTGCCGACGGCCAGGGACCGACGCGTCCAGAACAGTCCCTCGGGCTCCGACAGGACGTCCCCCCGGGTACCGTCCACGTCACCTTCGCTGGAGAAGACCGTGAGTGACCGTGCCGAGTTCCGCCTGACCAAAGACAAGTCCGTGTCTAGAGAAGTGGACATCAGCGGCGGCAAGAGGAAGAGACCGGAGAAGAAGTTCCCCTGTCCGTTCTGTACGGTGTGTTGCGCCAACAACGGACAGCTGAAAGGGCACTTACGGGTCCATACTGGTGAGTTCCTACAAATATAACTTTTATTTATTATTTATTTATTTATTGGTTTGGCTGGTACACAAGACAGCCAGGGCAGCCCAACTAGCTAAAAGCTATTACTTTTATTCCTGTCCCTCTACATAGTCATCACTGCAACTGTATTTTTGGTCCAAAATAAGCATGAAATTCAGTACACTTTTGAACATTTAGATGTAGATTGTTATACTTTCTCTCAAAATTATATACTGTTTACACTACGGAAAGAAAAAAAGTACGGTGCTAGTGTAGAGACCATAACTGTTACTAACTGTTGTCACAAAAAGGTGTATCAAGTGTCTACAGCATGTGTGTAACTAGTTTCCCAGTGTCAGGAAAGCGCCGAGGGTACACATAAAAAGACTTGGCAAACTGGTGCGATGTACTCTGTCACGGGGGAATGCGTCACAGCGAAACGCTACTTGACTCGGAATCATTTCAAATTCGAAAGCTAGGAGAGCCACGCTGAATAATAATGTATACGCACAGTACGACATTAGTCTGTGTTTTTAGATTTGTTTGGATGAAATATATATGAGACACTTTTGATGAGTCGATGAAGTGAACCAAAGCGGCAAAAGGCTACTTCGAAGGTGTGTGCACTTTACAAAAGGTTCGTTTTAAATTTAGTGGTTTGTTTCGTTCAGTCAATAGACTATAATAGTCTACATAGCCCCGTTAATCCAATTGTGCCCTTGAGTCGGACTTGACGACCACAAACGACTAACAGACAGTTGGTGTGTGATTCGTGTGTGCGGACGACTCCTCACTCCTCAGAGCTAGGAGTTACTGGTCTATCTGACAACCCTGCCTTTCTCTGGCTCTGTTCGTACATGTACAGTTCCTTCTAGAAGCCAGCACAGAAGAGACGACGGGGTGTTGACTGAGAGTGTCTTATCTCCGAGGGGCTTGAGGTTCCAGTTTGGGGACGTGTTCAGTCTGTCATGTCGCGTGCTCGGCGTCACGATCCCGGTAATTGGTTCTTCATGGAAGCCGGGGACAAGTCGAGCTTGGCCCAGGTCCCCATCGCGATAAGAAAAATAAACTTTAAATCTTATGTGGCTCTCATGTTTAGCGTGCCAACTGGCCTTGTCAGGTGCAGTTTTCTCACACAAAATTGAAGCTATTTGGGGTCGCTTCGTTGCCGGGTCGCGGAAGTTAAAATGGACATATTCTGGTACGGTGCATAGACTCTCTTGCAGCTTGTTCGAATTTCCTTTGACACCTTTTCTTTAAATCATACCGGCTTCAATCTAGCTTCAATCCCCTGACAACCTCACGTACAGCTAGATAAAGGGCCGGACGATCATTCGTCTGGAGTTGATAAGAAAATAATGAAGAGAAATTGATGGTACCAGAAATGCCAAAAACAACGATTAAGCTACCTCGATGGGAAGAAAGATAAAACGTACAGTTCGACACTAAAGCTCTTGTGAAATATTGAGGAGGACCGGTGACTATTGTTGTAGGTCGATGGAACAAGTGTTCTGAATTCTCTGCCTTGTCACATCGTCACCCTGGGTGCAGCGGGTTAGGTCTCTACCACACTGCAATTGGTTGCTGGAAAATAGTAGAAATATTTGGCTAAATAGACTGGATAATATGATGTCTATGTCTATCACCGGCTAACTCCTCTGGCAAATCACTTCCCAGCAGCCCATTGGAGTCTGTTAGAGGCTAGCAGCGGGTCGACAATGCCGTACTTGAGGAAACAACACGAGGAAACAAAAAAGGCACTCTTGGTCCGGAAACAATTGCATAGAATACAGGGGCGCGACAGGCAGGCTACCGTTTGTTAATAGTTTCCAATATCCACAAGTCGACTGCCCCGGCTTCCTAACGATGCCGCGGGAAGGCGCGAATGTCGGACCCGTCGGGGGTTTGAGGAGGTTTGACAGGGATGGAGGGATAGGGCTGGGAATGCCCTTTACTGTCTTTCATTAAAAAGATTTGGGTTTCCGTGACCCGCGATAATCTGTTTTGGTCGGAACGCTGAGAATGGCGGTGGGAGGCCGGCGGAGTTGTCCCAGATAAGATAGTTACGTGAGGGGGAGCACTCCGTCCAGCCGGGCCGCCTGCGACCTGGGACTGACCTCGGGGCAAGTGCCCCAGATCAGGTCGGGTTTAGTTGACGACTTGAGGTAATCTAACTTTTCAACAAACTCACGGGGGAGTCAACTTAGATTGCATTGCAGGGGTATACGTAGGAAGTTGCGGGAATGAAAAGTTAGTACTAAGTGCTGAGACGAGGGAGCTTCAGTCAGTATGCCGATGTACGCCAGAGTGTTGACGTGCCCTGCCGTTCACCCGTGGCGGAGAGGGAGGGCGCTAGGGGCGGGAGGGCCAGACTTACCTGGTGACTCAGGAGTCAGCGCGGAAAAAAGTGCCAACCAAGGGCTGGGTGATTGACAGGTGCGCTGGCAGATTCAGGGCGCGAGTCAAGAACAGAAGCTACCGACTACTTGTGATGGAGAAATTGATTGTGCCCAAAAAGCTCCATATCGAAAACTGCTTTAACTCAAAAAGTAGGTGGATCAAATCAAGGTATAATTGTACCGCTCCAAATGACATGTTCATGATGTTGTGTGGCTTGAATGTTGACGTTTATCTAGGCTAGGCTATGATGGAAAGTGTGGACAGTGGCTCAGGGCGGACAGAGGGCGGGCTGCCTACGGGCTGCCCACACGGTCTCACGCCACCGGCGACCTTTGGGGGTCCACGGTCACCGCTTATAGGGCTATAAAGTTAACAACCTTTCATGTCCCGAAGGACGTATGTGTGCGTCTTAACTTGTTACTTCCAGATTAAACTTAAGACAAATGTACGGAAAAATCCAAGTTATGCAATAGTGCGCTGGACTGGCTTTGTAATTCCCATGTATCGTGAACAGTTGGCTCTGATGTTGTCCCACTTTTCCGCCACTACATTTCCTTCTGGTGTCATTAATACTCAGCAGGCGAATGGCTCCGCATCAATTATGGACCAGACGCAACCACATACAGACAAAAGATCATACCCGAAAAAATGACGCGTTGGGAGCGCCTATGATGACTGATATTCTTACGCACCGTCACTAATAACTTTGTGTTATATAGACAGAGCTCCGCTGAGATTTCTACTGGAATTCCTGTGTTTCAGAACACAGCGATTTATCACATATCCCTACTGCGAGAAAACACCGTGATTTACAATAAAGTGATCCGGAGCAGGTGTGTGGGGATTGTAGCTCAGGATGTTTCCGACACACGCTGTGCCTGGGCCGATGCCATGGGGAGAAATCTCCTACAGCAGCTGTAAACTATCCTTTCTGTCAACTTAATTGAGCCAATCTGGTTTGGCGAGCTGCCACGTCTCGGTGCCGAATGAACTTCGGAAGCCAATTTCTCATCTACCTGTTTGGTCCACACTGTGGACCGTCTGCTGTAGATGGTGATCGCTGAACGACCAAAATTTGATGTGATAATTGATTTTATAACTGGAATGCTTGTATAAACAATAGGTTTTTGGATAAGAAAACGTCACGGTTTTAAAGATGACCTCTTTTTAAATCTCCTTAGATACACCGTACATTTCCTAATAAAGCAACAATTGTTGTCCTCCAGGAGAGCGGCCGTACCCGTGTGACCACCCCGGCTGCGGACGCGCCTTCGCCCGGAACGAGGAGCTGACCAGACACCGCCGGATCCACACCGGGGTCCGCCCCTACCCCTGCACGGAGTGCGGCAAGGCCTTCAGCCGGAAGGACCACCTGACCAAGCACGCCAAGACGCACCTGAAGGGCGCCGAGAGGAGGGCGCTACTGCGGAGGGACCCGGTGACCAGTGGGTCGGACGCACTCACACGACACACCTGGACGACCCACGGTGTACAGAGGAAGTCACACTGACACTGATGTCGTCATAGACTTTGTAAATTTATTCCAAATGAGAATTGTCGGTGACTGGCGTACATCCACTGTAAAGATGGGAGAAAAGATCGTGCTTGCTCGTAACTTGCCATGCCAATAAGATTTTGAGGAGATATATTACCAATATTCTTATTTTGAATCACATGTGAATTACGACCAGCAGAGATGGTGTTAAAATTTTAGACAATTTGTAAAATAGAACAAGAATCCAGTGTACAGGAGACCGAGTGTAACTACATTTAAAGATGGTTTATGTAAATAAATAAATATGTATTTGTAATCAATAAATGATTCAGATTTGACATCTTTTTTGTGTCTCTAGTGGCAGCACCCCACCCAAGAATACTGCAGCTACATATAATATCATATGCCCTGTGAAAACTGGCAAGACACTTATGAAGTCCTTTCGATGATGAAAATAATCCTGGTTTAAAGGGTATCTTAAACTGCAGTGAGTGAAGCAGAATTCTTGCAATGATCTTAGATTGGCAATAAAATGCCTGTAACATAGAGCACATTGGCAATACTACAATGTTTGGATTTAAAGCCAGAACCGTTACTAAATTAAATTCTGAGTCAAGAACACTATCTACACATGACTTCCTTGCCATCAATAAATTCCTCAAGATGAGGAAACACATCAACAAGCACACATTCACACAGCAGTGTCTAGACAGGCCTGCAACTTTTGGACATAGCTGCCAATTATCCACAAATTCCATGCCTTTCCAAACCAGTACCTTATGTATCTAATTGTGGACTGTCTTACAAATTGTTCCACTATCTTACTTGTAGTCAGACACACATAATACAACACTTCTAGACAGCATTATTTATGATTCTAGGGCTTCTGAATATGCCCTATAGTCTAAAAATATCCTGGGACTCTGTAGGGAGTATATACTAGTAAGTCACATCCATATGCCTAGGTTTCCCTATATGTGAATGCTGTAACCAAGCCAATAGTATTGACTTGTTGCCACGGTCGGTCAGTTAAGTGCATAGTTGAACTGGTTGCCAAACTTGTCATTATAGCGTCTCTGGTCCAGCTTGTTCATTTCAGCTGCAACCCTCTTGACTGAACCACTGGAAATAAAAACATAACGCAATAAGCAACAAAGTAAATACTAATACTAGAGTTCCCCGATCTCATACCTTCGCCAAATGATGTTAATCTTTATGACTGACAAATTATAGATTAGATTAGTCCCCCGTGATTTAAGAAATAGCAACCTAATTTTCATGAATTATATAATTTTATCATAATCTCAACCAAAAGACAGTTTTATATTAACAAACAATGCATTCTAGCATTTCCTAATAAATTATGCAAATGAGGTCTGATTTGAATAAATTATGTTTAATGATGTTCACCTCAATTTAACTTTCAAATACCACAAGTATGAAATTGCAGGCAGTTACCATTACATAATTATAAAATTTTCTCATTAATTATGCAAATTAAATCATTATTAACATAATCAATATCTTCCTGTGTTTCTCTCGTTGTCAATTACCAATGTCACAAGCTTCAATTGTCCTATCATGGAATGCAGCTGATTTATGGAATTTCCCCATAAATTATGCAAATTACATCCATATTTGCATAATTGTCACATAATTATATCAAGCATCACGTAAGCTACCTACATACCAAAAATCACGACGATCCGTCAACCGGTTCTTGAGTTATCCCCTTTTGAATATTTTCAAGAAAATATCCCTGCAGTTCCAGAGCAAGCCGCTAGGGGGCCTAAACTCACGTCACTTCTTCCCCAGCACAAGAGCTACCTACCATCTAAATTTCATCACCATAGCATGTCTAGATCATGAGATATCAAAACCGGAAGTTCAGCTGCAGTACCATAACAAGCCGCTAGGGGGTCCAAAATCTAATCATTTTGAGGTCTCATCAAGACCTACCCACCTACCAAGTATCAAGACAATCCATCAAGGCCTTCTCAAGTTATCGTGTTACAGACAGACAGACAGACAGACACACACAC